TTTTTACCTTCCAAAAATACTTTTTTGCTCCAACCCTAAACCTTCTAAATTTGCCTTCCCAACTCATAACCTACCAATCAAAAATTAAGAAAGTTAAAAAAGAAAAAGAAAAAGAAGATGTTGGAAAGTGGAGGGGCCCAGCGTGTGGGCTTTTGTTCCATGGTTGGTCCCCCACTTTCTCCTTGCATTTCTCCATATGAGCTTCTATCTATCCACCCCCCAGTCCACTTCTCCAAATTTGCAAGCCAAATAATTGGTGGGTTGGAGATGAAAAAAGCCAAAAACCTCCCTTTCTCCAAATTTGCATGCTTGGATTGGAGATAGTCTTACCTTCTTTCCCTTTCATTTCCCCATTGCCGTTTGTTGTTTTCCCTTTTGCTTTTGCCGACCACTTATCTTTCTGCTAAGTTAATTGGTTGGTTTGATAGATTATATTGGGATATTAATGATCTATATACATACGAATATGATATGTGTCAATTTTGTCAATGGGTATGGATAATTACCCTTTTGTCTTCTCAACTTAACACAAGTAAACTTCAACAAGTTACCTTTTAAAATAATTACTAATTTATGTTATGGATAAGTGTACAATTGAGCTGGTTAATATATTAGATTTATCAGCAAAAATATGTTAGATTTATCTACTCGCCAACATCTCTTATGTATTATTCCATGTTGTGTAGTTAAGTGATACATGATAAATATTATATTATCTTGTACAAAAGTTTGAAAATTTAACGAGTGAGAATTCTAGTAAAAAATATGCATGTAAACTGATAATCAAATGATTTAGCAAAAAGTAACAAACCTATTGACAAATAGTCATCTAAATATACTTTACTAATTAGTTAGTATCCAACAAAAAGCATAATCAACCATTTACACACCGTTTTTTACCAAATGAATCTAGAATTCATTTCTTTTTAAAATGAATTCCTGTGTAGAATTCATCGTCAATTGAATTCCTGTGTTTGGTATATGAGATTAGCGTTACAATTAAATTATTGTCGGCGTTCCTCATGTTGCATGAATTGATGCCAAATAATATATGTAGAAGTAATTTTGTTAATAAATGAGAATAATTATGTCCTTTTATAATAATTGGTAAATACTTGTAGAATTCATTTGAAAATTCCATCTCAATTCCTCGGAATTGCTATAACTAGTTCCAATTCCGTAGAATTCAAAATTTAGAATTGAAAATGAATTCTTTTAAATAACAAACACAAAAATATTTCATTTCAAAATGAATTCCTAAAAATTTATGAAATTCATTTATACCAAACGGTATATTAACGATAGTGCTTGCACCTTCTTATAAAACTCCATACTTAAATTACCCCTTCCAACCTCTATATATATATAGGATGTTGTTTGGTAATTATCAACAACAAGAGTAACCAATAAGTTCTCAGCAGCTAGCCATATCATTCTCCATTCTCCAATGACGGGCAAATAATAAAGGTGAGTAAGCCAACCCCCCAATTTACTCACGGTTCCTCCCTCAATTTGTTGTGTTCCTTTTTCCCCTTGTGGAAAGTCTACAATGCGTGGAGTTCACCAAACCCTTTTATACCATGTGATCAAACGTATTATGGTTGTGTGATATTTTCGTTCAGTTTTAATCAAGATTAGTCGATGAATAGTTAATTGATCGTGAAAAAAAAACAATTACAATTAGAAAATATAAATAAATGGATAGCAAATCAAAAGAGCTAAGATTAATGGCTAGGCTAGTCAATAGATAAATACGATTACAAAGTTTGTAAAACCACATCTCATTAGTTCTTTACTTTATGTTATGAATTTCCTTCTTGGGGATATTATAAAGGATTGAATACTTTACTTCCCACAACAATTGACTCCACATGACATATTTTGTTAGTATTACTTGTGGAAATGGCAAGCTTGATGAGTCATTACTCATTAGATAATGGAGAGGCAAATGAAATTGAGAGCACATGTTCTAAATAACAACCCCTCTACCTATCCCTAAGACCAAAACCCAAAATTTAAAAAGAAATATCCTAAGAATACATTTTTAATACATTTTTAGATTGAGCTAATTCTAACAGAGGTCGACCAAATACACTAATGTGGGCACCCTGATAACTTATCACGGTTGACCTTTAAAACGTAGTGGTCGACCGTTTGTAGTTTAAGTTGTTATTGTTGGTCGACCACAATAAAACATCGGTCGCCCTTTTCATTGGTGTCAGAAGCAAAATGTTTACGGTCGACCACTTGATGGCGGTCATTAATAAAATGGTCGACCATTTACAGAAAGAGGTCGACCAGATAGAAGAGAAGTGTTGTATCCATTTATCCATTACCATTTGACGTAAAATGAAGATCAAGAGTGTTGGTTTCGCGGTCGACCTAATCAGATACGAGGTCGACCAAATACAGGAAAATCAACCTATGTCATGCGTCTTTTTTGATAAATTCATTAGGTCGATAGCTACATTAGGTCGACCTCACCTTCGACGTGGTCGACCTCTTGCAACACGTACAACAGCAAACGCAAAGGATCTTCTTCACAAAGGCTCTAACCCTATAAAAAAAAAGTTAATTCAGAGTTTCAGCGGCAGTGAAGGTGACATATATTCATATTTATAGATATTTAGGACGTGAATGAGTCGAATTAAGTGGTAGATAAGTTAGGGTTACCTTTCTGGTATTGGAATCTTTATCCAATACGGATACGGTGTGCACGCGGTCTACCTCGTACTTATGCGGTCGACCTATTAAGTGCAAAATGGTCTGCCTATGAGGTATTTGGGTCGACCTTTCATTTTTTCGCTTTCCAAAGAGGTCGACCATTTGCTATAGAAGGTCAACCGCATCGTTGAATCTCACAAAACTGAAACACCATATTAGATCGATCTAATCCTATATTAGATCGACCGAAAATTCTATATTACGGTGACATGCATATCACCATAGCAAAGTCTTTTTTTATAAACAATAACAATAGTATTTATAGGAAGAAAGAAAGAGTGCGGTGGGAAGTGTTTCTAAGCTGGCAAATTTTGTCTTCACATCAATAATCACGATTATAATACACATTAATCACAAGATAAAAAGAGGGCAGCAACTGCTGCTGCTGCTATAACTTGGCTGCCACAAAGAACCCAATAATCAAATTGCTCGCTCTCACCCCAATAATAATTAAATTGTTAATTAGTAAGCAAAAGCTGCGACTAACTAGCAAACGACGTTAAAAAGAGGAAGCCACGCACCTTCCCACCACAATCCATTTGCATATATATACACAGTTTAGAAGGTTAATTGTTGTTCTAGTCCAAATAATATGTTGTTTCAACAAATACCTTTTAAACAACATAATTTTGAGAAATCGGATAGTGTTTGTATTATCGATTCAATGCTTAACAAACACATGTTTAATGGGTTATATGATATCTCATGTGTGAGATAAAATTCATATTTTGAACTTTAATAAGACTCTTGTATTCTTTTTTTTTTTTTCAGTATCTTACGTTTGATTTATCATTTGGTCCATATTGTACCTAGTTTGAGAGAAAAGATTCTTAATATTTTGCATATCCATTTTTAAGAGTGTGCTTATTAACCACGATTAAACTCAATTGTAAAAGAATGTAGCTCTTTACTTTTTTGTATTTTCATTTTACAAAATTTTTAAGTAGGGATGAATGATGTTAAAACGAATACATAACATAGTACAAACATAGGAGATCATGTTAAAAGAACAAATTACAAGGACTATAATTCTCATTAACCATGTTTTTTAAACATAAACGGCATTTGAATCAGAACATATTCAATAAGAAATTAAAAAGAAAGGAAAAAAACAAAGTCCTTTTGTTTGATTTCTGAAAGACGGGAGTGGTTAATGACTTAATGGTACTGGTTAGGGTAAAAAGTCGGCCACAAATCCAATATTAAATTTTGGGCCCCGCCCTTGGCCCCTTATATAATAATTACATTACATTTGCTAAATCCTCTAACAATAATAACACCAACTAGAAGAAGATGAACACCAACACATAATTGATAGTGAAAGGGTAGGACTAAAGAAGAAGAACAAGGTTGAAAACGCAAAGATAATATCTTCATTTATCATTCTCTCTCCTCTCTCCTTTCTAATCTAATATTTTGTTCAAATCATGGTAATTTGTGTTCACCATCTTGCACCTTTATTAATCGGAAACTTCTTTCAACTGAGTTCAACACATTAATAACTTGAATCATATAACAAACTAACCAATTGGAATAACAATGTTTGTTGGAAATTGGAAATAAAAAATCAATAAGACAAAGAATACAATTTGTTGGCTTAGTTAAAAAAATATCATACTTCCCTTTTCAATAAATATGTTCGTGTAGACTATTAAGCTATAATTTATTATTATTTAGGGCTAATACCACTATAACACCCGAACTATTGCAAAAATGCCACTTGTGTCATATTGTATCAAATATTCCATTTATGTCCTGAACTATTTTTACGTTAAAGTTGACTCATTTTGACCGTTAATTTTTAATAGAAAGTCTAGTCAGCGTTGATGTGGCAAATGACCTGGAATTTAATTTATTTTTTATTTAATAAAATAATTAAAATAAAAAACAATGAAAATCAAAAATAAAAACGTTCGATCTCCACCATTCATCCCGTTAGCCCTTTCTCCCCCGTTCACCCTTCCCGGCTACTCCGCTCAACAACGACATCACCACCATTACCGTACCGGAAATTTCTTGCCTCCTCTTGCCTCTTCCCATTCACCCTTTCCGGCACTTGTTGCTACTCCGCTAAACCCCAAACCCCAATCTTATCCTTCCTTTTCTCCCGTCGATTGTTTCGAATTCCGACGAGAGAGAGAGAGAGAGAGAGAGAGAGAGAGAGAGAGAGAGAGAGAGAGAGAGAGAGAGAGAGAGAGAGAGAGAGAGAGAGAGAGAGAGAGAGAGAGAGAGAGAGAGAGAGGACAGAGGGGAAATCGGAGAGAGCGGCGGAGAGTGAGTTCGGCAGTGTCTTATTGCTGGAGGCCGAGAGGCAGGCTGTTGGCGACTGCAACCCGACCCTACAGCTTCCCCTCCGATGAGCCAGCAACCCGGAGTCTAAAGCGGGCAACTCAACACCTTTTTCCAATTCGATCTGTTGGACTTCTCCGGCGTAGCTACTCTAAAGCCGGATGCGCAGAGGTCCACCACCCAATTTATTAATTCCTAATTAATTTCTCCCTACACAGGCAAATGAAGGAATGCGTTGAGGTCTAAATATTGTCCATTAAGAAACCCTAGAATGCGGATATCCTGATTTTCAGAATGTGGATCTCCTTGAATTTGAATCATCGACGGGAGTTGCTTTGCCAATATGGATCTTGCAGTATTATCCCGCCATCAATTGTGCAATCTCTCGCGCCGTCCATCTTGCCCACCTTTCCCTTGTCCACCGGAAAGAAGAAGAAAGAATGAAGAGGGCGGAGAGGGTGAGGGCGGCGGCAGCGCGTCGTGATTTGGTAGATGTCAGAGGCTTTGGAGCCTTTGCCGGAGTTGGCCGGTAGTCGAAGCTCGGCGTGCCTCGTTCTTGACGATGATGATGTATCGACGGAGATGGTGAAGTCATGGTGGTGGGGGTGGTAGATGATGTCCACGATGGAGGAAGATAAGTTGAAGCAAAATTTAATTTTTTTATTTTTATATATTATATTATATTTTTATATATTTTAACTTAATTTTATTAAAAATAATCCATGTGGCAATGAGATGGTGTCTATGTGGTTGTTTGATTTTTGCCACATCATCAAAAGTCAACCATCACTTTGACTACCGTCTAGTCAACTGTTTTCTTTAACGGTCAACGAAAATGTCAGGATACAAATGTCACAAAATATCATACGTCAGGATATGAATGGAATATTGAATAAAATAGGACACAAGTGGCATTTTTCGGATAGTTCGGGTGTTGTAGTGGTATTACCCTATCATTTATTATCTATACACTACTAAATTACTTCACGTATTTTATCAATACCCTGGGATAATACTGCATTGCTTAGAATGTCACAATGTCGGAGCTGATCCAGTAGGAGCTACAATCACCTTTAATTTTTATTTAGAATTGTAAATATTTACAAAATGTTGAACAAAAGTGATCATGGCGTATTAGGATCCACCTCTAGCCTTGATTCATTCTTATGGGCAAATGCGAATTTTTATATATATCCCCTCTATAAAATCCTCGTGTCATTACTATTGAGTATTAACAGCTAGTTTGAAAGAAAATAACACCAAACACGTACGCAATGACATTCACAGTAGGAGTGTTCAAACGGTTTGGTTATCGTGGTAACCATTTTAATCGGTACTATTTGGATAATTTGGTGTGGTTAATTTGGATAATTGGTTTGGTTAAAGTTTTTAGCTTGTTTGGTTTAGGTGGTTTGATTTGGTTTCAGACACTCATAACCAGTCAAACCAAATTAACCAATTAAGTAATTAGTTATATATCTAACATATATTATATACACATAATACTTTGCATAACCACTCAAGAGTTAATGTTCATCCCTTTTAGACTCATAAAATATAAAGCTCAATATTGCTCATATATTGTATATTTGTATATGTAAAGTCTAGACCACAACATATGGACGCCTAATTTAGATAAATTTCATACATTATATGAATGAAAACTTGAAACGAAGGTCATTTCCAGCCTATGATAATTGCTAAGAGACTAAGTCAATTTACACAAACACAACAATTCATTAACCCATACCATTGTCATAATTTTTTGTTAGGTGAATACTTCTATACTAATCGTAAGATAATTGTCTTAGTTGCATGTATTTTTGTTAAGAGTCAACTATAACTATGTGTTGATTGTTATGTTTTATTCATTATATAAATTGCGAATTGTTGCATTAACCAGAAAATTTTCATCGTCAATGATAATGTGATTTTATATTGGTTAATCTGGTTAACCAATTAACCAAACCGATTAAATTTTAGTTTGGTTAATTTGGTTGTTGTATTAGTTTGGACGGTTTGGTTATGATATTGTATTCCATGATTAATAGAATTTAGCCTTATTTGATTTGGTTATAACCATGGTAACCATTTGAACACCCCTAATTCACAAGCAAAAGGGGAGGGATAAAAGAAAGAAAGAAAAGATCATGACTCATCACCACTTCCATCTTCATTTTAAGCTCATATCCCATAATTTGCTAGAATTGGTGCCATGTGAAAGAGCATCGAGCTCGAGCAGGACTGTGGCTGAGTGAGAGAGATATTTAGATAAAAACTACGGGTCGTTTGGATGGGTTAATTGTCAATGTGGTATTTGTATAGTCAAATAACTCATTTATTCTTCATGTAGTATTTGAGTGTTATTTCAGTGGTAATTGAAATAAAGTATCTCATTTGGTTGAACCATGCAAATGTGGTATTTGACATGTGGTATTTGGTAAAAGCAGAGTGATAAAACGAGTTATTTCGAAATAACACATGGGTATAAGTTATTTCAAATAACTCGTTTTGAGTTATTTGTAAAAACTCACTGTCCAAATAACTCATTTCAGTAAAACGCTGCCAAACGAGTTATTTGCGTCCAAATAACTCATTGTGAGTTATTTGAACCCAAATAACTCATACAAATACTCCATCCAAACTCCATCCAAACCCTACATATTCTCTTAACTCTCTCACACCATTTTCTGAAACTCTCTCCATTTCTATAATCCAAAAAACCCTCAAAGAACATGACCACAAGCTATCAGTCTCTAGTCCAAACAAATTCCCCTCATCTTTTCCTTCCTTAAATCCCCAATGTTCAATATGTAAACGGCAGATTCATGTTATGCAAGAACTCAGGGCTTCCTTACTATGGATGGCATTGGAGGTAAGGGAAACATAGTAAGAAAGGTGAGCCCTTTGGGGAAGGTGGGCATGCGGCCAGGCATCATAACTTGATAACAAAAGCATGACCTATTCCCTCCCTTCCCAATTCCCATGGTGGCGGTGGCTTGAAGGGTATGGTCCTATTCCAAGTTATGCCCACATCCACATATCCCATTTTGTTAGAGTTTATTAGAGAGAGAGAGAGACTCTTTTTTAAATTTTATTTTGAAGATGGATCAAAGAAAAGAAAACATAAGATGTCTTTAAATTAATTGATTCAGATTTTCGGATGGTCCAACGAAGTCTTTTGTCCCACCACCAACTTTTGAGACTCCATCCCACAGTCCTACAGCTACAGGGACAAAAGCAGAGGAGAGCAGAGGAAGAGAGATGTGAAAAATCAAAAGAAGGGAGAAACCGAGACCAAGCAAAAGGACCACAATTCTGGTCCTATTGATGTCACCCTTCCCACCTTTTGTAAAAGACACAAAACACAGAGACAGAGAGAGAGAGAGAGAGAGAGAGAGAGAGAGAGATGCCAAACCTACCATATGCGATTGCATGTATTATATATCTTCATTCGTTCAAGCTTATGTCAGCTGGTCCATACCCAGCACAGCAGGACCTTCGCTTCGCTGCAAGAAAAAGGAAATGAAAAGGGTTGAACTTTGTTCATTAGCTAGAATATTTGCTTACATTACTGAATGAAGGCAGCAAGCAAAGATTCAGTCCCAGTGTGCTTACTATCTCTACCCAGAGCTCTGTAATTAATTCTGCAAAGCTGGGGGGCCCCAATAATAATTGGGGCTGTGCTGACTTGCTACAAAAGTGACATTCTTTAACACACTTTAAAAGAGAGGTACTCCTGACCATAACAGAGGCAAAGATTAGATAGAAATGTGGCCCATCTCATCATGAATTGGACGCAGGCACCCTCCCTCCAATCTTTAAACATTGCACAACATTCTGTTACCCTAGAATCTTCATCATAACTATTCCAATTCCAACAGTAACGAATGCTCCTACACTCCACAAGCAAATAAATGCCCATTGCTACACGAATCATGCGTAGGAGAAACAGCTTCAAGCCAAGCCAACAACAACTTACCATAACAATACCCTAAGCCCTCACAAGAGTGCAAGTCTACAATGAACTCTAAATTATGCAATTAGTATGATGGGGAACCAAGCACAAACCAATGAGGTTGCAGCAGTCTACAGCCCACGTAATGTAAGTGCTTTGCTGATACATAACAAAATTCCCCACAAGCTTGCTATTGAAGGCAGGGTTTCTATGGAGGCCTCTAACCCTCTAAGCAAAGCAATCTCATTTCTCAGATTAACAGTTAAGTTTGAACTTCTTAACAAAAAAATCAGTACTAGACTAACTCGTTCAGTGTTACTCATACACTCACATTCACCGCCAACAAGAGAGATATGAAGTTAGCTTGGAAGCCAGATGTATGGATTCAAGACGTCTTTACAGCAAGTGGGCCACGAACTAGAAGACAACTCCATAATGCAGATCCCAACAGGCATTCCCCTCATCTGTATACCACAAACAACACTCCAAAATGGTGTTCGGCAGAGATTACAGGATCACATAACATTGGGAACAAAAGGAAGAATACAAGGAAACTAGTTAAAGCTAGACAAGAAAGTACATTGTTACAATATTCTCAAGCAATCTAGAGATAGTTGAAGGGTTGCAAATGCAACCATTTCCAGGAGTGTAGGTAGAATTTCAATGTAGAGACCAACCATCACGATCATGTAACAGACACCAACCCTACTTCATTCAACACTAATTTCAAGACATATGAACCAGCAAAGACTTGACCAATCTGTCTATGCAGAAAAAACCTACATTTCAAGTTAACCAAGTCAGCATATTGAGATCTGTTGTCCTCCAAGACAGAACAATCACAAGCTCCACCATCCAGTATTCCCCGAACAGAACGTAACCAACCTTGCTGACCATCAGAAACGGATGAGCACAAGAACAAAAGGCCAAGATGTCTGAAACAGACACACATATATAGGCAAGTAGGTGGTTACAAGACATAGCCATAATCATATAACCTGCATGTATCATTTCTCCACAAATGCTTGAATGCCTCGTCTCACTGTTAACTTTCAGAGTCACATCATAGTATCATACTAAACCCATCCCTCAGAGGACTTCACCAACAAATCATTAATTCAAATAGAGGAGTGAACCATACATTATCGGGGTTCACTTGGAGACTGCTTTGGGAAATCCCTCTAGTACTATTGGACATTTTCCCACGGTGTGTAATCTCCACGCTATCTCCAACACAATTAATGAGGGAAAACCAAATAAATTCTGCTTCCGCTTCACAGGGTGGGGTATCGCAAAGGGCAAAATGTGAGTCATGCAACAACTTAAGAACATGATTCTCATGTTTCTATAGAAATGAACTGAGAGATCTTAACTAGGCCTATAGTTATTCTAGAGGCAGTTAGATCCATCACAGTAAGTGCAGATAAGTATTTCAGGGTAGAAACAACACACCATATAAGTAGACATAAAGTATCTTGTGTCATATGCAGAAGAAGACCTGCTTTCTAAGCTAACCCAGCAGCACCCCAGGGAAGAGAATCCTCCACGATACAAAATCGGTCACAAGCGGCAAAGAAGATTCTCAAGCAGAAACTAAAGAACCTTTTCAACCATATGCATCAAGATAGAGCACTAGTATAAAACCCACCAGAATGTCTGAAACAAGATATACCAGCAAGTAGACAGTTACTTGGCTTAAAATTCAATTTGAGTAAACTCGATAAATATTACTCTTCACAGAGCAGGTGCACGTCAGTATTCGCTGCATGTATTGTTTCTCCACATTCCACAAGAGCATGAACTGCCTCAGCTCACTGTCAACGTCAGAACGTAAACCTGTCATAGCTATAAAAGAACCCATTGAAGCAAATCCCCTCAGAGGACTCCAAATACTAGTCATGAATTATGATAAAGCAGGGCCAGATGCATTATCAGGTTTCAGTATCAGACCCATTCTGTTCTAGGCATTTATCTCCAATACATTTAATGAGGGAAAGCATAGCGAGTTTGGCTTTGCTTTGAAGCTACAAAAGGTAGTGCATCATGTGATTTGTACTATAACTTAAGATCATTGCTCACTTGTTCCTAAATAAAACCAATACAGATCTTCAGGAGGCCTGGAGCATAGATAGCAATCAGGCAAAATCACCTTATCCATACAGCCACAGGTGTTGCTCTGCCTTGGCAAGAAACACATTCAGTAAAAAAAAACTGCAGATGGAAAAAGAAACCCTGCTCTAACAGGAAATGCATGGTTCAATTGATAAACCCAATAGGTGCTATAGCTAACCGAAAGTTACAACATTGACTTGAATTAAACCATAAATAGCTTCTATTATCACAGAATGAAGTCATTGGAACTAATCACTAACTCTCCTCCCAAATTCAGTAGCCACTCAAAAGCTATTCCTCGACTACTAACCTTGCCTTTCCAATCATGCGTCACTATCATCGCTATCGTCCTCGTCGGCAATCCCTGGAGCATTAGCGATGTAGAAGCCAGGCTGCACACCACGCCGCCGCGTCCTCGACGGAAGAATGTTATCCAAATCAACCTCCGCCAACGGATCATCCTCTAGCTCACTGTCATCATCGCCTCCTCCATTCTCACTCCCGTCGTCGTCATCACTCGAATCATCGTCATCATCATCGCTATCGCTATCCTCCTCTTCCTCCTCAATCATTATCCCTTTCCCCTTTCTATCCACCACCGCAGCTTCTTCATTCTCCTCCTCCTCGTCTTCTTCTTCTTTGTCGACCTCAATTCCATTGATTTCGTCAGCTTTTCCTGCACCCTCCTCCTCGCGAATTGAGAAAATTGGCGCGAAATCCTGACCGCCGTCGTTGCCGGAGGCGTTTTCTGCCTCGGTGGGCGACAATTCACCGTGGTTGCTATTGGAAGATTGAGTCTTCTGTGTCTTGTTAGGTTGATCCAGTTCGTCTTTATCTGGGATTAGGGGATCGAATTGCTTCCTTTTGGCGGGTAATGTGGGCTCGCTAGCTTCTTTGACTTCCGCCATTGTTGGTTGGATTCTTGCTGCTCTCTTCGGGAGCTGAGGAGTTGGGGGTTTATATTTGGGAATTTCCGCACGAGAACTCGGATTCTAGGGTTTAGCCGGAAAGTATAACTTAACAAGTATATCCCCTAATTAAAAAAAAAATAACTTCTAAAAAATTGCATTTTAAGAGTTCTCAACGTAATTTTCATTTCGAGTTTAGTATGTATTGATGGTTGTGTTTCTCATATTGCCCGACTCTAATTTTGAAGTTGGATAGGGAAGGGAGCTCGGTAATGGAGATTAAAACAATGGAGGAGATTACAAGACGAGCAGTCGAGATGAGGGAGGTAAAATGAACCTTTTGGGGATTATATGGAAATGAAAATGAATTCGCACACCTGATGGCGCGTGGGAGAAAATCGAGATTGGATAACAAAACCTCATATTTTTATCTTCACAGAATTATGTTGATTGTATTGAAAGCATTATTCAACAAAAAAAATAGAAAGTTTGTATTAGTCAAATTATTTCATTGTCTAAAAGTATACATTTTGTCAGATAGAGCAAAAAAAATCTTCCCATTTTACATGTTAGGTGAACTTATATAATTGATTTAATCAAGTTGATAGTTTGAGTGAGATGACCATTGGTAAAGATAATAAAACACTGTTACTTGTTTATCAAGCTTAAGATTTTTCTATATTTCATAGTTTTGGAATATTCCACGAACTCTTTCTTTTTTAGTCGGGGTTGTAATCGATGTCTAGTTTTTTTATATTGGCCACCAGAGTCAGTCGACCGCCACCTTTCACCCTGAATTTCTCTCGTGATGTCAGCTCCGGTCGTATTATGCAAAAATGGTCTGTCGGTCGATATCGGCGGGGACACTCTCCGCTGCGCAAGTTAGTGAGTGGGTTGAGGGAAGAGTAATAACCTCGAAAAGAAAATTGAGGGAATGTAGTTTAGAATGAATATATGGGTTAATCATAACGAGAGTTCACGAGTCTAGGCAAGGAGATTTTTTTCTTACCACATCTGGAAATGAAGTGGCCTTTTATAGAGGCCTCAAGGCAAGCATGAAGGGGGTACCTTATGCTTCTGTGAAATTTTTGGAAAAAGACACCCTTGACTTCGTCTGACTAACTTTTTGTCCCGATGTCGCGTGTCTTCCTCTGGCACTTGATGGTGTGGAGAGGGGATACGTGATGCGGGTACGTGTCCAAGGGTGCTGAGAGACCTAGGGTGGGCGGAGTGAGCCGAAGGTGGTTGAGGTGACCCGGGGGTGACTAGAGTGACCCCAAGGTGACTGAGGTGATTGACCCCAGGGTGGCCAGAATGACCCAAAGGTGACCGGGGGCGGCCGAGGTGACCCGAGATTATGGACCCCAAGGTGGCCTGGGGTGATTGACCTCGAGGTGGCTAGAGTGACCCCAAGATGGGCTAGGTAACCCGAGGTGATTGACCTTGAGGTGGCCAGAGACCCCAAGATGGGCTAGGCAACCCGAGGTGATTGACCCCAGGGTTGTTGGAATGACCCCAAGGTGACCCGGGTGATTGACCCGGGGTGGTCAGAGTGACCCCAGGGTGGCCGAGTTGACCCGAGGTCGTTGACCGTAAAGTGACCAGAATGATCCCAAGGTGGCCTGGGGTGATTGACCCGGGGGTGGATAAGTAACCCTAAGGTGGGCTAGGTGACCCGAGGTGATTGACCTCGGGGTGACTCGAGGTAATTGACCCCAAGGTGGCTAGATGTGATTGACCCTGGGGTGCTCGGAGTGACCCCAAGGTGCGCTAAGTAACTCGAGGTGATTAATGATGGTTGTTGAGTAGGGACTATCTGGGAATTTTTTTGCCAAATTAAATTTTTTAATTTGGGGTCCATCTGTTGCCCCCTTTGTAGTCGTAAAATTGAACGAGGGAGATTTTGCAGCGAATATCACATTCTTCTTGGGCTCTCTGGAATTTTCTTGGATCTTGTGATATGTACGTAAAACATCAAACCAATTTTGGCTCATTGAATTTGAAGGGTGGAGTCAAGCCGATAGAGGATTAACTAATTATGGGTCATGTATGTGTGGAACAAACCAATCATAGCGTGTTAAGTGAAGAGGATTTGAATTAGTATTAGATCAATGTTGGTCCATTTGAATGAAAATAATGAAACAATGTTGTTTATGAATAGAGAGAATGAACAAATTTTGTTCATGCCTTGAGCGAATGGACCAATCTTGGCATCGACTAAACCTTAATATGGGTTATACCATATACGATTCTTGTTAGATCTCTGACATTGTATTCGATATTTCATCTAGTTTTTCATCATTCTCGTTGTCATTCTAGCCATTTACGATTCTCATTGTCTGACGATTCCACTAAGATTACTTTTGCTTCTCACATGCATTTATTTTGGCATTGATGATGACGTCTATGACAGTCGGGTGGCACCCATAGGGATGATAACACCCAAATGAGAACACTTTGATGTGGGTAAGACATACTATTATCATGATGATGATCTATAAGACGACGTACAATTTGGTGGGGGGAGTCAATCACACAAGGTGGTGATAGAGCCACAATGGTCATGTGACCACGACAATATAGTGGCGATAGGTGAGATGACGAAGGCGAAATATGATCACACCGCCATTGGCTATTGCCACTCCAGTGAAGAGGAAATGGAGACAATGATAATAGTCGATGCATCTCATCTATCAATGTCACAATTCGTAGGAGGTTGACACATCATAGAGTCCCATGAGAGACAAGCTCAATGTTTTTGGCTAATTCAATTGTAGTTGCACAAATTGATGCTTTCATGTTGCAGATGTTGTAAGGTATTGAACTTTTTCCAAATCGTAGTGCAATGGTTGAGAAATGGCTCGTTAATCAACTCCAGTGTAATAGTTGGATAATTACACTTCAGTCAAATGTTAAATGCAATGATTGAGTGACAACTTTCCCTCAAGCATGAAGTGCAATGATTAGAGGATTTGTCAACCTTAGTGCAATGGTTGAGTGAAAAAAATATATGCATGCAAAATGACCCCAAGGTGACTGAGGTGATTGGCCCCGGGGGTGGCCGAAATGATCCAAAGATGACCCGGGGTGGCCGAGGTGACACGAGGTTATTGACCCTGAGGTGGTCGGAATGAAGGTGGCCCGAGGTAATGGACCTCGGGGTGGTCAGAGTGACCCCAAGGTGGGCTAGGTGACCCGAGGTGATTGACCCCGGGGTGGCCAAAGTGACCCGAGTTTGTTGACCCCGAGGTGGGCGGAATGACCCTAATGTGGCCTAGGGTGATTGACCCCGAGGTGGTCGGAGCGACCCCAAGGTGGGCTAGGTGACCCCAGGTAATTGACCCTGGGTTGGCCGAGGTGGCCGGAATGACCCCAAGGTGGTCAGAGGTGATTAACACCGGGGTGCCCAGAGTGACCCTAAGGTGGGCTAAGTAACTCGAGGTGATTGATGAGGGTTGTTGATTAGGGAGTATATGGGAAAATTCTCGCCAAATTAAATTTTTTAATTTGAGCTCCATCAAGTACAATAGGAAAATTATAAAAACAATAGAACAATTACATAAGCAAAATTAATCCACTCCTCGACGAAATTGAATTCCTGCCATATCAGCTTCCAAAATGTCTTAAAAGTGATGATATGCCCCAAATTTACCATGCCATCAGCTAGCTTGTTTCCCTCTCTTTTTGTGTGTGAAAGTTTTGAATCTCCACTCTTGTCTCATAATGCTTCGACAATCTGAAATCAAACTACCAAAAGGGTGATGCAAAGAGACGTCGTCATCTCATGTAAACAGTTGAACCAACAATAAAGAATCTGAACTGATTTCCACTTGTCGATAGCCGAGTATCCATGTCAAGGACGTTCCTTTCCTAAGCGCTAGTTGGTAGTAGTCATGATTCATGGTAGGCTGGAGTGAGTCAATACATGAAAATAGGCTCATTGGGCCTAGCACTTTCGTTCCTCGCTGATGCGGATCAGCACACAAAGCCCAAGCATGGGCCCCATGGACCAGCCCACCATGAAGCGAATATGAATGTTATTTGACTTTTCTTTGTGGTGGGTATATAATATATATTCCCCGGCCCCGCATATATATACTCATTAAATTAAATGGTTTGACAATAGAAGTGCATGGCTTTTGCATGGCGAGCACGTGGCTGCATTCTTCTGTTGGGAGTCTAACTCTGCGCATTCGCTTCTTTGCTACCTTCGAACGACTATATGATTTTACCCTAGTAAATCAAGTCTAATTACCATAATCTTTAGTCAGTATATTTGGAACGCAAATTAACAACATGTTGTAGGTAACATGGTACGTAGTAAATCATGGCATTGCAGGCATGATTAGGAAGTTAAATTATAGGGTCCTCCATCGAATTCTTGATCCCATATATCGATCTATGTCGTCTGTCGATCTCTCTCTCTCTCTATATATATGTATATGAACAGAGGATCATAAGATGAGGGAAGGGTGATGAAGAAAGAAAGAATAAAGGGGAATACAAAAGGGGAAACTGGCGAGGTAAAAAAGAAGGAGAGAGAGAGAGAGAGTGAAGGAAGATAATGAGAAGGCCATTATATTGCTGATGAAGATGTGCAGAGCTTTAGCGACACTTGTTAATGGCGAACCCTCCATTCGTCGGGAATCTGTTGGGCCACACCTACTGAGTCTCCTCCTCTCGTCTTTGCCTTTCTTTTTTTGGTGGCTTCTCTGTCTCTCTCACGCAGAACGAGAGAGAGAGAGGGTTTTTACTTTTAATTATAAGTAAGGGTAGCTAGCAAGTGGGGGCGTTGGCCGGGCGGGAGGGTTTTGATGGTCGGACAGCGGGCAACGGTGACCCATGAATCGGCAATGTACATTTGGCAGTGGGGAGACTGGCCAGTTGCTCCTCCACCGTCACCTTCTATTCAGCCCTAGCCTTCACCCCCACGTTACTTACTAGCTACCTGCAAAATTCATTTCATCTTCATTTGTTTGTTTGTAGTTTAGCCACCTACCTACCATGTTATAATTGGAGAGGCGAGCGACCTAGCTAACATAGCATAGCAGGATTCTCTTTCTTTTCTTTGTTTGCTGGATGACGACTTTGTCTTTGCTTTATGATGATGGTAAAAAAAATATACATATTAAGCATCAAGGGAATGACAAGATAGAAATATCAAATTTGGAGTCACGGCGAACTCGAATATGCATGGTCTCCCAGCCATAATATAGTCTAGTCTCATATTGCATCGTTTAAGCATATGAAGGATCAATGGCTGATATCTTCCTCACTCTCGAGTTGTTGAACATATTAAAAGTCTAGTACTTGATATCAACTATGCATATCACGGTTTAAAATGTACAAGAATTCATCATACTTTTGTTGGTAATACTACTTAGAATTGTGTTTGAGGTTGGAAGATGGTACAAAAACTACATCGATCAGTTCTAACAAAACAACTCTAATATCACGTATCTAATCCTAATAGCTAGATAGAATGAGGAGAAATGGGAAAGTGGTATTGGGTAGATTAATGGGGGGTAAATGGCATGGGAGACAAAGCAAGGAAGAAGAGGAATGGGAGAGTCACAAATGGCATGCAATGCAAGAGAGGGCAGCAGATCATATATTGTTGCTGCTGTCTGCTACAATGCACTGTATAAGCGCCACCATCATATATTCATATCATCCTTCTTCCTCCTGTTTTGCCAAAAATAGTAAATAAAAAAAGGAGAGGAGAGGAGAGGAGAGGAGAGGGAGAGGGGTAAGAAATCAAAAAGACCAAATTCACAGCTTAGCTAGCTATATCTGTTATCTTCTTTCTCCTTCTCCCCTCCCCTCCCCCAACTACAATTCACCCTTTAATTTTAACTTTTTCTCTTGGCCCTATTCTCCCCATTAAGTGTTTGCCTGCCGAGCGTCCTCCATATCGCCCTCCAACACCAATTACCTCACTCTCACTCCCACTATTACTGCTCCATCTCTTTCCCAACACTTCGCTTCCCTCCCTCCCTCCCTCCCTCCTTTTATGATCTGCTCACTGAAATCTAAAATCCCCAGGCAGTACACAGACAGACTTACTATTCCTAGAGAAACCTTTTCTTGCCTCCCTTCCCAATTAAGCTCCATATCTATACCTAGATAGATAGATAGAGTCATCAGATCAGATCAGATCAGATCAGGCAAAAGGAGAACCAAGCAAAGCAGCACAAGGGCGCTGTCCTAGCTAGCTAGCTGCACAGCACGGGTAGATGATGGTCGTGATTAGATAATCGATCATGATGGTGGTGATGAAGATGGATATTGATGATTGATTTGTGCAGACGTGGAAGGCCAGGAGCCGGCCTGTAATTGGATGGAGCCACCTGGCGACGGAATCACGGCCAACATCATCACTACTTGTACTGATCATCATCTTCACTCCTCCTCTTCTTCGGGTCATTGTATTCGGGTCGGGCAGGGGGTCATGACCCGCCTTGCTTCTGCTTCTGCTGACGATCTCCTGCTCTTCCCCTCCTCCTCTTCGTCGTCGTGTTATGGAGTGAAGACGAGGAAGAAGAGAATGGCGAGGCAGAGAAGGCACAGCTCCACCATTACCCATCTCTTCTCTTCCTTCAACACCACTGCTGCTGCCTCCCACGTGCCGCCTCCTCCCCCTCCCCCCGCACGTGTGAGCTCCACTTCCCCACTCCCCTCCACCTTCACTCTAATTTACTTAATTTTTTTCTTCTAAATTCTAATGATAATCGTCAGTCATCCCCACTTAAGTTTCTAATTCAATACAATTCATCCTCACGTACATCTACAAACGTCCACCGTACTTTCCGTCTTTTAATTTCTAGCTCGTGGATATTTGTCGGTTGCCTGCCAATGGAAATGGGTCACACACATTGCTCCTTCTCTTCTTTTAATTTGTATCCTTTAAAGATCATACGGGGGAAAAACAATTCTTCGATTAGTAGTTTGTTTGTTTGTTGTTAACGATTGCTTGAATTGTAAGATTCAATAACTAACGTGGAACTGCAATTGCCGTGATCAATCGTTGAACAGGAAATTGACCCAAGGAGCTTGAGGTTCTTGTTCCAGAAGAAGCTCAAGAACAGCGATGTTAGCTCCCTCAGGAGAATGGTCCTTCCCAAGGTCTCTCTACCTCATCCTTTATACTAATTTCTCCTATTTCTGGCATTCCTATAGATAGATGTGCATTCGTTCATGTTGGGATCGTCACTAGCTAGCTACTTTCTCAACATTATATATATATATTCTCTTGTGATTGCATATATGATATAAAATGAATGATTCAGAAAGCAGCAGAGGCACACCTCCCTGTGCTGGAGTCCAAGGAAGGCATGTCCATCACCATGTATGACTTGGATGCCACCCATGTCTGGACCTTCAAGTACAGGTTCTCTTCTCTATTAATTAATTATCTCCCTCCCCCTTATTCCCAAACTAGCTAAATGCTGCAGGGCTAGCTAGTCGAATATAATGCACTTGATTAACAAGGATGAGATGAATAATGTATAACAGAGCTCATCTGTATTAATTGTCTACTTCAGGTATTGGCCTAATAACAACAGCAGAATGTATGTCTTGGAGAAGACAGGTAAAAACAAACCACCATACCCGGCCTCTTTCCCTATGCTTGAATTGGTGACTGACAATATCCTAACCTTCAAAATCAATTGCCATGATCAGGTGACTTTGTTAATGCACATGGACTGCAATCAGGAGACTTCATCACACTTTACCAAGACTGCCAAAACCAGCAGACCTATGTACGTAATTAAGTTTCCTCAGCAAGAACGAACGTTGCCACAATATAGACACATATATAAATTATTCATGTTAAGCGTATCATTCTGATGTGATCAATGTTTTCTCTTTGGCAGGTCATCCAAGCTAGAAAGGCTTCTGAGGAGGAGAGCATATTTGCAGACATAATGAACAGTGATGTCATGAGCGTGGTTCAGGACCTTGATCATCCCCACCACATTGCTGGAAAGACCAACTCGCCCCTCTACTACGATAGTATTAGTAATGCAATGGAGAGCGCGGCTGCCAGCTTCTCCTTCATCTACGACAGCACAACCACCTTCTCCAACGACTCCCCCTTGGATTTTTTGGGTGGATCGATGACCAACTTCCCCACAACAGGGAACCACCTGGAGAGCTTTGGTTCCATTGAGGCGCTTTCCCTTGATGACTTCTATTAGCCAGCCCAGCCCAGCCCAGCCAGGGGAATATGTTTGCCTCTGTCTGCAGTATATGACTATCTTTGATTTTGCTCAGCCCTCCCGCAAGATATATATCTATTATAGGTTGGTACTGTACTAATTATGAATGTCTCTTTACCGACTGTGGCCTTCATACATTTACAGACTGAGACATGTTGGTATGCCGTATGTATTAATTGTAATAAAGTGGAACACTAGCTAACTAGCTTCCTAACAAAATGTAGTTTGTGGGAACGTAACTTTTCAAGTGTATGCAATGTAGCCAAGTCCAATCCTTTGTTTTTCCTAAAAATACAATCATGTAATTAATACTCATAGAGACAAAAATTAATGTTATTAGTTTGTGGGAACCTATAGCTATATTGTTTGATTGTGGATAAAACCTTCAAATGTCAACTACCGAGTTAAGCAAAATGTGTAAATAGGTTGTGCAAACTTCAAAAACCTGACATAAAGCTATAAGTGTCCACATGATCACCAATTCATGAGAAAGGTATGTAACGATATGTTTTTTTTCAAGAAATGTAACAATATGGTTATAATGACAATATGCTAACTAAACTAAGTAATTTGTAACGAGAGTAGCTAAATATAATTTGTGTTTTGTTCAAAAGTGTCAAAACACCGAATGAATGCTTTACATTACTAAAATCATCGTGACAAGAGCCCACACAAACACCGAACTTGACCCTTTTCCAATTTATTGCCAACTTGCAAGCCTAGCTCCCAATTTGCAAGCAAATATACTAGTGTAAGAACATACTCATCCCATAACTAAAAGAATGAGCGAGTGTGAGCATGCGAGTGCTAATTGGGCAACTTTCATTAAAATGATGATTTTCTTTGATGCACTCAGAATAAGTAAGATAGAATGACAAAAAAAAAAGATTATTTTGATGTGTATTGCCAAGTATATCTAACATTTAACCAAAATACTGTAGTTTTAGTGATTGTTAAATGTTACGTCATTAAATACTACTACAAATTAACCAAATCACCAATTCACCAACAAGCCCTTCTAGCTCAGTCGGTAGAGCGCAAGGCTCTTAACCTTGTGGTCGTGGGTTCGAGCCCCACGGTGGGCGTGAGTTTTTTCGCCTCTGGCTTCGCTTTTAATCGCCGGCGACAATAATTTCAGCTGATTGTTTTAATCATTCAAATCTTACGACGAGGATGCGTTGGCATGATTTAAGTGGTCCGTGGAAAGGCCTTACGGTGCAGAGCGTCACAGGAAGGCCAGCGATCTACACACGCACATTACGTTCCTTCCCTTCCCAGTTCCACATCTCTTCTTACTTCTTCCTTTTCTTCTCTCTCTCTAATCCTCCCTTGGCGAACAGCAATTTCTTCACCTCCGATCATCAATGGCGTCGAGATACTGGGTGGTCTCTCTGCCGGTGAAGGACTCGGCTTCTCCGCTATGGAATCGCCTGCAAGACCAAATCTCCCGCCATTCCTTCGACACTCCCCTCTATAGAGTAAACCATCCCCTATCTCTTGCGATTTCCCTGCTTCCGATCCCACCTTTTCGAACTGCCCAGATTACATATTCCGTGTTTTTCCTCTTTTCCTGTTTCAGTTTAGCATTCCTAATCTCCGCGTGGGAACCCTTGATTCGCTCCTCTCCCTCAGTGATGACCTGCTCAAGGTTTGTTGATCTCTTTTCGTATGTTACCTTCTCAATTTTGCGTTCCGTAATAGCTTATGTGGTGTTTGATTCGACGAGGGCAGTCCAATAGCTTCTTAGAGTCGGTCTCGCACAAGATTAGGAGGCAGATCGAGGATTTGGAGAGAGTTTCCGGCGCAGAAAGTAATGCTCTCACTGTTGATGGTGTGCCCGTAGATTCGTACCTCACCAGGTGAATAATTGAGTTCGATCCTTCAATGGGAAAGTTTGGTTCTTTTTGGAAGAATTGGATCTCTGTGATATTGGTGAGTGAATTATCTGTGTTGCGATGATAGGTTTGTTTGGGATGAAGCGAAGTATCCTACGATGTCTCCTCTGAAGGAGATCGTTGATGGAATTCATAGTTCAGTAGTGAAGATTGAAGATGATCTCAAGGTGACTGACTGCTGGTTTGCTGAAACTTTTTGTGTAATTGGATTTGAACTTTGTGAGACTGAAGGAGATCTCCCGCTTCCTGTTTTAGGTTCGTCTAGCTGAGTATAATAATGTTCGCAGTCAGCTCAATGCTATTAATCGCAAGCAAAGTGGCAGGTACAATCTTTTCCATTTGATTCCTGTGTGTACAAGAAGTCAAGAAGTATAGCTTTCATTTTCTTAACCAAGGGAGGCATTACTTTTCATTTGTCTGTTCAGCTTGGCTGTTCGCGATCTGTCCAGTTTGGTGAAACCTGAAGATATAATTTCCTCTGAACATCTCATAACCCTTCTGGCAGTTGTCCCCAAGTATTCACAGAAGGACTGGTTGGCTAGCTATGAAACTCTGACTAATTATGTGGTAAGATCCATGTCTCTCAGCTTTAATAGTAGTTGAGTTGCTTTTTTCTATATCACTTGAGATCTCTAGGACTGACAACTCTAGGTTTAGGCTTATCGTTCCAGTCTTGAGTCACTGTTACTTCTTTTCTTGTATTTGTGCTTTGGCATCTTATCCTGTTCGGCTCTTCCAGGTTCCAAGGTCGTCCAAGAAGCTGTTTGAAGATAACGAATATGCTCTCTACACTGTAACACTATTCCGTCGTGTGGCAGACAATTTCAGAACAACTTCTCGGGAGAAGGGGTTCCAAGTGAGTAATATGTTCCCGTGCATTTGATATAGTGTCCTTTCATGCATGTAACAATTTTTTTAATCCTACTTGTAGTCATCATGTGGCTTGAGATGTGTTTTCATGTGTTGAACGAAGGATTTAGTTGGGAATTTTCTGATGTGGCTGTTCTGATCATGTGCTTCAGATTCGTGACTTTGAATATAGCTCCGAAGCACAGGAAGGTAGGAAGCAAGAGATGGACAAACTAGTTCAAGATCAAGAAAGTTTGAGAGGCTCTCTTTTGCAATGGTGTTACACTAGCTATGGGGAGGTAAACATATTTTTCCTTACTTTCTTCTATTATAATTTGAGAGTGCAGCCGTGCTAAATAGTGATTGAATGCCTGGTCTTTGCCTGCAATTTGATATCTATTGTTTTGTGGACCTGAGAATTTGAGCTTTTTGTCAAGAGCTAAAGATTACTGTTAGTTAATTGGAAGAGATAGAATCTATCTTTTAGCAAGTGAGATTTAGGCAATTGCTAGATGGCATGTGTCTACCAGAACCAAAGTTGGAGAACCATGAGGTTTCAGTCTGAAATTTGTTTATTTCTAGCTCTTGTTTGTCAGTCTACTATTTTGGTTTTGATGATCTCTCTCAAAGAAGATGGAGGTTTCGGCCTAATTTTTTGTTTTTGGGCCTGACATATGTCCCTCAAATGTTCAATTACGCTACAGTGTTGATAGCTGATCCTCTTTTCCTGCTCCCTCTTTTCCCCGCAGGTTTTCAGCTCATGGATGCACTTCTGTGCTGTGCGTATATTTGCAGAAAGCATTTTGAGATACGGATTACCACCGTCTTTCTTGGTAAATATTGTCTTACATAGCACCTCTCTCTTGTTTCTCAATGGCTGGCCTTTTTATGAACTGTTCGGATGCTTTCTTGCAGTCATGTGTTGTAGCCCCAGCTACCAAAAGTGAGAAGAAAGTACGCTCTATCCTTGAGGGCTTGTCTGATGCTGCAAACAGGTGAGGTTCCGTCCATGCTTGGTAGCGTATTTGAATCACAAGAAGGCAAATTATGGTCCTACAGGCAATGCTGGATTTATTGTGGTTGATGGGTGACTAGTCTCTTTATTGAAATGGTTCATTTTCTTTTGATTTATGCAGCACCTTCTGGAAATCAGAAGATGAAGCAGGGATGGCAGGCTTGGGAGGCGATGTCGACGGACACCCTTATGTGTCCTTCACGATCAACCTCCTTTGAGCTTGTATTCAAGATCTCCCCATCCGAGTTCCCTGTTTGTGTCAGAGACCCAAAGTATTTTTATTGAACAGCAATAAAGAGAGACTATGATGAAGAATGGTAGTAGTGTATATTAGCACTTGGTAACTCAAATTCTTTGGTTTTTAATCTCGATTGGAGGGTCTCTGTGATTCCAGCTGGATCTTATACTGAGAGTGTAAGGCAAGACTTGCGGGAAGGGAAGGTCTTAGTTAAACTACATCTACATGACCATTGTGGAAGAGTACATTTTCATTCTTTTCTCTTTGTCCTGCCGAGATTTTGGGGTCGTCATATGCTTTGGCATCGTATCTATGTATTTAATCCTTGTATTGTGTATGAATGATATCTTTCTATTCAGGTATGCAAGCTTGCCCTCTTGTATTATGAAATATTTGAGGAACAAATCCTGGGATCGTTTTCGCTACTGAGATGCCAACGTTTCCAGTTTCTGCTGATACTAACATGCCGTTGGAGAGCAGTATACATCTGAACTGCTGTGGAGCTTATAAGAAAATAAATTATTTGCAAGTAGTCCTTCGGCAGGTTCATAACGACTATAGGCTTCGGCTCACATCCTACAGTACCAAATTTTGCCCAACAAGAACCAGAAAACAACCTCCATAAGACAGCTGCTGAAACGGGAATCGCATTGCATAAGCGCAGTAAGCTACCATTTAAATTGAATAAAATTGTGCTGTGCAAACGCATCCTAGTCACACCAATTGTAGCCAAGGTTACCCTTTTCTTTTTACTAACCAAATAAATGCATTTGTCTGAATCAAATTTCCCAAGGGATGCAGAAACATCCCCCGCCCTCAAAATCCAAAACCTAGAATAGTCAACTTCGACAAAAATGGCTTATAACGTCTGGGGTATCCTACCCAACAAAAGGGAGTAAATCTTCAACAGTGTCATTTAAGGCTATGAATCCACCTTCTAGTTCCGCTTATTTGTCCTATAGCTCTTTACCAAACTTCACAGAAAGCACCAAAATCGATCAGATCTTCAATTCATCGTCCTAGGCCTCTGCAGTCTCGGTAGAAGGAAGTGCAGCTGGTGCAGGGGTAACACCACCAGTGGTTGGCCTGCCAAACCCAAACAGTTCGGAAATCAGTTCCCAAATCAAACTCACTGAATCAGGATAACTGACGAACGAGGGCACTAGAAACAGATACTTACAGGCCAACAAAAACCTTGAATGCATCATAGATACCCCATTGAGCTCCAGTGAGAGTTCCAATCATGACAATACGCAGAGGAAGCCCACGAGTGAACAGACCAACCATCCCAATCTTCTTCACAGCCTGTAGCAGCAGAAAAGAGTGTGATGGCCAGCAACGATTTGGAATAAGTAAACTCAGCAAAGCTTCACAGGGCAGAATCAAGGACTCACATCACCAACGGTAGCTCCCTTGGCATTGTTGAGGAAAGACACAAGGTTGTCAGCTGGATGAGAGACAATTGCGCACAAAACACCAGCAACATACCCACCAGCAAAGCTCACACCAAGCTGCAGTCCTTTGCTGCATTCGCTCTTCGGCTGGGGGATTGCATGTTTGTAGATGAGCTCCACAATCATCTCGAAGGAAGCAAACTTCATCATGGTGTCTGCATAGGAAGATAAACAGTCAAAACACTTTGACAGACGAGAACTAAACTACCAACACAAAGAGGGAGGATCACTGCTATAGGTACCAGCATGAAATTGACTTAACCAAATCCCATCCTAAGTAACATTGAATGTCACGTTATCATACTTTGACAAGACTCTACTTATGTCTGCCAATTTTAAGTTAGATAGATGCAGGATGACATTTGATTTCTTTGAATTTAGCATTCAATACATAAGCAATCCACATCAGCATTATTCCATTTATCTCAAAGTGACCAGAACCGAGAGCAAATTTGAATAAGAGAAATCATTGTGTTTATACGGGCAAAGAATAACTCTAATGGCCCAGGCTAATGAAATTTCTGCTGACCACACATTTCAGATATACCAAACAAGACTAATTTGATGGAAATTGGACAACAAAAGACCAGCTGAACGCAACCAAACCTCGAAATACTTCAGCTCACAATCTATACAACAGCAGCATTCTCTTCCTATAAGCATAACTATAAAATAGTCTATAATACTACAAGCCGCTATCAAAGAGAAAACGAGGATAACAAATTACTGAAAGAAAAACAGTTTCCAGGACTCCATTGACAAGGAATTTGAACCTTGTTGCACAGGATAACGGTTCAAGTAAAACTTGCGATGACCACACATTTCATACACAAACAAAACTTAATGGAGATTGGATGCAAAATCAGCTGAAATGCAACTAAATCTCATTATCATCAGTCTTCCGTATATACTACAACTGCCTAACCTTCGATTCAGATACTAAAGGCTAGTTTCAAACACAATATAAAGAGCACTAATTACTAAAGAAAAGTAGGTAAGGGTCCACTTACAAGGAATTTGGCGTCCCCAGAGAGGAACAAGACCCTTGTACAATCTGCATGATAACAGTAAAAGACAATGTCAGGAATGCGCCGAGCTGTGATGGATATTAAACAACTCATTCACTCGAAAAAGAAGCAACGGATATTAAACAATTCATTCAGTCGAATAGAAGCACATACCCCAAAGCACCTTCAGATCTCACGAACTTGGGCAGACCATCAGAGAGACCTCTGGCGAACCCAGGCTGAGTCTGCACTCTAACCTTCACTGCCTCAAACGGGCAAAGAGCAATGTCAGCAATCACCTCAGCAGAGGCAGAACCAGCAAGGTAGATCAAGGTCTTGTACTTGGCAGAATACTCGGGGCCAGCAATATCAGAGTAGTACTTCTTGAAGAATTCATAGAAGCCAAACTTGCAGGCGCCCTGAGCACTGTAACCAAGGAGAGTAGGCACCCATCCCCTGAAGAAACCTCTTACACCTTGCTCCTTGAGCAACACCCCGAAGCCAGACGAGATGCTTTTGTATTTGGTAGGGTCAATCTGGAAAACAGCAATTCCATTCGTCTCAGCAAACATTCTTCCTAACACATATCTATAGCATATCAAGGAATCGGAGCGAGAAATTCACACGGAAACTATCGAGAACAGCAAACACGAGAAGGGCAGATCAAAATGATTTCCAGATATTCAACCTCAATCGACTTCAATACGACTATTACGAGACCGACGAAGAAAAGTTACGGGTCTGAATTCTGGTATATCGATAAACAGGTCAAGCGTAGTCAAACCAATCAGAATCGTAGATCTGAATCAACAAAGAAATGGACAATTTTAACGCAAGAAGCCTACACCTAACAAGGAAAACGAGAACGAAACAATCCACGAGCTAAGAGCAACAACGCAGCCAAACAAGGATCTGAAATCCAGAAATGAAGAAAAACGCTACCAGATCTGAGCAAACTTTACCTGCATATTGCACTTGACGAGGTCAAGAGGAGTGACGGCCATGTGAGTGAGACCGCAGCTGAGGATACCGCCGGCGGTACAGGCGGCGTAGAAAGCCGGAGAGTACATCTCGATCTTCCCGGGCTCGCTGGGAGCGGGGATAGCAAAGCCACCGGCGGCGGCGGCGGGCTTGCTCATGAGGGAAGGGGAGTGGTGGGAGAAGGCGGATTCGGCGGCGGGACTGGAGTTAAGGAGCTTGGAGAGGGTGAAGGACTTGGAGGAGACGGAGGAAGAAGAGTAGAGGAAGCTCGGGATGAGCGAGTTCTTGGTGGAATCGGAGAAAGCCATTGCTGCGTTTTTCGTCGAAAGGGAGGTGAAAGCTTTGAGAGAGAGAGACGAGAGGTGAGAGAACTCTGCTATCTCTCAGCTGCCAAAGCTTTAGTTTGCTGCCGAGAAAGGTGGAAATGAAATTTCCTGACAGTATATAATCGATCGCGAGTTCGGACCAACCCTGGCTCGGCCTGGGTCATGACGAGTCGTTCCCTAATCCGCGTGAATTGAACGAGACCGATGCAGAGCGCAGGCACTCACACACACAGCATGCACCTGAGTTTCGAGTTATTTACGGTAATGCCACCGACTGGGATGACACTTCTGTCTGTTCTGTCTGACCCTCTTCCCGCCTCGTTGACTACTCTTGTTAGTGGTTCCTGAATCCTTGATCAATTATTTATTCTACATTCTCTCATTAAAAACTACATTCTCTTTTGATTCTTGAAAAACATTTGTCCTCTACTTCTACCATTCAAAAATTTAATTTTTAATCTGGTTGAACTTTTCATTTGTTGGCGATTCTCGTCATCATCAATTTTGATTTTATTATTATTTTTGAGTACCTTAAATTAATTTGCCCAACCTGAATTTTAATTTTTCATGTACCAACTAATGAAGAACATATCTACGAACGATACTCATTGTTGTTGATATCGACAAAAATCATCGCATACAACTCTTCAATCACCGGAGGGTGAATCCATTTGAAATCGTGTAGCTCTAAACAATCGTATTTACATGTATGAATCAAAACAATTAATACATTTTTTTGGAAGAAAAGAGTATGGTAGTATACAATTTTTTTTTTTTTTTTTTTTTTGGTAGTATACAAATTGATTCCAAAGTTGTGGGATGGTGGTCAAGGTGGAAAGCAATAGGATGGTCAAAGGTGTAAATAATGGTAGAAGGGAGTGGCATATCCGCATATGTTGAAGCAGCGGGGCAGGAGCGGCCAGCGATAATTGGTTGGGGAAAGGGCGGGTGATGGACGAATATTCCACCATCATGTCTCGGGAACGTCAACAGGCCGGAGCTCCGGTAAGGGAAAGAACGGCGATGGCATATTGGACCCGTAACTAATTTTGGAGACCTTAATATTTAATCACGTGATTTAATTAATTGGTCTTTCCTTCTTCTTTCGTTTCTCTGTTTCTGGTAGGAATTTTATGGATTCAATATCCAAGTTTGTAGAGTTTTCAACACCGTCCAATGTGTCCATAATCAAGTTGTACGTAAAAAGTAGTATTGTACCTATATCTGTTTTTACATTGATAATCAAATGGGCTTCCTTTTGGAACCCATCAAGCCACTCTTATCATGGGCTAATAGCCTTCTCAGCATAAAACCAACCAGAAAAGGTCGTACGAGTAACTAGATTTGAAACCCGAGCCATGCATTATTTCAAAAATATTAGCAATTATTGTTACTGTGTAAGCAAGATATATTTTTATTGGTATCAAAAGTCAAAATATCCGAACTATTCAATTACTGGATTTTTTTTAGAAGGAACATACATCATAGTATTTTCTAATATGCTAACCGGTTCATCAACAAAATCTGATATGTTAACTGGTTCATCAATGAAAGTTCTTACTGAAAATAAAAAATAGAACTCATGAAAGGGAACTAACTCTTAAAAAACTTCAGTAAACTACACTTCAAATTACTTCTTGCTGTAAAAATTACTGTAATTTTCTTATGAACTTCTTTGCTATTTCTTCACCATATGTATCATTATCTCTGTCAATAATTGTAGTTTCATATTCATCACTGCGAGTCTGCGACCTCTCTATCCATCATCAATAGTCTACCTATTATTCTCAACAATGTCACAACGTCACTATCACTATTTTCGAATTCACTACCTCCACCATAAAAAAAACTATTTCTTCTTCACCTTTCATTTTATTGAAATTTTAGTTAAGTGTAAAACTAAAATGTTTGCAAATATGAAACCTTTATCAATTAAAGATTCTTAATTGATGTGGCTACTAACCAATATTTTAATGTCCCACACGTTTAGCTTTCAAAGTAAAGGTTATAAATATTTTATTTGGTTAAGGAATAAAAATCCTACTACTATTGCACGTATTGTTAATGTATAGACATATTTATTTGGTTTAGAAGTCTAAATATGCTTTATTTTAATAGTTTATATGCCAAAAACACCTTTCGTACAAACTCTCATAAGGCTCGAAATTTAGAATATAATAGGTTCTGATGGAGAATCTCCATATAATAGTGGTAGGATAGGATACCTCTCCGGCTTCAAGGTGCCTGACAACACAAATCCAATTGAGCTAGCTAATATATGAACCACCATGAATTTACGAAACCAGGTAGTCCGACTACTAAAGGAAACAATCTCTAGCCAGACCTTACTGAACCACAAAAGTTCATTCTTAACGTGTGCATTTAGTTTCCTGCGACAGGTTTCGTGCTCTCCCGGCCAAGATAGATTCTCTCCGGCAAAATTAAATATGACTGAACCCAACGAACAACAGGGAACATTCTTCCAGCACTTGGGACATGGAGGCAGCAGCAACCCCCTCAGCCCTCAGGCTTCACCACACTCTCTCGGGTAAAACCAAAACCTTCTAGCTAATTTCTTCCTTTGGTAATAAGGATATGATTAAATGTTATTTTGCAGGGTCGAACAAGAGACTGAAAGCTATGGAGGACGGAACTACCTCTATGACTAAAAGCAGTAAGAATGCACCAGAACGAATCCCAAAGCTTGAAGGGTTTGGGGCATCTTACAGTTCTTTAGCTGAAAGATGCGACCACCTGCTGTCGTTAAATCTATGCCATGAATCCAGCTCAATGTCTAGAGGAGCCTCTGAAGATCAAGTGCTGGCAGCTGAAAGTTCTTATCCACCAGATGCTGCTGCCACAGATAATGAGATCATGGTGAATCTAATCACCCAGCCAATGCATTCACAGGGCACTGATGACAGAGAACCAGACTTGGCTGAGCTCAAGTTTCAAGTTGCAAAGCTGATGGAGGAGAATCTGTGGCAGCAGGCAGAGTTGGCAAGGAGAAATGTCGAGAAGAAAGTGACTATCTCCAGGCTTCAATCACAGGTTGAACATTTGAAGCGTCAGAATATGGCCCTCCAGGATTCTATCAGCTTCTATGAAATGGGGAAGAAGAATCATCGATCATCAACTTCAAAGTTGCACCAACTTTGGGACAAGCTCTGCAGAAGAGAATATACAGATTGATTATAGTCGCTTTCCCAGATCCAACCAGATCATCTACTGTATATAACTTTAATCGAGAATTGGCATTGATGGTTACCAATAATCTCCACATGAACAAAAACCATCTTTGAAGTGATGAAACCGCTTTGAGTCTCTTACTATTATCTCTCGATTCACAATCTTGGATATCAGCTTAATCACAGTGTGACAATCCCCACAGACCCTTAGATTCTTCATAACTTGAATCATTGCTCCAGGAACCGAGTTCATAATCCCGAAGGCAACTGCTAGCTTCTCACTATGGCCTCTCAGATTTACTTCCTTCTCTTCCTCATCAATGTCATGTGGGACAGAAGTCATATCAGGTACATAACCAGCTCGCTGCAGCTTCACCCCAAGTTCCTCCAGATACCGGTAAATGTCCTCGTGGTGAGGATGCTCCTTATCTCCAACCAAGAAAACATGCACTCTGCCATTGAGTTCGATTAAGCTAAAACCAGGAGTCTTGACCAGGCCACTATCTTTCATGAGCTCTCTCATCCTCTCAACATCTTTCCATCTCCCAGCATCTGCATATATATGGGAAAGCAATACATAATATCCGGAATTACTCGGGTCTAGTTCGAACAACCTTTGAGCTGAAATTTCTGCTAGCTCTAAATTCTTGTGGATTCTGCATGCTGCTAGCAGAGAACCCCAGAGGATGAAATCAGACCTCACCTTCATCCTCTTTATCAGATCATATGCCTCGTGAAGATGACCTGCTCGGCCAAGAAGATCAACCATGCAACTATAATGTTCTAACCTGGGTTCCACTTGAAACTGATGGTTCATAACGTTAAACCAATGCCTGCCTTCATCTACCAGACCAGCATGGCTACAAGCAGCCAGTACCGATATGAAAGTTATGTAATTTGGTCTTACACCAACCCCTAACATTTGATAGAAAACATCCAAGGCTTCTCTCGCAAGACCATGCATACCATACCCTGCAATCATAGCAGTCCAAGACCTTACATTTTTCACCTCCATGGCATCGAATGACTTCCTAGCCATCTGAACTTGCCCACATTTGCAGTACATGTCTATGACAGAGGTTCCCACGACTACATTGTCCAGCAGACCCATCACTATGACCTGTGATGAAAGATCGAAATAAGTTTGCTACTAAATGAGCCAAAGAAGAGATTCTTAATGAATCAATCACCCTAATCAAATAAGGAAGAATATCCAGTACCTGATCATGTACGCACTTGCCTGCTCGCAATGATCCACAATGTGCAGAAGCTAGCAATAATGTGGATAATGTCACTGCATTGTATCGGGTGAGGCCACCTTTTACCATTGCGCTGAAAGCTTCAAAAGCCTCTCCAGCTAAGCCACTTTGAGCATACACGGTGATCATAGAATTCCAAGACACTGTATCTCTATCAGTCATTCCATCAAACACCTTTCTAGACATTCCCACGGAACCTCCCTTGGCATATGCATCCAGCAAAGTATTACCAACTCCTACATCTCTATCGAACCCACACTTCACAACGAACCCATGTAGGCCTTCGGTCATCCCCTCCGCAGAGAGACGAGAGCAAGCCGTCAAAACCGAAACCATAGCAAACGAGTCGACTGAACTCTCATCGTCGTCATCACCACGGCTCAAGAGCTCCTTAAACAAGGATAAACCTTGGAGCGGATACTCATTCTGAACATACCCATTGATCAACGAAGTCCAAACGACGATGTTTCTTTGAGGAATTTCGTCGAACAGGTTTTTAGCATCGCCCAATTGGCCGCATTTAGAGTACATATCGATCAGTGCGGATGACACGAAGAGGTCGAATTCGAAGCCGAACACCAAAGCCTGTTGGTGGGCTTGTTGGCCGGAGCGAACATCAGACAAGGCAGAGCAGGCTTTGATGGCGCAAGGAAAGGTAGAGCGGTTTGGGATAAGATTGAGCTTTCGCATGGAAGAGAAGGCGCGAAGTGACTCGAGGGAGTCGCCGCTGCGAGCAAGGTCAGCGATGAGGGAGTTCCAGGCATGGACATTGGTCTTCTCGAAATACTTGTCGAACCAAGTTCGGAGGTTAGCGTTCGACGCCGTCGAATAAAAATGGCCGTGCCGCCGGGGATTTTGAGTAGCTGGCGAAGAAACAAGCGGAATGGGACGTGGAATCTTCCTTTTCATTTTTCACATCAATTTTTCTATCGAATTAACTCATACTAGACACAACGATCCCTTCCACCATTAGACTCACAGAGTATATGCAGAGGCCTCGTCCCGCGTGCCCGCCCAGGGGCAAAGTCACATACCGATCTCTGATGACCAACGCGCGTCCGGACCACCAAACGACCCCAACTAAGGCCAACCAGAAGCTAACGACCAGTCCCACCCCGATCGAGCCCCCAAACCCCGTCAGATCCCAATGAGGCCTCACCCAACAACAGCCCACACCGAAGGACACGCCAGTTTGAAACAATACATCTCAGTCACGTTGTACAGTAAAAGGTGTCTGCGTGTACAGTACCAGGGGCTGCTGTGGGTTTCTTTCTTTCAATAGGGTAGGGTATATGAGCTGAGTTTCCATATTACAGTTTGCCCCCCAAAATTGAGTAGTAGTTACACTCACGTCCTATTAGAATTAGAGTATCCATGTACCATTGTACCAACTACCATGTTTACTCGAAAGTTGAAACTAGATTAGGGGGCCATTTTGAACTTCTCATTTTGTAGCCTAAGAATGTTGAGATGGACTTTTTTCCCTAGACCACATGACATACTCCAAACCCTGAGCTAAAGTTTATTAATTAGAATTTCTGAGAATTGTAAGGGACTTAGTATGTCAAAAGAACATAGAACTGAAAGCTTAATAAGCAAAATCACTTAGAAGGTAGGAGAATTGTGAACTACTGACCCACCCTCGCAATAAAATGGATATTGCATCCCTCTTCTGTTAACCACTGACCCACTTAGCTTGTTAGCCCACACTATGCCGCGGGTCGACAATTTGACAATTGCTTTGCGGGCGTTTAATCAGTTTGTTGCTTTTATAGTAGGTTCTTGTTTGTTTGGGGTGGTTTGGTTTTGGTGATAATTTGTTTGGGTAGTTACAATTCGTGCTTTTATAGTTACAATACAAGCATTGTCCACAATGCATCGTTTTTTTGAATTTTCTGCACAAACAATACGTGCATTATTTGCTTGATTTGACACAATCACTCAAAATGAGTGATAGTTAAATCTCAAGTTTTGGTTGAGTTTGTTGAGATTGTTTGGTAGAGATTGTTGAGTTTTCTTTTGTTCCAACTATGTCCCTACATTTTTATATGTGTTGTTTTTAGTATTAAAAACAAAGAGTACAAGTGACATTTCACCCAAAAAGTAATATATCTATTTCAACATTCCAATAACTATCACAGAAAGCAAACAATGTAAACTACAATACACCAATTTTCTTATATACATGTATATTATTATGCATGCATTAATGACAATACATCAATTTAACTATCACCAAAACCAAATAATATTATGACCTAGCCTTTATCTGTTGTTTATCTTTCTAATGAATTATATATCATCATATATTCTAATTTTATGCTTCCTCACTATATTGTGCCAAAAATAGTTGAATAAAGCCAGTGTGAAACAATCTTCTGAATACCAAGTGTTGTATTTTAATGAGAGATGGCTACGAAAACTAAAAATTATTCTGTTACAACCTTTATGATTGGAACTAATAAAGAAACAATTTCAGGAAATAATAAACAAACTGGAGGCGTAAAGAGAAACCGATGATCTAATTTGCAGGCCATAGAATATAACTTGAAGCTATGGAAAGTACCAAATAAAATGGACAATCTGCTAGCTAACTGTCAAATCTGCATAGAGGAAAGAATGTCCTACCACAAGTCCGCAAGTTATGCAAGGAACTAATTAATACAACACCATTGTGGGTTTCATAGTTAAAACATTCAAGACGATTCGATTTCATTCCTTATATATTGTTGGTCTGCAACTCTGCATCTTCTTCCTTCTTCAAATTTCCATCCTTGCTACTGGAATGAAGCTTTCATGAAACTAAAGTTCTTCATTATCATACTTATAGGTATATAGCTGCATTATTGAGAATTAAAATTAAGAAAATCTGCATTCTTCAAATAAAGAAACAACACAGGCAAATCAAAATGAAATCAAAGGCTAGTCAACCACAGGACCAAACATTGTTTGGTTGGTTGTTATATGAGAAGTAGACCGAAAATGTGCATTTGTTTGCTAAATGTGAACATAAAAATGATGCTCAACCACCACCTAGCATCAACCAATATAAGTTATTCCATTGTATGGCATGCATATCTACTACTTGTCAAAACTCAAAATGATTTTAGAGAAGGCAATATAGATATCAGTCAACGAATCTCCAAGGTGTACGAACATTAAACGATTGAATCCAACATAATAAATGCTCAGCCCATAAAGAGAGAAGTTTAAAGTTAAAAATGCAACCCATTGGTACGTAGGTTCTCTACATGATAGATATTTCATTCCTATTTTTATTGTCAATTGTTATGCTAGAAAAAGGCAAACCATCCATCTATTAAATTCACCCGTTATGATTGATAGATTGATTTGCCTTTTGACCAATTCCATCCATGGATGGCAAATGGGTAGCACTTGAACTCCTCTCAGCTGCATGTGGAAGAATCCATTACAATCTGATCGGCTTAATTTAAGCTACTGGAGTATGCATTACACAAACACCAATCATGCAAGCATGGTCCCAGTAAAATTAATAGGCATGCTAGCTATGGTTCTGCAACTTAAGAGTTAACATAAATACTGGAGAATAACGCCTAATCAACTAATGACTAAGCAAGGAATTATCCTCGAATCCAGTTTTGCGACTTAACTGGTATAGTTCTGCAACTTGAGAGTATATACAAGCACACCGTTTTGTGGATTCGGTTCAACAACTCAATTTGGGGAGGGGGAAGTTTGTCGACATGGTACTTTTAGATACTCCCAGTTGGAGGTTTATGCATAAACTGAGTAGAAATAACTTAGGTGGTGTCTTGGCATTGGGGGATCATTTACATGAACTCATATGATAGCAAGAAAAGGTAGTGCAACAACCAAATTGAAGCCACCATTTATAAGCAACCAACCATGAGTTTGGATTAGTGGTAGTAGTGAGGCTGAAGAGTGCAGGGCATTTGCATAAACCATGACTCAATCTAATTTCATTCCAACAAACAAAAGTAATCAATGGATGATGTCTACCTATTAATTTGATTTGATCATATCCATTTGCGGTACTATACTTGAACATTTGCTCGAGAAGCACATTGAAATTGGAAAAAGCTAAGAAAATGATAATGGAAAGAGCGAGACAGAGCACATAGAAAAAGAATTAAGGACCACAAACATTAGACTCACTAGCAACAGATATGGGAATTGAAAATTTTCCTAAGATTAAACCAGTAGGGGAAAAAGGAAACAGATTCGAGGATTACCGGCATCGAGTAGAGAGAGAGAGATCATTTTTCGTAGGTGTTGGAAAAGAGAGAGCACTTTCATCCAAGGAAGACATGAATTGGATGCATAAGAGGATGATGAACTCAGTATCTTCTTCGTCGGTGCATGAGGTGAGAGAGGATAAATCTGGTGGTGGAAGAGATACATGGAGAGCTAGCATTGGAGTCGGAATCCATGAACTGAAACAGTAAACACCGCATTAGAATCTAGAAAAAAAATCATGAGTACCCCCATAAGAAAAATGGTAGTACTTTCAAACAAACACGATAGTTACCTTAACACATGACAAAAGTAATATGCAGTGTTCCTTAGTTAATCACCTGATTCACCTCATCACCTGGGTTTTTTTTATGGATGGAGTCTCAAATCCAATTTATGATATGTTTTCTTTATCACTAGCTGAGATGTTGTCGTCTGCACACCAAGAATCTGCAGCCAACGCAACATCATTTTGTAAAGCTAGCACCCAATCCTAACCTAATATGAGCAATCTACTAGACATAGCAAATAAGAAGGGCTTGAACAGTTCATCCCAAAAAAGAAGGGCTTGAAATCAACAATTTAATGGAACAAAATCATGAAGGTGGAACACCTGTTGAGATATAAGCATAACCATGTAGAGTACATCCATAATAGCTATTGTCTCTGTAACTGTTTAGTTAAGAACGACAATCCAAGCGAAAACTGATACTTGTAAATTGAATATAATTGTACTAAAATCAACGTAGTTCAATCACGAACGGCAGCTGATAATGTTTTACTAAGGAACCTACCAAAGGGCGCCAATGGTACGACAGTTGGTTTAGCTTATAATGTTATTTAGCCCAACAAGTCTCCGTGGAAACAAAGTCAGCTTAAAAACAACTTATCAAAACATAAAAGCAAAACCAGAGATCTCAATTCCATATAAAAGCTAACAAATTCCAGTGTAGATGAGAACAATAAACATTTTGAATCGTCGCAACACCAGCACAGCAAAACATACAACGATTAGCAATGAAAAGAGATATAGTTCAAAGCAAGGGGAAATGGGTTGAAGAAATATGAGAGCAATAACCTTCAAATCTAATTTAGCTTAACAATAATAACCTTCACAACTAATCAAATCTCCAAAATCACAACAGGTTATTATTCATCTCACTCTTCTTACTAATAGGAGACCATAAGGTGAGGATACATATTTAAATGTTAGTTGGGCATGTTCATCATAAATTTCAACCCGACAAGTCTCTGTGGTTAATGGTTTATTCATCCCAGCTAAGGAGAACATTCCACATTGAGAAGAAAGAATCTAAATCAACGAATAGCTAAACACTAAGCAACAAAAAAAAAAGGCAGGGTTTCCCATATCTCTGCACTACCAAACCTAAAATCACACACTCCCATCCAAGCACCCTAGATATAATTGGAGATCAGGTATGCAAAACGAAGTAATTGAAACACAAAAAAACCAGGTTTTGCCGATAGCAGGGGAGAATTTTCACCATGAGGACTGGGCAGAATTCAGGCGTCAGACAAAAGTGGCAACGTGGCAAACACCGGACCTTCCACATATCCTTTCTTCTTATTGGGCGTGATTTTTGAAGAATCGGAAGACTGCAGACTAAGAACAACAAACGAAAATAACTCCGACGGGGAAAATGTTGGGTTAGCAACTTGATTTCAACGGTTGGAGGGCGGCAATACCAGTAGGGAAATAAATGGATGGCTCGTTGTGTTCCAAATTGACACAGACAGATTTCTTTACTGGGCCGCAAGCCCATTTATTCCGACAATTCACAGGCCGACCACCAAATGAACTATAAATATTTTGTCCCACCCTCACAAAATACCCCTCCGAAAATCACTCTAGAGGCAACAACGTTTTTTATGAATAAGGCAACAAATTTTGAATGGCGGTGGAACTTATAATTTTCAGCTATTATAATTAGTGTAGATAGATTATCAACATAAACCATCAAATTGATCAGGGTATAAACTACAAAATAAATCAAATTAGCTAATTGACGAAGAAGACTAGAATACTCGAACACTTGACGACTTCAACTACCACAAAATGATGATGATGATGATGATTATTATTATTGGTATTGTAACAATTCGTAATGATCTAAAAACAGAAAGTATGAATGTGGTTTTGCAAAAGATGGTGTATACTGACATACTTTTATTAAATAATTAGAAGATTTATACCTTGTTTGTATGGGAGATGTTTAGTGGTGTGATATTTGTCAACAAATAATTTATTGTTTGTGAATGTGTTATTTGTATGCTATTTATGTGATAATTGGGTTGAAATGTTTGGATGAAGAGTTTTTTTGCAATGTGTTAGTCTATAACTAATAAGGTGAACAATCAATATGTCATCTTTGTAATGAATGAAGAACAAGCAAACAAACTTATTATACTCTGTGCACTTTTGAAATAACACCAACCCCGCCTTATTTTGAACACTTTATTTTGTGCTATTTTTAAATAATCCTGACCTCAAATAACTCAACCCAAAAATTTGAATCTAAATGAATTATTTTATTTTTTGAGTTATTTGGACCCAAATTACTCATCCAAACAAATAAAATAATGATTTTAACTATAAAAAAGTGTACGAACTAAATTACTAGCCAATTACTTCTTCAAAACACTATGACCGTCGGCGAACATAGTAATAGAGTCGCCTTCTCGAACAATCCCACCTAAAACTCCATCCGCCAATGGATCTTCAATAAACCTCACAATAACCCTCTTCAATGGCCTCGCTCCATAGCTTGGATTAGTCCTTCTCTTATCACCTTGTCCTTCAACCCATTCCCTACTTTCAATTCAATCCCATTGGAAGCCTTAATCCTCTCTGCCACATTACTAATTATAATATCTACGATCTTCTTCACCTGCTCCTCCTTTAAAGCCCTGAAAATTACAATCTCATCAATCCTGTTCAGGAATTCCGCCCTGAAGCTCGCTTTGATCTCCTCCGCAACTTTCAAATGCGCTTCATCGTCGGGAATCCCCTACTTTGAGATCACAATACTTTTCCCGATGTCGGACGTCATATGATGATAATGGAATTTCTGAAACCAACCTTCTGTCCAGTCCCCTTTGTCAAAGATCCGTAATCCGGAACTTGGAGAAGGGTGTTGCAGACGTTGGGATGGACCTTTTCTATTTCGTCGTACAACACGACGGAACTAGATTTTTGGCGGATTGATTTCGTCAATTGTCCACTGCGTTCGTGGCCAATGTAGCCAGTTGGAGCTCCAAAGAGACGGGAGACAGTGTCATTCTCCATGTATTCGCTCATATCAATGCGAATCAAAGATTCCTTGGATCCGTAGAATTCAAATGCCATTGTGTTGGCCAACTCTATTTTTTCCGACGACGGTTGGGCAGTAAAGAGAAAGCTAGTCACGGGCCTGGTTGGATCTCTCACCCACGATCTGGCCCTTTGGAATGCTTTGTTGACCGCCTTTACAGCAACGTCATGCCCGATGATATGGCTTTGAAGCTTCTCCTCCAAGTTGAGAAGTCGCAGGGACTCGTCCACGGTGACTAGGGTTGTTAATGAGCCGAGCTATTCGTGAGCGGCTAGGTCTTTAACTCGATAAAAGCTAGCTCAATTAAAAAAAAGTTTGGCTTGTTAATAAACGAGCTGAGCTTGAGCTCAGCCTTTTTCGGCTCATGAGGCTTGTAACACCTTAGGCAAATCCCACATCGACAAAGCACGGGAGAGATCCATGGTTCATAAGTAAGAAATCGGCCTTAACTGACAAGACGCGTTTCGGGGTGTAATGGAGGAGTTCTTGTGAGAACTCCGAAGTTAAACGTTCTCAGTATGGAGTGCAACAAGGATGGGTGACCTTATGGGAAGTCACCCTGAATTGCACCCAAAGTCAAAAACCGTGCAGGTGTAGAGGCCCAAAGCGAACAATATCTTGTCGGGAAAAGGTTCGGGATATTACAAGTGGTATCAGAGCCTCTCCATGTCCCTCTTGAACGATGGTGGGGCAAACCTCAACGAGGGCGTTGAGTCCCAAGAGGGGGGGGGGGTATGTAATACCTTAGGCAAATCCCACATAGACAAAGCACGGGAGAGATCCTTGGTTCATAAGTAAGAAACCGACCTTAACTGACAAGACGCGTTTTGGGGTGTAATGGAGGAGTTCTTGTGCGAACTCCAAAGTTAAACGTGCTCAGTGTGGAGTACAAAAAGGATGGGTGACCTTATGGGAAGCCACCCTGAATTGCACCCCAAATCGAAAACCTTGCGGGTGTAGAGGCCCAAAGCGGACAGTATCTTATTGGGAAAAAGTTCGAGATATTACAAGGCTCGTGAACTAGCTCGATTAGGTGGCTTGTTGAGTACATCTCATGAACTGTCTCGTTTTGAGCTTATGAGATGTCCCAACATTATGACTAGCGAGCCAACTCGACTACAACTTATGAGAAAATCGATCTATATTTTATGAGTTGGTTTATTAATGATGCATATAATTATTAAATTGTATATATCACTTAATATAGTGTTTAATACATTGAGTATATGTGAGCAAATACGTCTCGTATATGACATTACATTAGGTAATCACATGTATCACATATGACATATAAATATTAGGGTATTTATTTTATAAATTATCTTGAGCCGAACTTTTGATTTTAATGATGTGTCAAGATTTAATAAATGATCTGGCTCGTGTTCGACTCGACTCAGCTCGTTTATAAACAAGTCGAACATGAACAAGGCAAAACTCGACTCGGCTTGGCTCATTAACAACCCTAGCGGTGACAGACTCCAGAGGAATTCCAATCGCCATCGAGATTACGAGGCAGATGTCCGACTATGTAATGAAGCTTCTTGTGTTGAGATGACTTCTCGCTTCGTCTTGCAAATCGCCTTATCTTGGAGAAACCTATCCATTATGATCTTATTTGATAGCATTACGGTGGTAACCAGAGCCTTATCCTCGTAGCGAACACCATGAAATGACTCATATTTGTGGCTCAACCCTTCCAGAATCTCCGTAGCTTTAGCAATGGATGGTTCAAGAATGTCGACGCTCTGGAACCACCTCTTCAAAGCTCCATCCTTTTCGATGTAGCTTCTGTACTCTTGCATAGTGGTCGCTCCAATGCACGGTCTAAAGTCAAAATTTCCCATTGTTAAGTAGAGTGTAGGAACAAAGCTATTTAGTAATACGTTACAAAAAGGAGTAGAGAAGAACCTTAAGTTCTCCTCTAGCCAGAGTTGGCTTTAGAATGTTGGCAGCATCCAACGCGCTACCGCCGACACCTGCTCCGACCAAGGTATGCAATTCATCGATGAAGATAATTATGGCTCCTTGGCTTATCTTCACTTCGTCTATCACTTTAATCAGCCTCTCTTCGAATTCTTCTCTATTGGCTGCCCCAGCGATCAGACGTCCCATGTCTAGTGCATATATATGATGATCATGGCGGTGGTTAATGATTTATACGTATGAACAAAATGGGACACAAATCTCATCTCATAGTACCTTATTCCCTAGAAGCTTGGGAGGGACGGCTTGACCAACGATTTTAGCAGCTAGCCCTTCCACGATCACCGTCTTGCCAACATCGGGGTCTCCCACCAGGCATGGGTTGCATCTCTTGCACTTATAGAGGAATTGGACCACCCTTTTGATTTCCTGCTGGCGTCTTGTCACAGGATCAAGTTTGCCCTGCATTCCAATAGATGAACCCAAATGAGCAGAAAGAATTGTTAACTACAAGAGATTCGATCAATGTAGTGTTTATTTGGTTGTAAGAATTCTTCATTCGTTCCTCCTGAGCAGACTTCGTCACATACGGACCATACTTATCCAGAAAATCAATGCATAGATGGTTGTCACCTTGTTGCTTCTTCTCCAACTGTTCCATCTTTCATTGTATAGTAGGGTCGGGGGTGGCTTAATGTTTTACTAATATGTTGTTGTGAAGGAATGATTGGAAAGCAACACCATTCTTCCATCTATTTATACATGGTAATGTAGCGGGTAGAAAAGAGGTTGCCAATGAAATGATGGCGATTGGAGATCCCCCAAAGGCATCGAGAACATTGCATCTTTGCATAGTGAGTTAACAGTAACGAGTCAATAAGGTGTCTGCAGCTTTCCCTAAGCACAATAGCATATCAGTTCTTGCCCTTGATCTCCCCACCTGCAGTTATGCCACAGTTAAATGAAGGATTGTTTCTTGATCGCAGAATCACTGCATTTATTCGATAATTCAACATCCATTAATCAAACATGATGTCGATCTTGCACTGTGATTCGTTTACTTTTTCTACATTCACTAGTTTATCAAGCAATCTACCAAGACCTCCAACCAAATACTCCAGTCAGAAACCAAAAGTAGAGACAGGAGATAACCAAGACTCATAAAAAGGTTCCAACTCCACAGTAATGGGGCATCCATGATAGACTGTGCTTTTCAAAAAACCATCCTACGCTATGTTCACCCTGTATGCATGAGTATACCGTTATTAATGAAGGAGGACAATAGATGGATTTAACTTATTTCTTTGACCGCCACAAATTTTATTTTGTTGGCCTATTATCCATAGAAGACTGATTATCTAACCTAGAAACTTGGCAAGATTGTTGTCAGTCTACTACATCCACCCTTAAGTTGATCATGTTAATTTGTGTCTCTGTAATTCACCTCTTTAAAATCTACTTGCACTAACTCGATATGTATTGGAAGATGCCAGAATGGTGATCATTGATATCGATCTTGAGGAATTCGACAAGGTAAAGCGGGTGAATGTTCAGGACATGATCGCGGGATCAAGCATGTTGCTCGAGTGATGATCCCTATTGAATCAAGATCCATCTTGTTCACGTCCAGCATTAGCGAGATACTGGGTGTGGTGGATAGAATCCATATCAAAATCAATTATACCTGCAACAGTGAAGTCGATAGCCAGCAAGTTCTGCAAGGTTGGGATAAGGATCAATTGCATATCACCAATGTGCAATTACAACTCCAATGTCGGTTGACTAGCTCAGTGTGATATAGCAGGCAAATGAGCAAAGAGCAAATAGTGGAGATGAAGAATGGACTAAGGGAGGTAGGGTGTCATGTGTGTGAATGTGGACGTGGCTAAGGCCACACTGTACTTTACTTCAGAAGAAACCAAGTACATTATAGGGCAACCTTATGGTTGATGGAGGATTCACCATCTTTCAAACACATTACACTGCTTTCTCCTCAATGACATTCTCTAGTTTTGTTGATTCCTTTGCCTTTGTGTGTGTTCCCTTTTTCTGGTTAGATTTGTATTTCCCAAGCTAGCTTGTACAAATAGCAAAAAGTATTCAAACTTAATGGATCATATATATATAAGAGTTAAATTTTGCAACTTAACTACAAAGTTATTATTACAATGAGTCAAAGGACGACTTATTGTGTTTCTTGAGCTACAAATTAAGCAGTCATTCATGATTTAAACTAGCACCATAATCTCTATTAACTAGACAGAATGTAACAGTCAAGCTTCTCCACTAGTGAGAAGCCAACTTTACATTTGAACAAGGCAATTACAGATCAGTGGTATTGAAGCATACTAATTCGGTGGCGACTTGACAGACATAAACCACATAACAACCTGTTAGGAGTAGTTGCCGGACCGAGAACTACAATATGGCGCAGTAATGTTTTCAGAAGCAGCACTCCTCCATCACCCAACAGCAAGAGACAGTAGCCAAACTACACATTGCAAACAATATATGGTCAAAAAGTTCCACCACCTCAATCAAATTGCACAAAATTATGATGATATAAGACCAACTCTTTATCTACTCTTTTTTCAAGTGTTGATAAAACATCAAGTCCATGACAAGGATGTTAGTGTACAATGAAGGGCAAACCAGAAATCACATCTGTTGAAGCACTCCAAGAGCCTCTCTCCATTACCAATGAACCACTTTAGCTAAACTTAGCTTGACCAGAATTAGACTAGCAGAACCCTTGGGTATTTTTGATTAATTTCAGCTAGTAACGATGTCAATTTGCACTCTTTTTATTAGGACCCTAATGTCCCAAGAGAGAACCAGTGGCACCACAAGGGCCCCTATGATAATAATCTCATTTATCTTGAGTAATAACAAATGCCCTATGCCATGATCTTGGTTGTCAGAGGAAGAGAGTACTTGCCAAAGTTGTTCCAGCAAAACTTGGACAAAGGAGCAGAAAAGAGAGCTAAGAAGCGGAATAAGGAGATTGAATGCATCAAACCTACGCATATACTTGGTAGCTTTTATGTATCACAATTAAGCAACTTGCTTTGTAGTGCTTGATTGCCTATACTACAGTTGATTTCCTTCATATCATCACTTAACAACACAGCAGAAGGCCGATGATACAATTACGTTTGCAGGATCATTTTTTCCAGAAAAATGGGTTCACATTTGGAGCTGTCTCGCGAACTGATTTTTGAGTCACAGAACGATCCAAAACACTACCCTTTAACCACCTAGTTCCACGATCCAACCACTACCGTAATTCTAAAGTCAACCTCGCAAACCTTTTGTTTTGGATTGCCAAGTTTCAAGCTTGAGCTGAGTCTAGATCAAGAAAAGGCAACCCTCAAGACCACTGACGAAGAAATCATCCAGAGGATCAGCCCAAAATCCAAGTCACAATCGGCGAACCTAATTAAATCAAACCTTCTGATTTGAAGACAAACATACTGGGGGAGAAAAAGGACATACCAGCCGTGGAGGAACGAAGCTTCGGAATCGTCATTATTATAATGGTGGTTGTGGTGGTCATAGCTCTGTAAGTTCTGGTATTGATTGGGTGGATGACGGGGCGACGGCGGCGGCTGCGCAGGATACCCTGGCGCGGAGAAATACCCTTGGTAACCATCGTACCGGTGCTGATGGTGAGGTGGACGCGGTGGCGGGTACTGAGGAGGGTATCCGGGTCACGGAGGTGGTTACCCCTCGGTCTCAGACTGCGGCGGAGGATATACTTCTTGCGGCGGGTACGACGACACGTCCCCTATTGAAGAAATACCCATATCAGGTTAAGGGAAGCTGGAATATTAGAAGGATGATAAAATTGTGGGTGGGAAAGCAAAGGGATTGAATTTAATTTACCGTGAGGAGTAGGAGGAGGGTACGGATCGCTCGGGAACTTTGGTAGCTCATTCTTGGGTTTCCTGGGCTTGATTCCGGTGATCGGAATTCCGAAACTAGATTTGCGATGAAGGAGAGAGGGGGAATTAGAGGGAGAGAAGGATTGGCGCTGGTTTTAGAACAGAAGACGAAAGACGAAAGATATGATAAAAGAACAGAAGACGAAAGACGTCCACGCGACTGCGACGACTATCAATAATTGTCAATTGGAGTTGGTGGGGTCACGGGCCCTCGTTTAGAATTTTTAAAGTGTTAAATATAAATTTGGCCACCGAACCTTTTTACATGTACGGTGTACCACAGTGGAATGTAGAATTCGATATATGATCATAATGATCTACTTTTTACCTCTAAACAATTTCATTTTAGTGACTTTAATTAACAACAAATATGAAATTTAGATTTATTTTGTGAATTTTAAAGTTAAAAGTTAGTGTTATTTGTTGGATTCAAGAATGAATGTTTAATATTTATGTTATTTTTTATTCAGTTTCAATGTGTGGTTGTTGACGTTAAATATTGTATTTAAATATACTGATTTTTCATTTGGTTAGAAAATTGTATTTTGTTTCAATATAATGTATATTTTAGGGAGTGTATCTTCACATATGTTATATATGTGCCTCAATTCATTTGATGTTAATGGTTTCCCGTCATTTCTACATATCTTGCTAAAACCGACATGAACTGACAACAGGTTGTACCACGATTGGATCTTACCATTTGCTATTTCACAAGCTTGCATTAAAGTATCAACTTATATTTGCGTAGATCAAAGATGGTCATTCACTCGACTATATATGTCTTAATAATTCACCCGTTCTTTTTGATTTGGCATCTATAGGTAATCATGTGATCTTTGTGAATTGAGACGTTAGTCCCTCCAGGTGAATTTAATGTTTTGATGAAAAATTTTCCCGATAATAAGTGAATTTAATGTTTTAGTTGCTTAAAACCTGAGTTTAGTGACCTGTGTAACATATATCAATTAGTAAGATGATAAAATTGATATTTAGACTTATTTTCTTTTTCTATTGAGACAGATCTCCGAAGTGATGAGTATACTATAAACTTCAAATTGAAATAGATAAACAGATTATTGATGAAGCATCATAATTTGATTTTAAGTGACCTTAATGTATAGTGGGTAGCTGTGTTACCTTTATCTATCTTATTGGAGTATTAATTTAGTAGGTTAAGTGGATTAATTAGTCACTTTGAACAAGACCCAATCTGGAAAGATGCAAAACAAAATACTCAACTTCCAACACATCAAAATCATTGTTAATTGTTCAAGACTTCAAGATCAAGTCTCTGTTCAAGAATATGATTTGTAAAGGGTAAATTGCAAGGTTGGTCACTGAAAGTGCTAAAACATTCACGTTCGGTCACTAAATTTTTTTTATTCCATTCGTGGTCACTAAAAGTGGTTAACGTTTCACGATTGGTCACTCTCCTTTAGTTTCCATTAACACCGTTAGTGGTTTGCTGACGTGGCAACTAAAAATGTTGATTCATCCAATTTTGACATGTTATGTCATAACACTTGACTTGCCACATCATAATACTCAACACGCTGCCAGAGCATAACTCAATCCAATTCAACTCGTGACCCGACCACAAAAAATTGAAGGAATCCAAATCTCTCCACATCGCTTGATCTACCCCATCTCTTCTTAACCTTTCCCCTCTTCTTATTCTTCCTCTGTTTGCGCCATGCCTCCTCCTCGCTGTCGCCTGCCACCCTCCGTCTCCCAAGCATCCTTCCAGAAAATCTTCCTCGTCGTCGCTAGACCTCCCTCCGACGCTGCTCATCATCTTTTCAAGACGGGACCCCCAAGGAAAGGAGGAATCGTCATCCGTCTATCCCAGAAAGTGCTGATGCTATCGTCTCCGTCTCCCCACCATCGATAACTTCACATCCACACTCCAATCCTGCACCACGGTGACGCCGATTGGACTTTCAAGAATATCTTGCCGCCTTCTCTAGTCAAGCTAGATCTAGAAGAATCGCTTCTTTGCCCTGTCGATTTCAGACTCGACGAGCGAAACTAACTCTAAAGACAGTCGGGCCCCGAATCCAAGGGTGGTGGCCAACCTCTATCTTCGCCGGCGATAAATCTGGACAGCGGATTCCATCTTTGATATGTTCGTTGACGATCTGTGTTCCCGAATAGAAGCAACAACCTCGATTTTGGGGTTCCGTCGTGTTTTTGGGAGTACCAGGGTTTGAGAGTAAAGATGAGAGGAGACAAGGGTGATCGACTTTGAGGAAGAGCTTATCACCAGAAGCATCGGCAATCAAAGCTGGATGCTCCCCTCGGCTGGGATTTGGAATCGGAAGATTGAAGCTCCTTCTTCCCTTCCTTTTGGTCACCGTCGACGGGGTTTCTAGATCTTCAATGTTACAAAACTCAACATTCACGGCTGTATAGTTCCCCCCTTTGGTGACGTTGAGCGGAATACACCTCGGGCTGCTACTCTTGAAGGCCTGGCAGAGATCAGTTGACGATGGTGTTGTTGAATCCCTTTGCGATGGTTGATGGCGACGACGGGGATTAGAGGTTGATGGTGGCCGAGAAGAAGGGACTAAGAGGGTGGGTCAAAATGGGGTTTTCATTTGGGCCAATCGAGTTTTAGGTCGGGCGGGTCAATAAGGAGGGTTGGGTCATGGGTTAGGTTGGGTAATATGACATGGTGGGTAAAAATGACGTGGCATGTCCAGTTTTGTGATGTGGCGGGTCAAAATTGGAGGAATCAACATTTTTAGTTGCCACGTCAGCAAACCACTAACGGTGTTAATGAAAACTAACGGAGAGTGACCAATCGTGAAATTTTAACTACTTTCAGTGACTATGAATGAAATAATTTTTATTTAGTGACCAAACGTGAATATTTTAGCAATTCCAGTGACCAACCTTGCAATTTACTCGATTTGTAAAGGAACATCAAGGGGACACTGCAATAAAAGTAGCTCGTAACTTCATTAAACGCGGCTAAGTAACCTAGAAGGAAGCTAGAACAATGTGAAAAGTCCACACGTGAACCTGACCCCTATAAACATTTATCAAATCTAAGAACGTACACATGTCATCGTCCTATACGCCATAGCAACCTTCCATTGTTCAGCAGGCACACTTTCCTCATTCGCGTTGGTTTACAGTAGGCAAAATTCACTTCCATAGCCATAACTTTGCATTTTGTGACAAATATAGCCAAATTTGAAAAAATACACAGAAATAGCCATTCCGTCCATTAATGTAACGGAATTATAAAGACGGCTGACTGGGCAAACGTTGAATGTGGCTGCATTTTATTTGGTCTATGTGGCATGCCATGGTGGAAAACTAAATTAATTATATTTATTAAAAAAAAACCCTACTTTACCATTCTTTTCCTCATCCGCCCTTTCCAATTCTTCTCTTTTTCCTCTTCACAGAAATCCCACCTCCATTCCACCTAAACTTAAAATCGTCGGCGACTCTCGATCGACGAACGCACTCATCAGCCTTGGTCCATTAACCACTCGATACGGTCCAGCTCGCCTCCGCGGTCCGACAATACACAGGGATTCAGACGTAGCAGCGACTGACAGAGGGAGGATTTGCCGCAACATCGACGGCGATTCGCTTGTACCCTCTGCTCATTGTCGATTCCGGCGACGGCATATTTAAAAACCGCCCAGATCTTTGGAAACCGCCCAGATCTGGTGGTTTTTCAGGGAGGAAATCTGCAAGGAGATAGCGTCGATTAGGTTTTAGTTTCTCGATCTGCGATGGAGATTGTTGCTCTCCCTCAGCGGCATGATTGCGCGACCACGAGACAAGTCAGGATTTTGAGCGCGTCCTCTTCTTCACGGCTCTCAAGCTTCTGCTGCAGCAGGGAATTCAGACACTCCACTGCCTCGGCGTTACCCACGAGATTTTCGAATAAAGGGGAGGTGAAGGAAGGAGACGAAGAAGATGAATCTCATCCGGCAGCAGCTGGTCTGCCTCTTCGACGGTGGCCAAGATCTCTTCAGCTAGAGTAGCAAAGGACTCGACTTTGGCTGAGTGGAGTACGAAGAGATGGACGGCGGCAGCTACCCAGGTTTATTTTGCCAAAGATGGATGAAGCAGGCAGGGGATCCATGTAGTATTTGGGGGAATAGATGAAGCCTGTGAAATCAGAAGGCTAAGTGGTGAGAAGTGACAAGGAAGAAGAATTAAAGAGGAATCAGAAGGGGGAAGGAAGAAGATGGACCGTAGAGATTATGGTGGTGGTGGTGGTGGTGGTGGTGGTGATGAGAGGGATGAATGGTTTGGTTGTTGTGAATTTCATTTGATTTTTAGGTTTTTTTATGTCCATGAAAATGGAGTAGGTTGGCCGTCAAATGGAGAAGGAGGTTTAGAGACGATGGTCAATTAGATTATTTATTTATTATATTTTTTGTAATAAATAATATTTTTAATTTTTAAGCTGACATGGCATGACATGTGGCATGACACGTCGATTTAGAGTTGACGTAAAAGCTGACTAGGCGCCATCTCAGCTTGTTGTTGACAGACGCCAACGGCATCTCTAACTCCGTCAATAAATTTAACGGAAATGGCTATAATTGTCAAGGTAGTTTCAAATTTGTGGTTATTTCTGTGTATTTTTTCAAACTTGGCTATATTTGTCACAAAGTGCAAAGTTATGGCTATGGAAGTGGATTTTTCCTTTACAGTATTAAGCCATAAACAAAGACCAGAAGGAGCTGGGATGGACTAGTCATTTTAATTGCTATAGCATCTCCATCTGCGTTGACCCAAAGCAAACAAAATGATCAATCCTTTCGCTACAGAGCCCCTTAATCATTCATCGTCATCCTCAACCTCTTCACCAGCCCCTGTTTCTCAAGCTCATCAGCAGCCGACGGCGGCAGCAGCATCTCCGGCGGAGCAATGGGGGACTTACGTGATGGGTGCCCCGGCGGCGCCTTCTTCCCACTCGGACAACCAGAAAGCCGCTGCCTTCTGGGGCGCAACCAGGTCTACGGTGGCTAATACTACTCCGCCTGATCCGCAGCAGCAGTACAACAATGCTCATCATCAACAACAACATCCTTACTTGGTCTATTCTCCGGCGGAGAAACCCGCCGGCAGTCCCATGGAATCCATTCTCCACGTCTTCAATTCATGGACCAACAAAGCTGAGACACTGGGCAACAACATCTGGAACAACCGTACGTTTTACCGGATTTCCTGCCTGCCTGCTTCTCTTCTTTGTTTTATCATTGATCCGACATCTCGGGTTTCTGGATCTAAATATATTGGCTGGCTGATTATTGACTTACTCACTCTGTTTTGCTAAACCAGTGAAGACGAATTCCTCTGTCTCGGGAGCAGCTTGGGGCAAAATGAATCTGACGGCGAAGGCTATCTCCGAAGGCGGATTCGAATCCCTGTACAAGCAGACTTTCGCCACTTACCCCAACGAGAAGCTCAAGAAGCGATTCGCCTGCTACCTCTCCACCGTCACCGGCCCTGTTGCCGGAACTCTGTACCTCTCCAACATCCACGCCGCCTTCTGCAGCGACCGGCCTCTGTCCTTTGCCACGCCATCCGGGCAGGAGACGTGGAGCTACTACAAGGTTGTAGTGCCGCTGAACAAGATCGTCGGAGTTAATCCTGTGGTGATGAGGGAGAAGAATCCGCCGTCGGAGAAGTATATTCAAGTCGTGACGGTGGACGGACACGACTTCTGGTTCATGGGTTTCGTCAATTTCGACAAGGCGGTGAAGCATTTGAGTCAAGGGATCTCCAGCATGGTAACCCCAGCTGTGGCCGTCTAGCTCAAGTATATCGGATGCACTCTTTAGCAATAACATCATGTACTTGTTTTCGCTATCAACTCAGAATTATGCTAAATATTCTATTGCCCAACATATACTTGATGCAAGTAGCAAATTTCCAACGACATTACCTCGCATTAGCATAGAAATTGAACCGCACTTCTACTTGTATGACCTGTGAGTTTATGAATTATGACCCATAAGGCCATAACCTTAACCCTGTTTGGTGTGAGTTGGCAAACTTGTTCATGATGCACAACTCATTAGAGAAGCTACTACTAAAATGACCAAACTCGTCAGGACTCGGCCTTTTCTCACACAATGTACGTTAGAAGTCGTCAAGGTAAGAAAACACCACAATACATAATTACAACGCCGCCACATCGGCAAAGCCAACAAGAAAAGGCTAGAGCCAACTTCTGTCTTGCTATCAAAGGAAAGGACCGCTGCACCAGACACACAGAGAGGCGATAAATTTTGAATAATTCACCATATTCAGTTTCTATCACGAGCATGCTAACCTCTCTTTCCTTGCAATTTTCAAGAAACATAGATTTGAGGAGAGTCTAAATTTAGGAAGAAAGTGCGGATTTCCATGGGGGCAAGTTCCACCACAAGGTTGACAGGATCAACTGCTCCTCCCCTCATCACTTTGGATTCTTCTTCCTTTGCAGCTACTTTCCAGACTAGCCTTCTCTTCTCCAACTCGCTCCTCTTTTGATTGGCCGACAGACTCAGCTCCGTCACCTTACCAATCTGAATAAAAAGATGAGAAAGAAGAGACATCCACATTGACAACATTAGTGACTTGTTCCACGAGCAATCACACAAAGAGTCCTCCTTGAGCTTTGCTCTACTGATAATGCATCTCTCACCTTTTTATTTGGGAAAAGCATTTTCAGTTCCACCCTCGCCATTCCAGAGTAGTCCTTGTCTTCTCCAATCTGAAATCCAAGAACAAGTAATTACAATTCATTCATTCAGATAGTTTAAAGAGAACAAGCATAACAGTTTATAAATGTTGAGTTCAGAGGATCAATCAAAAGCACATTAGAAAGGGTGCAGACCTCATATAAGTGAGCCAAACGGAGGAGAACTTCCCCAACTTTGAGTTCCTGCAATGTTTATAAGAAAGAGCTTCTCTCATTTCCCCATACTGTTAAAACAAAGTGAAGAAAATGGAGGGGCAAGGAGAATAATATTACTACTTTACCTGTAGGGTTATCACAGCAACATTATTGGGCAAAGAATAGGATGGATCAACTCCTGAAAATGAATTTACATGGGACTCTATCCATTTGCTTGCATCCTGATTTTTTTTTTTTTTTGAGAAATAAGTAAAACATCACATTTGAGCATTATGGTACATTCTAATTTGGCATATTCAAATATACATTTTCTGGCCCACCTGCTTTGTGAATGCTACTAGAACTGGAGAATATATCTCTTGGCCAACAGTGCGGCGCCACTTGGCACCTTCACCCAACTGATCAACTCTGAGGAACATCTTACCTACGATCTGCAACAATATGTAAATGAAGCCATTCAATAACTTTGGACCTGTAATATTGACAACACATTATTTGGTAAACAAATGCTAGCTTACAGTTAAACCTTCACATTCATCGAGGACACAAACAGTCTCATTTAACACCTCCCCAACGCCTCTCATATCATCATGAAGCATTCTCCTAGAAACAGCATCTGTTGTTAGATATCGATATCATCATATACTATATATCTATAGACATATAGATGAGTGAGAGAGCCGAAAATGCCATGAGCATTTATTTATTCTCAACTGAACCACTATGGAAATAAATAAGTGAAGATAAAGATGTTGGAAAGGGAAAGGGAAAATAGAACGAACCTATGTAGCATTAGTTCTATTTGACCATCCATAAGACTAGAGCCTCCAACTGACCGATCCACCAATACTGACAGCTCTGTAGTATCATCTTGTACATATATTCCAAGGTTAACCTGCAAAATTCAAGAACAAAATGATATTGAACAATAGTACGTAATTTCTTCTTCTAACAATTCTCGACTTCTAGACTAATCGTTCACTATTACCAGTATGATGTAGCTTCCAGCCTAAGTTATACGAAGTATAATCCATCTAGGCCTATCATGCATGACTGTCTAAGTGCCCTAAAATGGAATAAATACATATATGAAGTAGCATGAGTTTAGTCCAGTTAATAATATCCTTTAAAAAAAACCCGGTTAATACAACATACAGGATAATAATTTCCGGCAACAGGTTGATTCACTTCGAGGTCCCAGTCTGTCCTCTGATCTCGGACCTGCAAATTATATGGAATATAGTCTAAGACGACAGAAAGTTTCTATAGCTTGCATGGAAGCAATCAAAATACACTGAAGAAAAGGGCATGAATATGGGGGGTTTTAACCAAGATAAGCCCCCATGGCATAAATATGGTTGACGAATCATAGAATGGACAACAGAAGCAAATCCTACAAACCCTTTTAATGAAGTCGCGTCCGTTTGAGTCTGTGTAAAATGTCTTGTTGGTTTTCATGGTGGTTTTGATTTGAGTTGTTATTTCTTTCCCAGTCCCATCATCCAAAGGTATAGGCCCAATCTGAGGTTAAATGGAAAACAAATGCATCAAATATGACCCATCAACCATAGAATAAAAGTTTCCTCGTACTTGGAGAACCAACTTACAACAAATTCAATTTCAGCGTGCTCCTTCCCTTTGTACACCCTAGTGACCTGTGCATGCATGACTTTTTAATGAGCTGCAATGCGTGTTGTCAAGATGGTTATCAAAGAATCAGGAAGTAATATGCAAAAGCTTGTTTCACAAAAATCTTTCCGATAAAAGGGATGGGGTCTCCTTAGAAACAATGAATTGCATATATCTTAACAACCTGAGATATCCAAGGATTCAGCTGCTGATGTACTTCATCCAGCAACGGGCCCCTAAAAAAAGTTGAAGGAACCTTGAAAAGGAAAATTTTATTTCAGTTCAGATATTTGATTTGGTGTACCACATAGTTCTCTAAAACCGGTCCATTTCTAAGAGGGGGGAAATGTCACCTGACCCAAATTCTTTACTGTGAATGTCCCATTTGGCCGGAAAACATATGCCCCAGAAGCCTGTAAAAAGCAAGGGGAAGGACCGAGATTGCTTATTAAGAATTTCACAGAATAGTGACTAGAGCAAGGTACACATAGAGATAAATGAAGGTTCTGGAATTTGGAGTTTTAGTACCTGTGGATCTTTATTAGTACCATCATTTCCAGTGTAATAGCCGTATGATTGTTCAACAGAGGTAGCAACCTTCAGAAACAAAGGACGTATCGATGAGATATTAACAGAGTTGTATGGGATTTTCTGAAATTTCACTTACCCTCTAAGATTGAAAAACACCCTAAAACTATGGGAGGAACACAAGACAGAAGCTGGACTAAGTAAAGTACTGCAGAGCTACAAGTTTAAGGAAGCAATGTACCAGACTTCTGCCATTGATAAAATGAGTAAGCTCCCCATTGTCTACAGAGAAACGTAACTTCAAATTTCCTGGGCCAACTTCAACAGTTCTAGCTTTCATGTTCTCTGCAGTGTGCACCAGTGAGATGATTGAACTAGAGCCTTCAACAGAATTAGATTACAAACCGGAGGACTATGTCAGTCGCAAGGAACAATATTTCTCCATCACTGACTTCAGTGGAACAACTTCGGAATATTCTAACCTGTCTGATTAGCTAATGAGACAAAGTAAGTGTTGAAACCAAGGGGTGGCAGAGATGCTGAAAATGCAAGCCAATATTTTGGCATTTCACTTGGGAAATGGCCCGTATATGCTTTGGCATATATAGTCCTTACTCTCGAAGTTGCATTCAAGAGTGGGACTAGCTGAGATTCAATTTGTATCCCATTAGAATCGTGAACTTCTACATTCTCAGAAGAAACCTGTGCCACATTTTTTATACATCAGGTCAGCCATTAATGAACCTGTGGGCCTTTCCAATTACACAAAACAACTTTCACAATAGTTATAGGCTAGCGTGCAGTTGGCACGAGAAATATATTTATGCTCGAGTGACGATAGATGATAATATATAACTCGTCCTTGGTTCGAAGTTTGGTGTCACCATTGAGAAATTGGTACAAGAAGCTGTGGATACACTTCTTGATAATGGAATTCGCGGACAACCAACGAGGGAAGGTCATAGTTTAATGAAATACTAACCGGAATCCGAATCACTTCCTCCCTTTTCCATCCTAGAGGATTATAAGCCACAATAACCTAAAAGATTTAAGGATATAATTATAAGATGAAAAAAACACTATCTTTCTTCTTGCAGATCACAAAGTAGTTACACAAGGGAATTAGGATCTTACCAAGCTCTGCTCATCAGACGATATGGATTCTGTAGGAGGACAATAGCTTATGTTAAGTAAAGGACACTGCAAAGAAAAACGACAGAGAGTAATTCAGCAATGCATATCAAAGACATACTTTTATCCAACTGACCATGTTTGTTCAACTTCACAACAGCTAAAGAATAGAAGAATTGACAATAATACGCAGAGTGCTTATGGTAGTAGACGTGTCATTTTGGTCATGCACTCTTTAACTAAGTTTACATATAATGATGAAAGGAAGTCTCTTTAGGCAATTAGGAAACAAGGATACATGGAAAATGTATGTATGTATATATGTCGTCCCAGTAAAACGTAAGAACACATGTTGAAGTAAATATATAGGTGGTTGACAATGCCTGCTCAAGTTCCGTGGAAATGCTCCCCTGTCTTGTACTTGATCTTGACTCTGTCAGGAAACCAAGAGAAGAGGCAACTAACTTCTCAGCCTGCAAAGAATCCCAGGAAAAAAGGAATGACATCCTATCGAAGGTTGAAATAATGTGCCAAGAGATAATATATAAAACAATGTGCACCTCCTTGTAACCAATTGAAATTCGCAAAGCATAATCAGCAGCAACATGCTGCCTCTGTGTTCCACTAACAGCATCATGATGTTGTGCAATTGCCAAGGCATCTGCAAGCACCCCAAGTTTGGATGCCACACCACTCCAGCCTCTAAAGAACTCCAGCTGCCTTGCAGCCTATTTGAGACCAAAAGAGAGCAATAACTCTAAGAAACTAAGCAGCATTCATGGATGGTTTTACAAAAATGCTAGATGAAGAAAGATAAAAGGCTCCGGATCTCACAAGGTAATAACCACTCATTGTTCTGACAAAGCCTTTAAATGCTGGCCTACTCGTGAAATAACCTGTCCAGTAGGCATTTTGGTGATCTGCATACCTGTAATGTCATCTTACTAATTTAGTTTATCAACTAACTCAAATAAGAAGAACAAGAACCAAAAGATCAAACTCACGGAAAAAAATCTCCAGTTTTTAAAGGCCATTCTTCATTTGCCGCATGTTTGGCATCAGTATACATCGATGGAGTTGAGTACAGAACATTTACACGGCCATCCTAAGATATCCATATAAAAGCCCTTATTATAGGATTCAAACTACATAGTAGAGCTGTAAAATAGATGACAGGTGTTTATCATCTTTCTAAATGTAACACCGTAAGGAACAAAACCTGGTTCACATAATGGATGAATTTGTCCATCTGTCGATACCACGAATTTGCATACTGATAACGAAAATCAGTTCCCATTAACCACATTATATGATTCGTTCGTGTTACATTGGCCTGAAAATTCAAAAGTAACCTGCTTATAAGTTGAGGTAGTTGGTTGGAATAGACAAAGAACACCCATCAACAAGCTTTTGATGAAGCAAAGGAACACTGCCTATTATTTGATTGGAACAGCATTGCAATAATACCCTACATTAAGAGTTAGCTAATGAAAAATCCTGGTGATTGTATAAAACAGCTTACTATCTACCCTTTTTTTTTCTATGAATCTTACTATCTACCTTATACCACCTGATGCATCAGATTGGCTCCAGAAAGAAATATAATTGACATTCAAAGTGACTACAAAACAACCAAGATCTTACCTGAGCCAGTGCAGCAGCCACAAAGTCACTTACTCGCTCTTGGACATTATAGTCGAATAGTAGCACATCATCCTTCAATTTATAAAACGATATGTAAAACACAAGTCAACAGAAGAATCAGAAAAATCAACTCAATTCATACAAATTGTACCTGAATAGGAGGCGATACGTCGTTAATTTCAAATGTGAATCCATCAGGCGGATCATAGTGTCGAGGAAATATACCAGTGAATATCTGTAGAAAAAATTAACGACACAACAAGAACGTAATGCCAGGACATCATCAGACAATATTTATAACTCCTGACATAATATAACCATTTCGTGATTACTAAAGCAAAGAAACTAAAAGTAAGCGTGCAACAAGGGAAGAAGGTGATTATGCATTCACCTGTGAAGTTGAGCCAAGGGACTGAGAACCCCGCCATATAACCTCAAGAGTCTTATCCTGTAATCGCTTGGCTCTGTCTTGGTAATCAATTCTAGCAAAGAATAGAGAGTCGAATCCAAACTGAAAATTGGAAACATCAGACCATGCATTATCCCATTGATATAGTCTATGACTTGCTCGTGATCAATTACCTAGGAGGAAAAATACAGGAAGAAATCTAAGATGCTGTACCTCAGCACCAAGCAAATAAGCTTGGACAGCAGAATGTCCAAATGGGTCAATCTGCCAACCAACTCTGGGAATCTGACCAAATTCATCCTTGATAAACTTATGACCAAGAGTCGTCTGATCGATAAGGTCAATGTAGTGTGGAGTAGCCTCATCATGCATACACATACCTCCATTTCTGCCATCAAGAAAGGCTTAAACTCAATACTAGAGGTCAATGCTTAGCTGGAATGCAGGATTCGGTAGCATGCACGCAAAAGAAAATCACAAAAAGGGAAATGAAATTAGAAGTGGTGGTACTGACATGAATTCAAGTTGACCAGAGTTGACAAGCCGTTTGACCTTTTCCTTCATTCCACTGCTTTGCTGCCGCCACCATCTCTGAAAGAACGCCTGAAAACCAAAGCAACTGAGGAACCCTCTTCAAATGAAACCAGAAAGAGAAACTGCAGAAAGCAAGAGAGATAAAGTAGTAATAACCCACCATCTCCACATAGATGAACTTGCGATTCTTGTCCTCGAACAAAGAGGACATAACAGAGTCCAATACATTCTGAACGCAAGCACCCTACTGACCAAATCGTTCAATCGAATCAATCAATCAAGTCACATTCAACAATAACCCAACGCAAAAGAGAGAAGGGGGTTAATTAGAGAGAGACCCGGATAGAATTATTGCCGCCGAAGTAGTATTGGTCAACAGTCTTCAACCAACCAACATCATCGTGGGAGTGTGGGACGAAATGGACGTTGATTTTGCCGGATACGACGGAAGCAGAAGTGTTATATGGGATGAAGGTGGAGTAGATGGCTGAGGGCGATGAACAGAATGTGCAGAAGAGGAGGAACAACAAGGGAAACGCCATGGATTTTGACCTGAGACAACGATCAAAATTTTTTGCTGGGTTTTCTTTCTTGTGCAACGATAGAGTGTGCAGTCGCCAGTCGCTGTTAACAGCAGCCGAGAATGGATAAAATTGAGTACGGCTTGGCGTGCACATTTGGATGACCCGATGAGATTTGATATAATTTATCAGGATATTTTATATTTTCGGACTAAACCGGGCTAAAACGGATGATTCATTAACCCTTGACCAACTAGCTCAATCGGATCCGAGTCAATCCACGGGTTGACAACCTTGCTTTCATCCTAGATCAGTGGCTTTCCCACTCTCTCCCATGGCGCGTACATTTACCATAGTGAGCTGGAATTGGGAGGGAAGATGAAGGAAAATTTTCGGAGTTGCGCGGTCCTGAAAATGCGCAGCTGCCACTCGCGCCCTCCTGCCTTCCAAATCTCCATTTGACATTTGTCCATTTCGAATTTTGGAATTTGGATGCTGCCTGAAATAACACATTCGCCACGTCCTCCACGAGACCCGCGCGACACGACCCCATAATTTTTAATTTTCTCTCCTCCGCCTCCGGCTCACGCGCCGCCACCTTCCACCCGCTTTCTCTTCCATTTCCTCCTCCCATTTCCCCAAATCGACGCTCAAATTCTCCCCACTTGTGCAAAGTTTCCAACCCTAGTCCTCGCCTCACACTCTCTCTCGCGCCCATTCCTTTCCCCTCCATCGCAAAAGAGAGAGATAGAGCTAGGTGCTTCATCAAAGCTCGACTATGGTGGTTCCCTCCCTGAACTGCGTCACCGACGGCGCTCCCCCTTCCCCCGGCGACTTCACTCCCCTGAAATCAACCCCGCCTCCACCCCACACAAACCAACTCCCTCGCAGCCGGCGAGCTAGCGCCCGGATTCATGAAACCAAGCAGCGCCAGGAGGCCAAACAGCGTCTGGAGAAGGAGAGGCTCATCCGGAAGCGGGTTCAGCTCCTGGATGAGCCGGAGGAGCAGCAATCCAGTGCCAAGAAACCGCGGGTCTACTCTCGCCGGCAGGATGGAGAGGGTATTAACGGGGTTGAGGCCAAACCCAAGGCCGAGCAGCAGCAGTTGCCGGAGCGGGAGCGGGAGAAAAAGGACGAGGAGGTGGAAAGGGCGATGGATAATGCAGCCCGACAAATCGCGCTAGAGATGCCGACGAGTGACGTTCTGCCTGCCAGTGGTTTAGCCTCTGGGAAGAGTGCTTATGCTCAAGTGAAGGACACTCTGAGAACGTTCAACAAGTACTACCTATCCTTCGTCCAGGTTTGTTGCTCTCTTCCATAACAATGTACTCTTGCATGTTTCTCGGAAGACCTACGTTTACATCGTACGTCTCCGTAGCTGCAATGCTACTCCATTTCGACCCCTTCCGATCATGGATTCTGGGATTAGGGCCAGATTATTCTTTGTGGGTTTGTGTTGGGCTGTTGACCCTTAGTGGCTCTCTGCTTCTATTTTGCCCCGTTTCCCTTCTGGGTTTGTGGCTGCATTTTGTCACTTCACTTCTTTGAAGATGAAATGTCTGTTTGCATTTGGTTATGTTCGTTGAAATTCACATTGTTTCCTTGGTTTCTTGTGGCGGATAGGAAGAGGAGAGTAGGTGTAAGAAGAAGGATACCGCCAAGAAAACCCCTAATTCCAAGTCCCCTTCCAAATCCAAGAGTCCAAAATCAAAAAGTCCCAAATTAAAGGTGAACATAAATGCCTCTATTATGCCTCTATAATTGTATGTTTGATGCCTGCTGTTCTAATGGTTTGCATTTTTTCATGTGTTATGGATACTTCAGAAACCTGGGCGGGGTGTGAAAGCGACTAAACCTGACACTAAGTCAACGTCCAAGCGTCCTGACCTGAAGGCTGTAACTAAAGTAAGTGCAAATTCTCCCCAACCTGGGCTGGAAAATGTTCATGCTTGATCTTGAACCAAATCTTGGTTTTTTCATCATCTTCTCTTTTGGCTTGAATATCTTTTGCAGATGTTAGAGACTAATGCTGTAATGTATCCCAAGAAAAGAATTGGCGACCTTCCAGGTTTGGAACTCTTACTACCATCTTACCATGTGGCTTGATTGAATTTTGAAACTTAAACACTGCTGGGTTTCGTGTCAGGCTTATCTCACAACTCTTTAAAAGATTCTACTGTTCTGATTGGGTGATTCCTTCTGTGATGAGTTTGATTAAATTTATAATCTAAAACACGGTTTTGTTTTGTGTCAAGTGTATTTAACAACTCTGTATAAGCATTTGTACTGTTCCGCTTCAGTGCTTCCTTTCTGTGACAAGTTTGATTAAATGTGCCAATGGCAGGAATTGATGTTGGTCATCAATTTTATTCAAGAGCTGAGATGGTTGCAATTGGTTTTCATGGACACTGGTTGAATGGAATTGATTATATGGGTATGGGCTACCAAAAGGTGATGATTCAGTCTCTTTTTGTTGTATCCTCAACAAACATTTCATTTAATCCGTCGTGCCTGTCGTCTATGTCAATTGAATTGGGAGGAGCTTCACTGTTACATGCATCTTACAGCCGTTCTTCTACTACCTGTTACAGGAGTACAAGAACTACACATTCCCACTTGCAGTGGCTATTGTCTTGTCAGGAATGTATGAGGATGATCTAGATAATGCTGATGAGGTTACGTACACTGGTCAAGGTGGGCATAACCTAACTGGTGATAAACGACAGATTAAGGATCAAGTTATGGAGCGTGGAAATTTGGCACTAAAGGTATGGGTTGCATTGACTAGAAGTTTCTTGTACGTTCATGATTATTATTTTATACCTACCTTACCACCTACATTTGATTGAGAATATAAACCGAGTGTGAGCTTTCTGTTTGCTGGTAGAAGTGGTAAACCAACTTCTGCTTTAACCACCTTATCGCAGCCACCAGTTCATTAGACTGATACTTCTGATTAGCAGCATTCTGCTGATGTTTTGGAAAGAAGAGCTCCTTTTGTGAGAAACAGAAATATGTTAGCAGCATATCCTCAAACCAGTTCTTGCTGGGGAATGTAGCTTGTAATGAAAGAAGCTATATTTGGCATAGTTGCAAATATTAATTCAGGGGTGATATTGAAGTGAAGCCTTGAAGGATCTATGCCAATTGGACTTCTTACCTCATTATTTCTAAAGTAGGAATTCCTCGCCAGACATTCTGCTATGTAAAGTTACTTGACTTTGTTTATTGCTATTTTCTTTGCAGAACTGTGTAGACCAATCTATTCCTGTACGAGTGATTCGTGGTCATGTGTGCAAGAGCAGCTATGTTGGGAAGATGTATACATATGATGGCTTGTACAGGGTAAGGCTCTGATCCGCTATGTTGGGAAGATGTATACATAGTCATACACCGTAATCGCCTGACAACTATTCTGTTATGCGGTCTGGTAGCCTCGTTGCTTTTTATTTTTATATTTTTATATTTTTGGTTGTGCTTGTGGTGTTAAGGACGGTTCAAGCAATGTTAATCTAGCCAATGATGGTAGGACTACCTTCAATAGAGGAAGCTGGTTCTCTTTATTAAATAGAACTAGCTTCCACCCTGCCCTTTGGGCAGGTAGAATTTTAATTTTTCCCCCCTAACTTATAAATATATATGGCAACATCTAAATTATCAATTTGTTATCATTATAATATTACTTTAGGCAAAATACTAAAATTAGTGAAAATGTTCCCACAAACTATTTAACTGAATGTTCACAATACATTTCAAGTGAAATATCATATATAGGTGAAAATTATAACATTTTCTATGCATTAAGAAATCTATTATATATCCATGAAAATAATAAGGTATGATGTATATTGTAAATATGTATTATTAGTGCATCTAAATATATTTTATAAAAAGAGAATTTTTAACTTCCCAGTAAAAATATCCATATTAAAAAAATGGCTTAAGATTTAAGAAGTTCATTTCTTAACTTCATCAGAAAAACGTAATTATTAATCCACTCTCGCATGTCACAAATCATGTTGTTAAATTGAAATTTTCAAATTAATTTTTCTTAGGGGATGAACTTTTCAAATTATTATTTAATCTTAACCACAAAAAAGTTTGGAAAATGAATTGGGGCGCAACCCCTTGGAAGTTAAAAATAATAATTTTAGAAAGCCAAATTTCCAAACTAACCGACGCAGCAACTGCGGAAAGTTAAAAAAAAATAATAAAAAATGACAAATACCGAAACTCACGGAGAAGCCTCCATGGCTTACGTGGACGGGGCTTATTTCTGAAAGCCTTTTAATATATTTTAAGAAATCTTTGGTGGTGTCAACTACGAGGAGGATTTTTCTTGATGCAATGCTTAGAATCATTTTTATTTTATGAGGGTGACATAAGTTTGGTTTTTAATTGAGTGCTACTTAAGGGATTTGAACCTAAGACCTTCAGATTCAAGACCACTGGTATTCCCATTGGACCAAGCCCTTGTTCACTGTGGTACAACACTCTGAATTGTTAGGACCTATGTGTTAGAATGTGGTATAAGATCCAGCAGAACCTTCTCCCAACAACTCGAGTTATTGGGTCCAACTGGTTCTTGACATGGTATCAGAGCCTCGAACTAAAAGGTCATGTGTTCGAATCTCCACGACCCCCAATATTAACCGTTGTCTTTCAAGCACATGGTATTGGATTGTTCTCCACCATTTCCTGAAGATGTCTTGAAATACATATATTGTTATGCTGACCTAATCCTTTTCATCAAGATTTGAAGCGTGCCTTACTTATTCTGCTTGCATTACACCCATAGTTCCTTTCTGTGATCCTTTCTGGGTTATTGGCTGAACATGGTCCCAATGTAATTGCTCTATATTGTCATGTCTTCATAGTGTTTCTCTGTTATCTGTGTCATTTGCTGTTTGCTTTTCCCCACTCATAATGAGTTAACTGCCATCCAGGTTTCTCGTTACTGGGCTGAGAAGGGTATATCTGGATTTACAGTGTTCAAGTATGCTCTTAGGAGGCTCGAAGAGCAGCCAATATTGACCACTAATCAGGTTCTTTACTTGGCTTATCTTCTACTTATCCGTTCTGTCTCTCATTGTTCATCTCTATAGTTCTCTTATGTTGCTAATGTTGGTCATCTGCATCCCTTCAAGCTCTGTATTTTCTGTAGCTTTTCAAGATATCTTTTACATCTTCTAAAAACTAGAAATCCTGACAGATCCAACTGATTGTGTAACTATATGATGCGGTGACGTGTCTGTTTGGAATCAGTATGTCTAGTTGAGATTTCCTTTTGCTTGTGAAATTTTTTATTTTTAAGAAAAGAATCAGTTTCCCGTTTCCATAACAGATCTCGTTTATTATGTGAGGGATTCTATAAAGTATAAACTGGTAACAAAACTTGTGGAATATACTTGTGAAGTGTGTGAATCCTACAGTCAATAACTTTTACAAGCTGTTGGACCAAGAACCCCAACTTGTAATCAAAACGCCTAAGATACACATCAAAAAAAGCAAGGGAGAACCACATACCAAAGAGATCTTTGAAGCTGGCATGATCGTAAATGCTATTGGTTATTCTTTCATGTACCATTTGTGACCTCTCAGGACTTGGAATGCTTTTGACTCCAGCTATAATATGTTAGCTTCATTTACATCTGTACTAGAAAAGTGCTAGCTTTCTTTTCCAAGGGCTGCTTCTTGTTTCAGTAGTGACGATATTGATGTCATGTTATTTCATGGCTTTGATCTGGTATCTTTCATCACCTTTCCTGACTGGACTTTTCCTAGTTAGTTCACATTTTTGTATTTACTAATTTGTTCATGTTTCTGCTGTCTGGCTTGATCCTCGTACCTATCAGGATACATATATTATTTAGCTGTCCCTAACATCTTCTCTTGTAACATAGGTACATTTCACAAATGGGCGCGTTCCCCAAGCTATTTCTGAAATACGAGGGTATACTTCAATTGTTGTTGAACAGCTGATGGTTTTTAGTTTTTACTAATTATTTGGTGTTGTCTGTCCAAGAATTCACTCTTCATGCTAATTCACACAGGTTGGTGTCTGATGATATTACTGGGGGACTTGAGGATATCCCAATTCCAGCCACAAATCAAGTTGATAATCCACCTGTTCCCCCAACAGGCAAGTTGAAACTTTGTATATTGTGGTCAAGTGCCTACCTATTCCTACTCTTAAGTCAATGTTAATCCATTTTTATATCCATTTAAGTTCCCTTGTATAAATGACTGGAGAAGCTGGCAACTTTGTATTCTCTAATTGTCCTTCTCCTTTTATTATTGGTAAAAATTCAGGCTTCAGTTATTTGAAGTCTATTCAAGTTGCCAAGAATGTGAAGCTTCCCAAAAACACAGCTGGATGTGATTGCAGAGGGAACTGTGTGGACCCGAGGAAATGTGCTTGTGCAAAGCTCAACGGCTCTGATTTCCCTTATGTGCATCGCGATGGCGGGAGGTTAGCTTGTTTGACATACCAGACCTCTTATTTCGTGCTTCGTTTCTGGTTGAATTGTGACTCCCATCTTTCTGGTTTTTTTTTTTTTTTTGGCTAAATCTTTCTTTTACCTCAGGCTAATTGAGGCCAAAGATGTTGTTTTTGAATGTGGTCCATCTTGTGGCTGTGGACCAAGCTGTGTTAACCGCTCATCTCAGAGGGGAATGAAACATCGTCTTGAGGTTTGATTTTTCCACCTAAAATGTATTATGATATTTGATCTGTCTATATTTTTCTTTGCTTTGCCATGTCTGGTATTAATGGTCCGCCTATAATTTTAACAGGTTTTCCGTACACCAAAGAAGGGTTGGGCTGTGAGATCATGGGATTTCATTTTTTCTGGATCACCAGTTTGTGAGTATGTTGGGGTGCTCAAGAAAACAGAAGATGTTGATACTCTCACTGGAAATGAGTATATTTTTGACATTGACTGCTTGCAGACCATGAGAGGCTTGGAAGGCAGAGAGGTACTTAAATTCAACTTTTTGCCTAGGTTGTCTTGACCAGAAATGCTGAATTTAAACCTTCACTCATCTGTTTGTGCTATTCGGCCAGTGTTTGAATTTCTTGCACTGTTTCTTACTCTTCATATTTATTTATTGTGTGTGCAAAATGATCTTATGTTAGATGTTGAGACTGTCATCTTGCTATTGCTTGTTCGGAAATGGATGCCTTCAACTTTGTGACATACCTGCATCATCTGTTATGCTTAGTTGCTGATTTTTATCAGTAACAGCTTGTGATTGTTAGGCATAATTTGTTCGTAGTTGATAATTATCTTCTAGTAATTTTAGAATATTTTTATCTCTTGTATTAGAGTTGGTGAGCTAATCTCTATCGATCCACTCTGTTAACCCTATATGGTTTCAATGCTGAATATTTATCTTATTCCTTACACTTCACACGATGTTAGAGCGGAAGGCTCTGGTGCCACTGTTACCTTGTATCAGTAGTGATACCACAAACAGTAAAACTCTAATGCTAATAATTTAATGATAATAACCAAAGACAATAATTGATCATTATCAACAACTGCCAGTAGTTATGGATACCTTGGTTTAAATGTAATGACTTCTCTTCTGGCGATTTAAATGTCCATATGCACGTTATTCATGTTCTTTGTTTCTGTTTTTTGCCAAACAGAGACGTCTGAGAGATGTTTCGCTCCCAAATGGTGAAACCATTCCATTTGAGGAGTCGAAGTCAGACAGTGTCCCCGAGTTCTGCATTGATGCTGGTCGCAGTGGAAATGTGGCCAGGTTCATCAACCACAGCTGCACTCCAAATCTGTTTGTCCAGTGTGTGCTGAGCTCACACCAAGATATCAGGCTTGCCCGTGTAGTTTTGTTCGCAGCGGACAACATCCCTCCACTGCAGGTTACATGCTCTTCTCCCCCTGGCTGCTTTTCTGTATTTTACTATTTGAATTTTTTTTTTCTTTCATTTGCACATTCTCTATGAACTGATTTGTTCTGATGCTTGTTCTTTGTTTTGTGTCGGTGTAGGAGCTAACATATGACTATGGCTATGTCCTGGATAGTGTGATGGGTCCTGATGGCAAGATTAAGCGGGTTCAGTGTTATTGCGGCGGAGCAGATTGTAGAAAGCGCTTATACTAGCAGCGTAATTAGTAGCTTTGCTTATGTACCTGGTAGTGAGCGTAGGTTCAATTGTAAATTTGAGACAAAGATAGTAGCTATTGTTATCTAACTCCACCTCAGGTTGGCGGCCTGTACATGAGGGACTGGGAAGATATTACCAGAATTGTTGGTAGGGTGGGCACTGCTAGTGAAAAGTTGGGAGAGGCGAGCTCTTGTCATGGTCACATACACAATGATTGCAAACTTCAAACTTGTAAATCGATACTCTGACATTTTGTCTAATCCCTGAAAGGAGGGAATATTTCAGCCGACCCATTCTTTCGAAGCCTTGATGTCATTGTTCCTACTAAAGAGAAATGTTTCTATGTTTTTTTTATAATGATATGTTAAATGAGTTAAGTTTTAAGTTTTAACACATTTCGTATGAACAATCGATACAGTATCTGTAATAAAAGAGAATGTAGGGCATGTGATATTTTACTACAATATGTTTCACAAACTCTTCTTTCCATTGTTATCGTTTGAAGCATGTAAGTAAAAAGAAAGTGCAACACTGGCAAGAAAAATACAACCTATCATGGAACGGAGTTCCAAACACTTGGCATTACACAACAACCATATGTCTACACTAGGTCGCTGGTGGTATTCTCTACTCATCTACTTCCAACTTACCCTTCATTCTATACCTACGACCTGGCCTACCTGACCCTGAACCACCATTTCGCTGTTGAGCTCCCACTTCTGCTTCGTCCTCATCCATAGCACAGCTTTCTTCACCACCTTCCAGATCATCAGCTGCTGCTATCACAACATTTACACCCTTCTTCCCGCCGCCACCTTCCTCCTGCTTGCACTTCCAATCATCCGCATTGTTCTCCTTCTTCCTGGGCACAAAGGGAACTGACTTGGGAGGATCGCCACGAATGGATTCATCTACTTCTGGTCCAGGTTCCGACTTCTTGATTAGCTTCAGAAAGTCCATGTACGCTTGTCTGTTGGTTCCTTCATCAACATCAGACGATTCAAAGGTGTACTTGGTGTATTTCGTAGGGTTTCTCATGTAGTCCGGGATTCCAGAAGGATAATTTTTTGGCATTCGGTATACCAGGGGATCTTCCAAATCGGCTTCCATAGCTGTATCCTCAGTTTCCTTCTCGCCAGTATTGCATTCATGGCCGAATCTAACACGTTTCTGTAACGACTTGGAATCATCAACAGCCTGATCATCCTTCCTCTTGAGAATGGATTTGAGGTTGCAGTCCTGGAGGGAAGTTTTGTTGGGTGGTGCTGATTCATTGTCTGAAACGGTCAAAGAGTCGATCTTTCGAGCTGCTGATTCGTCGTCCTCCTTCAGCCTGAGTTTAGCAGCGTTGTGATTGGCCCGGCGGTCCCTAGCTAAGGCATCTTCCAATGAACTAGAAGGACCTGTGTCAATTTCATATTCATTCTTGCTCAAATCCTTCAGATACACGCGATCTTCAGACTTTTCCCTGCCCACGGCCACCTTGTCGAATTGGTCTTCCTCTTCCTAAACAGCATCATACGAAAAAGAACCAAAACCCAATTCAGGTGAAATCGGATGAATAAATTAGGGTATCCAATCGTTATCTTCAACAAGGAAAGGTGAACGAGAGAAATTTTAATTGCGTACCTCAAAATCGAGAGTGCAGTCACGGCCAATGGAGTTCTTAATTTCCCATTCTTCTTCGTTGTAATCGTCAGGCCTTTGCTCAAAGGACTTCTTCTCATCGTCATCATCATCCTGAACCTGGTCATCTAGGTCATCCAGGTCTGTTTCAATCTGACGCCGGAAGCTTGTCTCCGAGCGGGATAGACCTGCTTTGGATTCTTTCGGGGCAAGGAATCCTCTCGATAACGAGAGCGACTCTGTATCATCGTCTTCCTCGTCATCGCCGTTGCTCTCGACCTTCCTCCATCGGCTCCGCTCGATTTCCTCGTCAGTGAGCGACCAGAGAGAACGGAGGGAGGCTGAAGTAGGCGCCGGTAGGTTATCGGCGGAGTTGGAGGAGGTGAGTGAGCCGAAGACTTTGTCGACTCGAACTCGAAAGCTATCTTCCATGTTGAGTTCGATGGTGGCGGTCGGAAAGCGAGATATGGCTGCGAAAATGGCGATTGCGCGATGTGCTTGCTTGGTTTGGATTGACGATTTGAATGGGGCTGGCTGCGAGATCTTTCGTACAACTGCTGTAGCCTGGACGGGAAAATGAATATATAGCCCCCTTGTTGGGCTTCTCCTTTCTTTAATTGGGCAGGACTCAGGACCTACGTTTCTGAAACCCAGTATGAAAAGGAAAGCCCCTATTTAAGCCCAACGTACCCGGTTGGGAGAAAGGAGGGCCCTAATTATGGACTTACAGAATTAGATGGTCCTCATTGTACTTGCATCAAATATCGGTACTCAGATTTATCCTGATAGGATAATAACAACATTTCAATTATTGAAGACTTTAAGATAATGTCAAACAATAATTTCATTTCAACAATCATGTTGTTAGGGTAGATCTAATCAAATTTCATTCCATCACACCATGGCAGAGGAGGTGTTTTGAAGATCTAGGAATGTGAGCAGTACGAGCTAAAAGCTCGACTAAAAGGAGAGGTTAGAATATACTCCAATACAATTTTCTCTTATTTCTAGGGTCTCTTATACCAAGGCTTTAAATCCTTCTTTGTGTGCAACTACACAAGCTCGTGATATGGTACCCTAGTAATTATACACATTTGACACAAGTAACCAAAATGGACTACACACCCAAAAGAAATCAACTCCCAATGAAAAACTAACCAAATACAAAGAACATGTACTTTTGTGAATTACACTTTCCTTCTCAAATCAATAGCCACAACCATAAACCCCATGGCATATGAACAATGTTATCTTTTGCAACCTCCCTCCAAAGAAAGTTCCTTAAGTTGCATGCCTGAAACTGAATATAGCATTAGCCACATTACCTGAAACACACCTCATATCATCACACTTTTAGGTTCTTTTCTTGTAATGTTAAAAACTCACACGGTTGTGAATCATCAGACTGACAATTGAATGGTGCACACGACTACAAGGAGTCATCATGTGCGGCATCTCAGCTACTCATTATGGATGACGGTGTAAGCTGTGTGCATCTCTATTTGTGGGAACCACAGTTTCAGACAAAAATCATCTACTTCGTTCAAGTAGTAATGAAAGCTTCTCCCTAATAAATCTCAGTCGACCATAGAATGCGAGTGTGAGTGCCCCTTTATTTGTTATTTCTACTTCCCGTGTTACCTAAGGATCAATTAAAACAAGTCAATGAACTAGTATCGCTTGGATTTTCATAATCATGGACAAGTTGCTTGAAAGAAAGCAAGAGGACAACAATCCCAACATTTCAATCAAGGGCATACCAGACAATAGTAGACAAGTTATTAGTAGTCAATATGAGTTCATAGCAATGTCAAATACTCGCTCTTAACGGCTCATTCACAAAACTTGAGAAATGTTGCAACCAAATGTGAGGATATCGGTAGCAGAAAACAAGTTTACCAAATCAATTAGCAATGTCAAGAACCCAATCTTGGAGATCATTCATAAGTTTTAGAACAAGTGTAACAGAAGTCAAGCTAAAGAGTGAAATATAAAGATTATTCATCGAGTTCAGCAATCAATTATTACGGGGTTCAGCAGCAGATTAAATGACATTGCCTCCAATGTAATCTGATAAATGAATACAATATCATTGCCTTCTTTTATGAATTGAATATGACATACTAATCCATTTCAAGTCTGAAGTTGGTTCCATTTTGTTTAACTTCCAGAGCACGATTTGTCCTTCAAGTTAAGAGTTGCATTTGTCAAATAGGTCATGTTGGGACGAGTGGATTCTTGTAATTAGTTTGAAGATCCTTGATAAGGCAGATGGGAAATATGGTTTGATGGTGCTATGGTAGGTCAATATATTTATAATCTTAGATTCACACTTGATTATGCTTAGAACTTTGTTATTTTTCATGTCCATCATGGATGTCTAATTCATTTATTCTAGCGACTGGCAATGTTGTTGTAATGACCATACAACCTTTTCCACAATTGGGGTTTGGCAGTGGTAAGGGATTGACTGTATTGCTGTTAGGGTTTACTTCTAGATCACTCACTCTAAAATAGTATTGAGTTGGCATCTCTTCGAGACCCACCGTCAAATGAGTCCAAACATTGAGTGGTTGATTGTTATCGGAGTCCACACATTTAAATTGCATTACATTGTCGAATGCCAGTGATTTCGGGAGTTGGTTTGCCCGTGCCATGGATCTCATAATGATATCTCAAATTTTAGTGAATCCAGAGATGGAGAAAAACCATTATCAAATAATAAGAGAATGATAAATAGTTACATATAGTGCAATAGAGTAAGACTTACTGCGAATTATCCTGGTCTCCGCTACTGATGGGTTGAGTTGTGATCAACATGGACGGTTCAATGAAGTAGTTAGACTAAGAATGACATCGGGAGGATTGATACGTGATCGTTTTGGAATAATATTTAAATGCTTTTATGGCTAACCTTGGTTGTCTACATTAAGCGATCTGAGATCAAATGTGCCATTGAGTGATTGCAATTAGCTTGGAAAAAGGATTATAGAAGAGTGCGGCTCCATATTGATTCAACAATGATCTTTCAAATCCTAATGTTCATTAAGGAAAGTAATGGTATTGGTAAGCAATGCAGTCCAAATCGTGTTTTAAAGCTTAAAACCTTACGATTTTAGGTCACCAAAACGCTTTCGTTTCTATATAAAATCGTTAGTGCATAAAATTGGACAAAATTACGTTTTAAAGCTTAAAATCTTACGCTTTTACGCTTCTAGTTCACCATAACGTTTTACGCTTTTACGCTTTTAGTTCACTAAATGGGTATTCTTTTCAAGAAATTAATTACAAAAAGTATATTTTAAAGGTAAATCACCAACAATATGATACATTTGAGATTAAAAGATACATACCGGGTACTTGGATGCATTCTCATCTTCAATACAATAATCTAATTCACCAGCTAGGTCATTCTCAAATTCTAGTATAGAAGGGAATGTGGCTTATTATTAAGATGATTTATGTTTACGAACTTATTGTTAAGATGCTATAAGTTGGTCTACTTTAGACATAAATTGAAGGTATTTATTAACTTATCTAAATTCCTAACACTCATATTTTTACATAGTCTATGCCATACTTAACAACTTTTTAGTTATTTTACAGCACGCGTAAAAAACTTACGCTTTTACGCTTTGATTCTACGCTTTACGATTTTACCCATTTTCCGCTTCTAGGTAGAATCGTGCTTTTGACTGCATTGGTGGTAAGCATTACATCTTATCCCAAAAATTCCAGAAACTGATTAAAAAAACTAGAACATAATATCTCTCATACTTGTAGAGAATGTATCTGTAACACCCCACCCTAAAACAAATGGGTTGAACCAATGGTTCACCCGCACAGCGGAATCTCTATCGCGGGTTGATGATCTAAAACACAACACCTAACAATGGCCAAGTGTAACCAATGAAAGGGACTGCAGTATAGTGGCACAAGTAATAAATATCGAATCCACGGGTCTCTAGAGTTACTATTACTCAGCTTTAGTTCATTATCTAGCAAACTAGATTAAGGATTGATTTATAAACTACTCTACTGACTACTCTACTAATTACAAGTTGTGAACTCACTTAGGTATGATTCCCCCTAGCTCCTCAATTAGGTCCAAGTTGTAATTCCTTTTGGTTTTTTTACTGTTGATTAAACTGCGGAAGATCCGACAGTAGCTTGGAATCTCTTAAGCTGACCAAGCCCTCTCAGTCTAACTATCCGGCAGACGACTAGTCTTCACCGGGATAGAAAGCTGAAGCAATAAGCATAGAACTCCACTATTGGAATTGGATTCCAGTACAAAGCAGTACTCTGGATAACTCTCGTTTAACCAAACTCCTACTACCGAATGATGAGACTCTAGCAACCTAATCAGATTCTATCTATCTCAGGTTGCAGCAGAAATTAGGAAAAGTTGATCAGACTTCAATTGACTCAATAAACATGCATCATTCGATTATAATCAAACAGTAATATCATCCCAAACTTCATACAAGAAAGATCCTAACTCATGGAACTAGGGTTCCTCAAAACCTAAGTGAAGGGAAGTTACTCCATAGAGAAGAGAGAGACTGCAGAAATCTGATCTAGATCTTCAATCTCCATCTCCAAGCTTGATTCCCGAGCTCCAATGGCGAAGAAATCCTCCAAAATAGCTCCAAGAATGTTCCCAAGTCGCTCTCTCTCTAGGGTTCGTCCCTTGGGTGTTTGGGAACCAAAAACCCAGCTCTCCTTTCCTTTGGCTGAAAATCGGGTTTTAACCAGCAATTCCCGACTCACACGGGCAGGCCACACGGCCGTGTGGCTCACCCAGTTTCCCGTGTGAGTCAAAACGCGGCGTATCATTAAGTCGAAATTCAGGCTTCCCACACGGCCAGGGTAGCACGGCCGTGTGGGATTTCCATCCTGCCCGTGTTTGCTCTCGGCGAAACTCGCACGGCCACCTTGCTCCTCCACACGGCCGTGTGGAAATTACTTGTGCCCGTGTGAAGGCTCGCATAATCCCACACGGCCAGGTTTGTCATTTGCACGGTCGTGTGATGGTTATGTGTGCCCGTGTGGCTTCCTCATCGGCTTGCCTCGCGCCCGATCTTCATCCAATCGACCCCAAACTCGCTCCCAAGCCTCCATTCACGTACTAGGACCTGAAATATCACAAACAAGCACAACCTAGCGTGAAATCGGCCTAAAACACGAGAAATCACATCTCAAACGGTGTAAGAACAGGGGTAAAAACATGTGTAATTAACGGTCTATCAAACTCCCCCATACTTAACCGTTTGCTTGTCCCCAAGCAAACCAAGTCAGACACAAGGTAAGCTTACATATTTCAATCAACCAACATTGGGGACAAGTCATAAAGGCACAGAACCTGTGAATCGTACTGGTTTTCAAACATCAATACCTGACCAACTTCAATAGCAACCTGGACAACCACCACAAAGGACATTCGAGTGCAGCAAAATCGAGTAAAGGAAGAATCTCCCTTCTGTTCACCAACCAACCTAGACATGACTCAACCACTTACTCAAAACAGTCAACTCATGCATCCAACTCAAGACATCAGAATAGAGACCGAGCAATCTAGGTCCTCACCGGGGTACAAGAGTATATAGAATATGAAAATGAATCACTCACTCTCGACCAGTGGGGTCAGGACAAATTGATGCGAAACATGCGCATGTTATTTCTCTCAATCCCTAACATCTCTTCACCATGATGGCAGCCTCTAAATGCTAGAGTTCACATATGGGGTGTCACCACTAACTCATCAGGAGGTCTTAGACACAGGTTCAAATGACTGGCTAGGGTCTTGGACATGGGGAAAAGGCCTTTTGGGTGGTGGAAGTATTCATAGCACAAGGTTCCACATTTCCAAACCCACACAATCACAGTCAAACAAACCGGTATTTCCTTTCTGCTATTCTGCATTACTCAATATCTCAAGAGCACAAGAGCGAAGGAGGTATAAATGTTAGCATTTCCAAGCCAGACTGCTAAGAAACACTACTTACTGGCCATTATTCAGATTTTTGGTAGTGGCTCTCTTTGCTTTCAATTTTTCTTTGTTTTTTCTTTCATTTTCTTTTCATTTCTTAAGAGAGCCACCACTTCTGCACATATTTCAAACACATGCCCAGCCCAACTTTTAAGCACTACCTCCAACACTCACATCAAATTTAGCAGAAACAGTAGAGAATATGTAAAAAAAACCACTCTGTGGAACCTTCTAAAAGATGCAAAAAGGGTGATTTTTTTTTTCATTTCAGACCAAAAGAAAGGATAACACACGGCTCAAAAGGGCCGACTAGGGGATATGACACATCAGGACAGTCAAATTTGGTCGTGGGCTAATCCTATGCCCCCATCATCTTAGCTAGTGACAACGCGAATGCTACACATCCTGGAAGAGGGATCTATCGCACAAGAAAGAAACGAGCAGGCTCAAATCTCACATGGCTACCTATATGCTCTATATCACATTCTGATACCCTGAACTAGATGCATAAGCGACTGTCAAGAACAAGTAATCAATCCAAGTCACAGTTGGTAAGCAAACAGTTGAAAAACTGAACCCCTACACAATTCTACTGCACGTCTCAGTCCTCATCATAGGTTGTCCTAGTCACAATCAAGCTGTCATGCATCAATCCGAAAACCATTCAATTCACCAATCAAAACACAGTGCCAATATGATCAAATAGCCGTACTTGGAGCCCTCAAATCTTGAGATTTGGACAGTGGACTAGGCTCCAAGCACACAAACAGCCAAACATTCACCCACATAAATAATCGAACACCCACCCCCCCCCCCACACTTAAGCAAGACATTATCCTCAATGGAGGAAAGATAAGGAGGGTAGAACGAAGTTACCAGATCGAGGGTGAATGATGATGAACGGGTCAGGTGGTGCATTCCAGAAAGAGAGAGTAATCAGAACACAAACACCACACAAAATCTCACAAAGGTTGAGTTATTGACTCTAAAATCAAATAACAAAACTGACTCAACCGAGGAGAAATAGAGAAAGAAATGCAAACCGACTGGTTGGGTTGCCTCCCAACAAGCGCTTTTTTCACGGCGTGAGCCGGACGATGGCTCCTAAGTTTCGGTCCATGCTAGAACCTCCTTGAAGTTGAGGTTCTCGTCGATGAGGTGGAGTCTCAAGTCACGAGCATGTGGTGTGGCAGGTGATGAAGGCTCATGTACTTGATGCAGATGAAGTCTCCACCCTCGAGACCTCTTCTTCTCTTCTCTCGTCTCATTGCCCCAAACCAGATATGACAGAATCGATTGGCCACCATCGCGTCCACCAAGAGGGACCGATGTCGATGTGGCCTTGGTCTGGCAAAGAGACACTGCAAATGGGTCCTTGCCAAGCAGCTCCTCAAAGTTTGGTGGAGATATCACATGTAACTCATGGCCGATGCAGGCCTCTTCCACCTTAACTCCGTCCTCAGCCTGGACGCCAATTGCTTCTTCAACCCCCCTTTCTTCTTCATGTGGTATCACCCCTGGGAAATGATCAAGAGCTCCTCCTGCTTCACTTTCGCCATCCTCCACAACTTCTTTCTGCACCCTTTCTTGCTCTTCTTCTTCTAGCACAGATTGGAGAGCAAGTCGCCATGTAATTTCTTCAATGAGATCATCTTGCATCTCCTCGCTCGGGCCCAGCATGTTAGAGCAGAAATAAGGAATTGTGTGATCTGCAACCAGAGGACTTTCCTGATCATGATTATCATGGGAGTTCTCTGTGATAACTTCTGTATGCTCCTCAACATCCCCGTAGCCTTTGTCATCCGCCACCTCTTCTAGCGTGGTAGCAGAAAGGTGATCTTGAGCAAGATGTGAGCAAACTTGCTCCACCCACTCTGTTTGCTTCGCTGAGCGCTGAACAGTCTCCTCCATATCATGGAGAAATGAGGGATCAGAAACAGCAAGGGCTTTGATTTGAAGATCCATCTTGGAGCATGATTTCTCAGTGTCTTGAGCAAACTGCTCCACGAGAAGCCTTAATTGTTTGTTCGGATCTTCCAGTGAAGTGTAGCATGGCTCTGCAGAGTGGCCCGTGAAGGCCGCCATGGGTAACTCCAGCTCCGATGGCCCTTCTGGTTGTGGGAGAAAGTCTTCTTGGTAATGAGGTTGTTCTTGATATGCTCAGGGGTCTGGTTGTTCTCCGTAGAAAGGGGGTTGGTACTGGAACCCGAATCCATAGTCTTCTCCTCCTTGATTGCTCCAGGGAGTCTCGGGGTAATACCACTCGGATGGTGGGGGTACTGGTTGGAGAAGCCATGCGGATCCATGATTCAGATCTGCACCAACAAAAACAATAACACCCAAGTGAAAAGCAAGGGTGGAAAAGAAAGAAAAACGCTAAAGTAACAAACTTCTGCCTTTCCTAATAATCTAGAAAGTCCCCGGCAACGGCACCAAAAACTTGATGCTCTAAAACACAACACCTAACAATGGCCAAGTGTAACCAATGAAAGGGACTGCAGTATAGTGGCACAAGTAATAAATATCGAATCCACGGGTCTCTAGAGTTACTATTACTCAGCTTCAGTTCATTATCTAGCAAACTAGATTAAGGATTGATTTATAAACTACTCTACTGACTACTCTACTAATTACAAGTTGTGAATTCACTTAGATATGATTCCCCCTAGCTCCTCAATTAGGTCCAAGTTGTAATTCCCAATGCAGTTAAAAGCGCAATTCTACATAGAAGCGGAAAATGGGTAAAATCGTAAAACGTAGAGTCAAAGCGTAAAAGCATAAGTTTTTTACGCACCCTCTAAAATAGCTAAAATATGTTAAGTACAACATATAGTATGTAAAATGTGAGTGTGTAGATTTTAGATAAGTGAATAACTACATGAAATTCATAATTAAAATGTAATGTCTAACACATAAACTAATTTGTGTTTACTCAAAAGTAGAGAAAACTCTTAACATCTTAATAATAAGCTCATAAACGTAGATCGTAACCCGTAAACGAGTTTGAGAATCCAAATTCTCATAAGCTGGTTTGAGTTTACATAATTACATACGATCAATTACCCATAAATTTTTGTCGTACCCCAGGTAAGAGCCACAGTTGAAGATTAAGGGAGAAGACTGATAGAAGGTCGACGGCTGTTGAGAATACCATTAGGTGTCTTTTCAACCTAATGTGAAGCCCCTATCTCGACACTAGTAGTAGAATGAGTGATGAATCATGTTATCCTTTTTTTATTTTTTGCTGATATGTCTCCAAACTTACATCATTTTGGGCCAATTAGCACATTTTTATGAGATGATCAAAATCGTATAAAAACGCTTCAGAATCGCGATTTTACTGATTTTAAGCGATTTTACTGATTTTACCCATGTTTTTACCAGTTTTTGTGACTAAGTGACTTTAGATAGAAACTGAAACGTTTTGGTGGCCTGGATACGTAAAAACGTAAGTTTTTACGTTTTAATGCGTGATTTTGACTGCACTGGTAATTCCTTTTGGTTGTTTTACTGTTGATTAAACTGCGGAAGATCCGACAGTAGCTTGGAATCTCTTAAGCTGACCAAGCCCTCACAGTCTAACTATCCGGCAGACGACTAGTCTTCACCGGGATAGAAAGCTGAAGCAATAAGCACAGAACTCCACTACTGGAATTGGATTCCAGTACAAAGCAGTACTCTGGCTAACTCTCGTATAACCAAACTCCTACTACCGAATGATGAGACTCTAGCAACCTAATCAGATTCTATCTATCTCAGGTTGCAGCAGAAATCAGGAAAAGTTGATCAGACTTCAATTGACTCAATAAACATGCATCATTCGATTATAATCAAACAGTAATATCATCCCAAAATTCATACAAGAAAGATCCTAAGGGTTCCTCAAAACCTAAGTGAAGGGAAGTTACTCCATAGAGAAGAGAGAGACTGCAGAAATCTGATCTAGATCTTCAATCTCCATCTCCAAGCTTGATTCTCGAGCTCCAATGGCGAAGAAATCCTCCAAAATAGCTCCAAGAATGTTCCCAAGTCGCTCTCTCTCTCTAGGGTTTGTCCCTTGGGTGTTTGGGAACCAAAAACCCAGCTCTCCTTTCCTTTGGCTGAAAATCGGGTTTTAACCAGCAATTCCCGACTCACACGGGCAAGCCACACGGCCGTGTGGCTCACCCAGTTGCCCGTGTGAGTCAAAACGCGGCGTATCATTAAGTCGAAATTCAGGCTTCCCACACGGCCAGGGTCGCACGGCCGTGTGGGATTTCCATCCTGCCCGTGTTTGCTCTCGGCGAAACTCGCACGACCACCTTGCTCCTCCACACGGCCGTGTGGAAATTACTTGTGCCCGTGTGAAGGCTCGCATAATCCCACACGGCCAGGTTTGTCACTTGCACGGCCGTGTGATGGTTATGTGTGCCCGTGTGGCTTCCTCATCGGCTTGCCTCGCGCCCGATCTTCATCCAATCGACCCCAAACTCGCTCCCAAGCCTCCATTCACGTACTACGACCTGAAATATCACAAACAAGCACAACCTAGCATGAAATCGGCCTAAAACACGAGAAATCACATCTCAAACGGTGTAAGAACAGGGGTAAAAACATGTGTAATTAACGGTCTATCACGGGTTACGCAAGAACTCAACTGTTTACTACTGGTAACATACCTACCAACATCATTATAATCCAAAATCACAACAATTATTTCTCAAATTACTCATCATATACCAAAGATCAACTCAATCTAGTTCATTCCTTTCATGTAAACCAAATCAGAGTCTCATTCACTACTATGTTCATTACGGTACCATCTACTATGTAATACCCAAATCATCGACTCATAAAACATAATTGAGAGTCATTTCAAAATATGGGAAAACTTCAAAACCAATCATCCATCGATCATTGTGCAGTGCCAGAGTTTCTCTCAATTCATTCGAACCTGTAAGAAACTGAACAGAAGTGGGTCAGCAACTAAGCTGTGTGTGTGGATCTTTCCCACTACCTAGTTTTTGGACCACAGTCAGCTATTCACATAGTCATATGTGATCACAATTCAAAAGTCTAGATGCCATCCTAGGTCATCATATATATATATATATATCCTCAATCAACATATCAAATCCATCAACTCATCATCGTCGAACCAATTCATCCAATATGATAATCACATAGTTTCATGAATACATAATCAATGCATGATATGAAAATTCTCATTAATTATTAATGGCGCCAAGGTCACCATACACTTACCCCCGCTCGAGCAAATCATTTGTGGTGCTCATGCAACCACAACACTGGCAGAAGCGAGCTAAGTCTACCCAATCTCATAATCATCTAGGGGTAAAAGTGCAGACCCTTTCTACGTCTATGTGAATTAATATGCTCACAAATCAAACAATTCCATTTCTCTCGTCCAACACAAACAATCTGGAATCAATGGGGTCCCACTGATTAACCGGTCCATGCACAATCGATCCAGAATCAGTGTAGTCTGACTCACTCCTACTGTCACTCTAGAAAATGGCCAAGTGCAACCACTTCCTAAAGCGTAGTATAGCGGGTTTGGGTTTTAATGTCAACCCGGGTCCTAGATGTGATGACTACTCAGCGAATTCTTATTATCTAGCGGTGAAACTTTAGTGCAGGTTCAAACAAGCAAACAAGTAAAGCAAGCAAGATTGTTGTTTCAAGTCGAGAGAGGTCACCCGGATATGGTTCCCCCTAGACTGCAGTTAAGTCGGATTGCAATTTACCAAGTTCAGTTTTAATGATAGTTATACTGTGGGAGGTTCTTAAGCAGTCTGAAGTCTCGACTAAAGGTCTCCAGACCCTCTCAATCTGAGTCCCCAGCGGGCGACTAACCTCCACCGGAGTAAACAGATTGAGGCCCTAACGAACCAAACCTCCACTACTGAAGTAAATTTGGTACAGAATAGTGAATTGGCTCCTCGACTAAAGTCGCCAAGTCACTACCTTCAATTAAGGGTGCTCTATCAACCTAGGCAGATATTCTCTTTCTAGGTTAAAGCAGAAACAACATGAATTTGATCAGAATTCATGCCATTCAATCATTCAAACCTCAATTGAATATAATCAAATCATAGAATCTGTACTTGGGTTCATACAATCAGACCTAACATACAAATCTAGGGTTCTCCATACCCAGATGAATAGGAAAACTACTCCATAGAGAGAGATGGAAAATCCAGCTCAGATGCGGAAACCATACTGTGAAGGATGATAATCTGCTTCTGGCGCTCAATCGGATCTTCTCCAAGCTCAAGCCGGGCTCCAATGGTGATGAAGATCAAGTTAGGCCACTTGGGAACTCTGGTTTGTCACTTTCTCTCTCTAGGAATCGCTCTGTCTCTCTAAAACTCGGAACCCTTCTCATTTTCCTCAAATCTGCCTAAAAGGCTGACCCTGGGCAAAACACGGTCGAGGGCATGGCCGTGCTTTGCTTTTGCCCGCCCGTGTTTTGGGCTAGCGCAGGAAAATCTTGGATCAAGCCTCGGCAGTAAAAGCACGATCCAGGAACACGGTCGTGCTTTGGTTTAGGCCAGCCCGTGCTTTGGCCCCAGCTCGAGCGAATGACTTCCAAATGCCCCGAAAATCGTGCTTAGCCTTTCCTTCGACGTCTAGGACCTGAAATATGACAAAGTAGCACAACCCGGCGTAAAATAGGCCAAAAATACACGACTACGCCCCACAAACGAATAAGAACTAGGGGTGAAAACATGTACAATTACATCGTTATCACAGTCCCACTGATTAACTGGTCCATGCACATCTCATGTCAAACATGTCATCGAACCAATGCAAGAATCAATGCCTTCCCATTGAGTTCCCAATTCAAATGGATCTCATATTGCACATCTCATCAAGTCACCATCATCTCAATCAATCCAGGAATCAATGTCATCCCACTGATTCCCAATCAATACATATCTCATGTCGGTTATCAACTCGACATTTCTCAAAATCAGCTATTCCACCATCAAATCTCAAATCAAGATTCCAATCACCATTCCCAATTCATACCGTTCATATAAATTCACTCATACCAACATTTTCCAATATTCACTCAATTTCATAACGTCAACTATCACTAAGACATTTATATCATCCAAAATCACGTAATCGGTAACGATTATCAATCATTCAACAACTAATCACATATTCTTCATCTCATTAATCATTACTATATAACCTACTCAATTCATTCATTTCGAAACCTCATTTCAAATCAACTCACAATCATAGCTCAAAACTCAAAATCCACCACACAGTTTTCCAAAATAATCCCAACACAGTTTACCGAGATAAACGATTTGCGGGTAAAACGTTATCATCTCTAAGTTCATTTTCCTCCATCAGAGTTCATCATGTAATTCATGAAATTGAATTAATTAAGACAAAATGTCAATTAAATCCATGTCTGGTCATAAAAAGTAATTTCGAAAATATTATCCCAAAAAACCTCATATTAATCGTAATTTTACTGTAACTTAAATTCCAATCAAATGGTAACTCCAAAACCCCCCCAAAATACCAGAACATCCATTTATCATCCTAAAATATTTCTGTTCAATTTTCATCTTTCTCAAAAATTCAAAATCATGAAATTATTATTATATTTGGTCTTTACCGCAAATCTCGTATCAAGCTCGTTTTTACCATTTTAAAGATAAAAAACTCCATAAACTATCTAATTTATCCTTTACATACCAAAACCAATTTAACAAGACACACTGACCATTTTAAAGTGATTAAAATCTTAAAGATAAATAAAACACGTTTTTACCGAGCTTTTCCTAAATTAACCATTGTGCAGTTTTTAACTCGAAAATCATTTTCAAGTGGAATATTATGATAAATCCGACCCAAAATAATTTTCGACATACGAAAATATATTTGATCAGTGTTAAACTCAATAAACCCAACTATCCATATTTACGGTGAAACTTGTCAAATACCGATATTTACACCGTAAAATCCATAACAATCAAGAATAATCACCAATTCATCATATCAACAAATAATTCATCACCCACAATAATCCATCCATCCAAATATGCAAATCAATCATAAATAATCGATGCAATAATTAAGGTCCCCTTAATCCCTGAACCGGACACCACAGATGGAAGGTGATTTGGAAGTTGCCAGGTACTCAAAGGATCCGCACCTTCTTCTGGCTTGCTTTCCACGATCGTTTGTTGACAAATGTGGAGAGAAGGAGGCGCCACCTTTCTAACGGGGCGGCCTGCAAAGTTTGCGGCGGGAGTGATGAATCTTTAATCCATGTTTTGAGAGATTGCCCTTTCGCGCGAGGGGCATGGGCAGGGCTGCTTAGTGAAGAGCCCGATGGAAGTTTCTTTCAAGAGGGGTTCAAGAGCTGGGCTATGCACTACCTTACAGGCAGAGGTAAGAGTCTCGATGCTACCCTCTTTGGCGTGATGTGCTGGCTGCTGTGGAAGAATCATAACAAGTTTTTGTTTGAGTACACTTTAGCGCCCTTTGATTAGTTGCATAGCGAGGCTAAGAGACACCATAATCAGATCACAGAAGCCTTTGCCAAGGCTGAGCACACATTGGGCGTTCCAGGGATGGCTGAGAAGAAGATGATATCATGGAAATTACCGCCTAAGGGCTGGGCATGCATTAACACGGATGGATCAGCGATCTAGGCGCTCCAAAGCTCTACAGCGGGCGGCGTAATAAGAGATGACTAATGACTTGATATATACACATGTTTTTGTCCACCATTCTTACACCGTTTGAGTCTTATTTCTCGTGTTTTAGGCCGATTTCACGCTAGGTTGTTCATGTTTGTGATATTTCAGGTCCTAGTCCATGAATGAAGGTTTGGGAACGATTGCATCCTATTTGGAGTTGATTTCTCACCATTGAAGCCCCGATTGCATCCTCAAGAGTGAAGATTGACATCCCAGAGCAGATTCTTCCCATTGTTATGAGTATGATTGCTTTGTATTTTGTTTCCCTCTCTCTCTCTCTCTATGGAGTAGAACTCTCTCTCACTTGGGTATGAAGAACCCTAGTTCCATAGGGATCTTGATTGTAATGACTTGGAATTGTTATACTGTTTGATTTTAATCGATTGATGCATGATTCATTGAGTCAATTGAAGTCTGATCATTTTTTCTTGATTTCTGCTGCAACCTGAGATAGATAGAATCTGATTAGGTTGTTAGAGCTTCATCAATCGGTAGTGGTAGATTGGTTATACGAGAGTTAATCAATCTACTGCTTTGTACTAGAACCCAATTCCAGTAGTGGAGTTATGTGCTTATTGCCTCAGCAGTCTATCCCGGTGAAGGTTAGTCGCCTGCCGGTTAGCCTGCCTGAGAGGGCTTGGTCAGCTTAAGAGATTCCAAACTACTGTCGGATCTTCCGTAGTTTAATCAACATTTAATCAACCCAGGGTAATTACAACTGAGACCTAACTAAAGAGCTAGGGGGACTCATTCCCGAGTGACTCTTCCTTTTCTTTAGAAAACCGAATCATTTCCTGCTTTCTTATTGCTTTTACTTAAATAAACAATCACTTGACTTAGTTGGCTAGATAATAGATATTCACGGAGTAGGTAGTAGATCTAGACCCCGGATTGACAATTAGAGCTTGCCTGTTACTGCATTTCCGGACTGCGATTACACTTGGTCGCAGTTTGGTGTTGTGTTTTAGCGTGTCAATGACATTGGAATTTCTGGCAGGCGTTCACAATAAACTTAAGAGGAGGCTCTATCACCCGAGCTGAGCTGATGGGTATAGCACAGGGACTTCGCTGTGCCTCGGAGGTGGGGATTCGAAAGGCAGTCCTCCAAACAGAGTCCAAAACTGCCATCCAGCTGCTCGAGTCGGCAACCTCTACTCATCCTCATTTTATGGTCGTTTCGGAGATTAGGCATATCCTACAGCGTGACTGGCAGGTACGAATCGAGCATGTCTTCAGGGATGGGAATGCAATGGCAAATTTCCTTGCTTCGACCGACCACTCCGCTCCTCCGGGTATTCACATCATCAATCAGCCAAGCATCATGCTCAGATATTGGCTAATTTTTGATCGGACAGGGATTGAAACCCCCCGCTTTGTAATAGGTTGAGGTTTGGGTGCCCTTAGCACCCTTTTTCCCACAAAAAAAAGGTCCCCTTAATCCCCACACACCTTAATTTAGCCAATTCCTAGTCGGGAATCAAGTTCTAAAGTTCCAATAATTGGCTCCTAACAATCCCCCTCGTTCCCACGGTCATGTAGCCGCAAACGGTTTGTCGTTTGAACACCAAACGAAGAAACTGCGAGCCGATTACGATTAGTATGGAAAATTACAGAATAGTACCCCATAATTTCGAACGGTAGAAACAGTTCCAGAACTAATAAATCGTACAGTTATACGTACGAACTTGCGAAACTTGTTTCTCCCTCGTCCGAGCTCGGAATTCTTTCATCCACAAAGTGGTCGACCACTTTATAAGAAAATGGTCAACCTTTTCCACCAAGTGGTCTACCACTTGAGTCATTCGGTTTATCATTTTCGAAAATGGGTCGACCTGATGACACACTTACCTTCAAGCGGTCGACCACTTACCAAGAAAAATGGTCGACATCTTCTATCAAGTGGTCTACCACTTGAGTCATCCAGTCTACCACTTTCGAAAATGGGTCGACCTGATAACACATTTACCTTTAAGTGGTCGACCTCTTCCACCAAATGGTTGACCACTTTTCAAGAGAATGGTAGACCTCTTCTACCAAGTGGTCTACCACTTGAGTCAACCGGTCTACCGCTTTGGAAATGGGTTGACATGATGACACAATTACCTTAAGTGGTCGACCTCTTTCACCAAGTGGTATACCACTCAAGGTAGCCGGTCTACCGCTTCTGGCAATGGGTCGACCTGCGTTACACTTACCTTCAACTTACAACTTCTTGTTGGAGGAGGTAGACCGCTTCCGCCAAAACAGCGTACCGATTTCACAAAATGGTTTACATATCTCTTTCGGCAAATGATCCCGCTTTTGACGAACAGTCGACCAGATAACATAGGTACATTATACTTACATTAGAAAAATAATAGACAATAGGAGACCAACAATATAAAATTATTTTTGTAGTAATGCAACATCCTATCAATTGTGGACATCCAAATTCCAACGCAGATTATAGGCCAAGACAAAAAGAAACACCCTCTTTTAATTCTTCTGGAATAAAAATCCACAAAAGCGATGATATGAGATTTATGGACGTCGTAAATGACACAATTGTATAACAAATATACTCTACTTTTTGAGCATATTCATAACAACAATAGCCACGAAGTTAATCCACCACAAGACAAATAGAAACAAGAAAACTTAGAATTTGAAGGAAACATGAAAATATGTATAAAGTAAGTCAAATATAAGATATAAATATGCGAAACATTTTAAAAATCTACAGGAGAACAATCATTAGAGAATCTTTTCATCTATGCTTGCAGACTTTGTACTAATTTTAAATCTCAAGCATATCTATTGTTATTGGACTCTAATTATATATGATGATATCAATATGAATGGTTCATCAGGTGAATAATTATAGAAAGAGGTGGACCGCTTGGAGAAAGAGGTAGACCACTTGATGGAAGTGGTATACAATTTTTTTATAATGTCTTTTAGTGGAAGAGGTTGACCGTTTGTTAAACATAGCAAAATAAAAAATAGTACATCTGATCGACCATCCCAATAATGAGGTCAATCATTTTATCCAAATAGGTGGACTTCATTAATGAATAGATCGACCATTTTTTTTCAAATAAGTCGACTTCATCAGTGAACAAGTTGACCGCTGCCAAAGTCCTAAGGCTTAACATGGTGGTGAATGGCTTTTGGATGCGTGGGCCTTTGAGAACATCACTAATAATGGGCTTCATTGCGATTTGCGTGGGTGCCTTAGGCCGCTGAAATGGGAGGCCTAGAGTCCTCGATGACGCGGCAAAAGCAAAGAGCTGTAGGCCAAAAAGCAGGAAGAGCAATTCAATTCAATCGAAATCCTCATCGAGATTAGCAGCCCCCTCCGGCGAAGAAGTGTTTTCCGGATTTTTGGGTGTAAACAAGAAGGTAACTATCGAATAGCGAAGGTGAGAAGAAGACGATGTTGAGGGTTGGATTACGGCGTCTTACATCTCTCTCCTCCCCGTCGTTAAGGCCCAACCATGCTCTCTCTGCGATCGGGACGCAGAATCCCATTAACCGGGTTTCTGCGGATTCGTCGCCTTCCGCCGACGAGGTCAAGGCCGACCGCTTCTTCAGCTTTTACTTCCCCTTCCATGTCCCTCACAGAGGTTAGTATTTCCTCCTTTCTCTTTTCTCGCTCGTCTCCTTTTCTGAATCTTTGTTCCTTCTAATCTTGATGCGCGAAGCTTCGCTTGGATCCCCTATGGATTCGTTTTAGATGATGGCATCTGATGTTTGATATTGGTGGTTTTGTGAGCTTGATGATTTTGGATTCATCCTTTCTCTCGTTTGGTTTTAGTTGCCCATGGGGTGATTCATTTCGCTTTTAATTTTAATTTTAATTTTAATTTTAGGGTTGATGCATTTGCCTCTCCTATAAAATTTGACTAGTGAACAAGATCTCTTTATCCTTTATGGAAACGGGATGTGAGTAAATGGAAGTCGTACTTGTTATCCCTCAAGTTTGAGCAGAAATTATACCGTAGTGGTCATGTTATGATGTGATGGATTCTTGTAAAGACTTGAATGTCTCTGAATAAGTATGCGAATAATCTGGATTTATGGTGAATATGACAAAGCTTGTATCGTTCCAATTGCCTCGTGCACTTGATTTGTTATAATAACTTCTTTATTCTTCCATTTGTTGTGTAAAATATAAATCAAGTTCTGGGTATTGTATCTTCCTGCAGTTATTGTTCTGGTGTAACGGTAAGAGAACAATTTGCTGTTGTTCATGTCAGGTTTTGCTTCTGGAACACTTGCCTCAGTAGATGAGGAAGGCATTGCTCCTGGCACCTTAGCAACTGTGCATGCTCTCAAGAATCCCTCACCTAAGATAGTCTATGATGAGTACAACCACGAGCGCCTGCCACCTGGTGACCCTAGCAAACGAGCTTTCGCTTACTTTGTCCTCTCTGGCGGTCGATTTGTGTATGCTTCCCTCATCCGTCTCCTCATCCTCAAATTCGTCCTCAGTATGTCGGCCAGTAAGGATGTTCTGGCCCTTGCCTCTCTTGAGGTTGACCTCTCCAGCATCGAACCAGGGACCACTGTGACTGTGAAGTGGCGCGGGAAGCCAGTTTTCATTAGGAGGCGAACGGAAGATGACATCAAACTGGCAAACAGTGTCGAGTTGGCATCTCTCCGAGACCCACAGCCAGATGAGGCCAGGGTGAAGAACCCAGAATGGCTGATTGTTATTGGGGTGTGCACGCATTTGGGCTGCATCCCTTTGCCCAATGCTGGTGATTTTGGGGGATGGTTTTGCCCATGCCATGGATCTCACTACGACATCTCTGGTAGGATTCGGAAGGGCCCAGCACCTTACAACTTGGAGGTGCCTACCTATTCCTTTTTGGAAGAGAATAAGTTGCTGATTGGCTGAGTTCTCTCGAGTGTGTTTCTCGAGGCTACACACTCGATCCTCAAGTTATTCGTGTTACTTTCATCGAATTTTGGTCTAGATAATGCCGAAGAGTTCGTGGCAGACATTGCTTTTTTTATTATTGGTTGAACGTTTCCATTTCCGGAATGTCCACAGATGTATTTCTAGCATGGACTCTGCAAGTGTTTATCTTTTCTGCTTCTGAATAAATTTTCTTTTCTTTTGAAACCTGTATAATCTTGTTCAAATGCACCTCGAATTGCTGATCAATAATCATATTCACCGCTGAGATTGAATTCTGTGGAAATAGATACTTGTGAGAGTTGCTTTGCTTAATGAATGTGATGATTACAGGTGAATAATACTAAGGATGGTCATTTCTCAAAGATGCCCTTTACATATATCATGCCTTTCTCATTCAGCTGCAGTTCCTTCCTCATCTGCTCAACCTGCTGATCATCTCCTTGAACAACAACCTCTTGCAAGGTGCCATCTTCTGCAACTATCATCTTAACCTTGATCTGCTCCTTCCTAGATGCTTTGCTCCAGTAGTATGCTCCCCTGCGCTCAGCAAAATACAATTGGGGATCTTCAGTGGCATTCGTATGTTACGATTGATAAGATGACTGAATTCTTGGCTCCTAACTTACGCCAGAGGACTGAAGATGGTGATATAGAACCAGTTGTTGCCGATGTCGGGATAAGTGATGGTGAGGACTAAGGCGACGCTGGCTAGGCTAATGCTAGTGCAGAAGGTGAGTAATGCAGCTTGCCCTCTGCTGGGAACCATCATGCCTTCGAACCTGAGAAGCCAGAACCGGTATTAGAGCAAAAGTATGATGCGAACTGAAATAGTTCCAGCTGCAGCAAGTTGCAGGAGGGGGCTGGCTAGTTTAGAGAAGTACGTGATTGTCTCTCCTCTATCGGCCACTGCAAAATTGTTGCGAGTGAAGAAGGATAATATCTCTCCGGCGACTTGGTTGGGTGGAGCTTTCTTCTGGCCTTCTTCTTGCCGTATAAATGTCTTCTGCACAACCTGGAAAATGAAGGCAAAGCAAGACAACCACACTTGTATAAGATGTTTTGCTATCTATGGAAATTACTGAAGGGGAAGCGATAATCAGTTCCAGCCTACCTTGGATTTAACAGAGCGCTTGATGAGCGACCAGAGACCAGGAAGAGAGATGACGAATAGACCGAGGGTAGTATAGTAGCTAGCCAAGGAGTAGGTAGCGCCTTCCGCCAGCAAGTAGGCGGAAGTAAGGTCTGGTGTCGGCGGCGACGAAATTAGGACCGGAAGTTCCTGGAGAGAGGAGCGCACCTGTAGTCTTGTTCTCGTGGTTATTCTGGTGGATGGCCATTGGCGTTGGTGACTATGGCGAATCTGTGTAAAGGAATAGTGTTGGAGGGAGAGTGGAGAAGACAGGTTCAGCTTGGTCGCCGTGGCAGTCGCAGTACCGCTAGCTGCTGCTGCCGGCATCGCCATTGCCGTTTCCATTCCTCCGAGTTTCGATTGATTGGCTTTGGATTGGATTCTCTGTCAAGTTGGCTTCCGGTGGGGTTAGTTACAATTAGATCCTGGAACCTTACTAAAACTTGCATCATGGTCCTTATGGCCGTCCGATCTTCTTTCTTTTTGGGCCGTGTTATGGGCTGCATGAGCGTTTTAATCATATCGATTGGAATTCGGAAATAATATTCTGGACTGGATATCACTGCCTCGTTTGGGTTTAGGTTAAATGATGAGCATTAGATCGTTTTAAATGTGCTTTAAAATAACGTCTCTCGTGCGAATATGGCGAAAGTGTGTAAGGGGAGACGAGAATCTGTTTACGTCTCTCGTGCGAATATGGCGAAAGTGTGTAAGGGGAGACGAGAATCTGTTTTCAATTTCCACCTACTACCTCCAGCCCTCTTATATTCTTTTCCCCCGCACGAGGCTAGAGACATCCGCTCCCGACATGGCCGGTAAGAGCCGGGTTCCAGCAAAACCTTTGCTAAGTGGGAGCCCCATTTTCTGAAAATTGGGTTGGAGCCCCATCAAGAAGTTGGGGTTACCTACGATTCCTCGGCCAGACCCTTACTCCCTTCATTGGCTCAGTGATCATGCTGCAATGAAGGTGAACAAACATGCCAAGGTGTCTTTTTCAATTGGGGATTACCACGATGAATTACTCTTCGACGTAATTCCAATGCAAGCAGCCCACTTGGTGCTGGGTAGGCCCTGGAAATTTGACCGAAAGGTCTCTCACCATGGCAAAAGTAATCGCTACACGTTTGAGCTCAAGGGGATCAAGATTGCCCTTAAACTACTGCCACCCGACGAAGTTTGAGTTGATCAAATGCGAATGACGAACAATCGAGGCAAGGAAACGGGTCAAACGAATGATTTGCCGCCGTCTAAGGTGAATGAGGGCAATCTGATGGTCAGACGACATCTTCTGACTGTGCTTCCTGACAAGACAGTTCCGCGTCGAAGCAGGGAACGACGACCCTGTTCGCCGGTGGCCCTGAATCACACCAAATTGGGTGGAGCAGCTGGAGGCACATCAGAGCAAGCAGCCAGTGTCAGCACCTTCCAAAGTCGCCCAGCAACGTGTAAAGACGATGAATTCCATCTAAAGCGAGCTCACGAATCCCAAAAGCCCAATTCTGCCTCCAAAAGTGCCGAACAATGAAGAGAAAGTGGATTAATAGAATGTGGAGTTTGGGCACGATTCGAAGCAATCCAGCACTGGGAATCTACTCTTGGGGTCTCAAGGAAGGTGTAGGAAGCAAGAAACCAGCTCGGTGACGCCTGAAAAACGAAACGCCCAATTTTCAAGTTGGCTCGCCGGATTCTGGAGATTTGTGGGAGCTAGTAGAACTGAATGCAAGCAAGAAAACTTCGAGACTCGATTCAAGCCGATTTGAGTACCATCGAAGCTCAAAAACCATTGCATTCGATTCGTGGGAGCGAGTAGAACTGAATGCAAGCAAGAAATCGGAACAAGAAGGCTTACAGCGGAAAGCCCCAATTTCAATGCGCTCATCGAAAAATCGGGTTTCGCCGGAAAGAAAGGTTTATGGACTTAATTTTTATGACCCTGTTTGGGATGAGTTTGTTCATTCTTTTGCGTGTAGGATGTTCCAAGCTTTGAGGTCAAAGCTTTTTAAAGAAGGGGGCTTGATATGATCACAAGTCGGGCAGGTTTCAAGTTCCAATTAATCGATCAAAGATCGATTCAAGTTGACAAGTACAAAGCTGGAAAATTTCCAAGTGTTGGAACAGTTTTGGGAACCCCACTTTGTAGGCTTGGTTCTCCCAATTGGTCGACTGAAAATGCAAGGTCAAGGGATTGTTTTGAAGTTTGGATATTCCTCTATAACTTGGTGCACTTGGATCGTGGAAAGGAAGCCAGAAGGGTTGGATTGCAAGCCGTGAAAAAACCATATCTTGCAGCTGGAAATCTACCTGTTTTTGACTAAGGCAGAAAGACAGTTTGAGGTAGCAACTTTGAGCTCGAATTCACGAAGTTTGGGACACAATCAGCTAGATCTTGGAGTTGGAATTGAGAGAGTGAAACTTTCTAAACCTAGGGAATGAATTGGCTGAGCTCGACTCAACCCAGAAGGCCATTTTCCAGGAGCTAGAAGTTGGTACAAGGACTGATTTCCGGGACAATTGCTTGTTTTCCTTTCCTTGTTTTGTTTGTTATTTGTTTCATTGTTCAATTAGGATTGTGTTAAGTTGTTCTCAGCTATAATTAGCCTCTTTAATTGATTGTAATGGAGGTATTAAGTTTAATCGAAAAGTACTCCGAGGAGTTTTCCTTGCGCTTGAGAGCTTGAGTTTGGTCTGGGATTTTCTATCCTTGACTTGCAGACCTTGAGATCAACTCCATTCCATTGATCTCGTCATGTTTTCTACCCAAACCAGTTCCTTCCCCAACGTGTTGAAGTTGCTAGTTTGGTTGTTCACAAAACCCCTTCCCCTGTTACTATGAAACCATCATCATTCCAATCCATCCATCCTAGGTTGCGTATTCTGATTCGAACCCTATCTAGGGCTCATCAGAAAACCTGCAACCTATGGAGAATTTCTATATATATATTCTGATAATATTCTTTCTACTTTACTTTCATCATGTAGGTCTAATTTGACAGGGAGAGAAAATAAGATTTTGAAGGACCAAGAGGTCTCATTTTAAAAAAGATGAAAGACCTTACTTTCGACCAAGTGATATCAACCTCTATTATGTTGCTATATTATTCTTTAAACTTACAAACGTGGCTGAATAGCTTTGGTTCCTTCATCTTTTTATGAACTGGCTTGTATCATGGTTGTTAAGATTCGACAATTCATTCGTCATGATTTGGAAAAATATACAACTCTAATATGTCTTTGTGTGGTGGCAATGTAGTTGCTAGGTTAACTTTTCCTAAGAGACTATTATGTCTCATTATTGTATTTATGCTCTAGTTAGCTGTAACTTGATGTTCCCTCCTGTTATTTATTTCCTGTAGTCTGACATTTGTCTTTGATGGTTTTTTTTGTTGTGAATAAAAGAGGACAACCATTAGAAAAAAACCATAAAGTTGTATAGGAAAGAGTGTTTCATAAGTAAAATTAGTAGCAAAAACTCGGCACAAATCAAAAGTCAGAAGGTAGTGAAAGAAAACCTAAAACATGTTTATTTGTTGGTATATAAGGATATATGTGTCTTTTAAGCTATAACATATTTTTGTCTTTTAGTCCTACTATATAGACTCCAGACAATGCATTCTTAGAAGAAACACATTCCTATCATATACATAATCGTAATATTCTTGGGATACATTGTTTCCAGAATTAGAGGTTCCAAATGACCCCTATATATTGACGAACAAGGGCTTGGTCTAGTGTTAATACCACTAGCTTTGAACTAGGAGGTCCCAGGTTCGAATCGCTTAAGTAGTACCTAACAACAAAAACTCAATCTATACCACCCTTATAAAAAAACCCTATATCTTGACTTTTTTGGTTCGTGATGTTAAATATAGCATAAGTAGAGGGTGGAGTAATAACTTGGCCCTAAACTAGTTAAAGAAGAAGATACGATGTAGTATTGATAAATGATTGCGTGGAGTGGTGTGTTGAGAGAAGGAATGGTGAACGCAAGCAGTATCCGATTTAGTTGCATGGAAGATAATATAGTTGGGTTTTTTTTACGAGAATGATAAAATAGTTTGATTGCAGTAGCACTGATTGATCTTCTGGTTGGTTGTTCTTTCCATTGGTGAAGGTTGTTTAATTATCCTCTTTTTTTGGTTGATGAATGAACGAATTAATGTATAAATCTGGGCAAAAAGTAAACTGCATATACGCACATGCATGAAGTGAGATAGAGGAGGCATATGATCATATCAAAGATCTATGGGGAAGAAGAAGAAAAAGGACATAATACGTTTAGAGAGGGAATCTGTGATTCCCATTGTGAAGCGCAAGATCATTAGCGCCTTGACCAACCGTATTGGTAATAACTCCTCTTTCTTCTTTCCTTTGTGCGAATACATAAATATTTACATTTTGTTTCAAATTTAAAATACCAAATGGGATACAATGAATGAAAGCAGAAGGGAGGAATGAGAAGGATGAGTTTGTTAAGTTGTGCCAGAGAGCAGAGTACACGATCAGGGCGTGGTACCTCCTCCACTTTGAGGAGATGATGCAGCTTTATGCCCTCTTTGAGCCCATCCACGGTGACCGTAAGATAGAGCAGCACAACCTAACCCCCGAGGACGTCGACATTTGCGAGCGCCATTTCCTCAACTGCCTCTTTCAAGTCATGGAACGCAGTAACTTCAAGATCACCACTGACGATGAGATTGACGTAGCTCTTGCTGCCCAATACCGCCTCAATCTCCCCATTGTTGTTGATGAATCCAAGGTAAGTATGTATGTGAAATTCCACTTTAGTCAATTGCTTGATCTAAAGTCATTTCTTTGAATCAGTTGGATAAGAAACTATTCACCAAGTACTTTTCCAAGCATCCCAAGGACAACCTGCCTCACTTTGCCGACAAGTACATCATATTCAGGAGAGGGTTTGGCATTGATCAAATGACTGCTTACTTCATCAAACACAAGATCAACACCATCATCATGCGGTTGTGGATGCTCATCCTCACCATTACAGGGTTGAAATGGTTGTTGTTTGGGAAGAAGAAAAAGAGACGGAGACCAGAACAACATCTAGATGGTGATGGATTGTCGCGGCAGGAGGATCCAACAACCATTGGAGTTAGCATAGATGACATAGTGGATGATGATGATGATGAAGACGATCTTTTTGTTGAAAGAATACGCATTGAGAAAATGCCACTCAGGTATGAACACACATCATACCTACCTACCTAGCTAGCTGCACCATTAATATGATTTCTTCTTCTGTTTCTTGAAATATCTCTTCATCCAACCGCTTGTCTTTCCAGCTTCTCTAACCTTTTTGGGAAAGTAACCATTCAAGAGCCCACATTTGATAGGATAATCGTCGTTTATAGGTATCATACCTACAAAAATTATTCAACCTTGTTAACTTACTCGAAAGATTATAGAACGATTGAAAGTACATAGGTATGTATGTGTAATGATTGATATGCAGGAGAGAAAGCAGCATCGACAAGAAGGAAACAGAGAGGAATATGTACGTGAAGCATTTTAAGGGTATTCCCATGGCTGATATGGAGATTGTCCTGGTGAGTGAAAAAACCGAGATTGAGACTCGTTCTTCAAAGAGAAATCAATCACATTTTATCCATCCATAATAATATCAACTAACTTGCAGTTGATGATATTTGATAGCCAGAGAAGAAAAATCCTGGGCTTACCCCAATGGATTGGGTGAAGTTCCTTGTATCTGCTCTCATTGGTCTGGTAATTATCTATTATCATGTTTTATTTTAACTACGATCCATATCTCTACCCTCCATTTTTGGTACTTGGAAGCGCCAAATAACACATGATACATGTCTTGTCTATAGGCGACAGTGGTTGGTTCTTTGAGCGTGAAGAAAGTAGACATTAGAGTGATCTTCGCCATCCTCACATCAGTGGGTGGCTATTGCGTCAAAACATATTTCACGTGAGTAATTAAGATCTTGGATTGCCTAAGAAGTCATTTGAATAAGATTAAGTTCAGAGATTACGTATTTGGCAGACAAAATGTCAATGCAATTTGGCAAATGAAAATGCAGGTTCCAGAGCAACTTGGTGTCTTATCAAAGTCTGATTACTCAGTCGGTCTACGACAAACAACTAGATAGTGGGAGGGGCACTCTGCTTCACTTGTGCGACGAGGTCATCCAACAAGAAGTATGTCGATCTTGCTATTTACTTACGAACCATATTTCTCGTTTAGTAGTATTGCTCGTAAATCTTTAACAATAATGAATGGGCTTATTTGCAGGTGAAAGAGGTGATCATTTCCTTCTTCATACTGATAGAACAGGGTGAAGCCACCCGACAGGTAATACAACTCTGCATTGTTATTTGGGGACTTTAAAACTGAATTAACTTTAGGGATGAATCCTAAAATAGGAACTGGATGGAAGGTGTGAGGATCTACTCAAGGCAGAATTTGGTGAGAACTGTAATTTTGATGTTGACGATGCTCTCCAAAAGCTGGAGAAACTCAAAATCATCTCCAAGGCAAGCTTTTAGGCGTGAACCTTATCTCCTTTTCTTTCCACAATGTATTTCCCTTTGCTTCTAACTGTATGAACTGAAAGAGGTGGGACGCAAATGCAGGACGACAATGGAAAGTATAGGTGCGTGGGATTGAGGGAAGCTAATGATATCATAGGCACAACCACCGAGGAGGTGGTTCTCAAGGCTACAGGCGGTGTTGCTGCTTCTACTACTGATGCCACCACCACCACCAATCTTCTCGACTATTAACCCCGCTCTTCCCCTGATGGATGCCTGTTGAAAGCAAATTAATTACATCATGATGTCAGGAAATGATTTGAAGTCATACCATCCCTCTAGACAAACCAAAATAGCTACACTAAATTTTTTAAAAAGTTATGGAGAAGCATGAAGCAAAATCTTCAATCCATCATGAGAACCTGGATACAGTAATTCTATCACCTTAGATTTTTTTGTCCTAGCAAAAATGCAAAATAGAATGTCAAAATAACTTGGGTTTAAAATGATTATCTTACCTCAAGACATGGAATACTCAAATGGAAAGTTACACAAAAAGACCCAGTCACTTCCCACTACCACATTGACCCTTGTGGTGCTTTTTTAGTATTTCCAACTGCTTCAGCTTCTCAAGAACATGCTTCATAGATGGACGCACAGAAAGCCACTCTACATTGCTTGCTGAAGCTTCCCCCTGTAAGTCTCCTTAGGTCCAGTTTCCAAGTGCTCGGCAGAGAAGAGTTCAGAAGATCATCCCTCATTTATCAACATCTTGGCCCACACCAAAATGTTGAAGCCATTTTGATACTCAAAGAGTGATGGATCAAGTGATTTCTTCCATGACATCAATTCCAACAAAGAACCATACCAAAGTTGTAAATCCTGCATGTGGTTTCCTATTATGTTCTCTCTATATCTGTGTGTGCCGGTTGGAAGAAATGATGCCTATGAAGTTCATTTATCCCACCAACTTGCTACTGCTGTCTCTCTTAATGCAGGCAAAATAGTCGCCCATTGTACTTAAAAGTTATCATCACCACAGTGAGACTCTACTGTGATAACCTCTTTCTCCAACCATCAACCAATATTCTACACTTTACAATGAAACCACGAAAAATCCTTAAAGGCCTTAAGATACAGAGAAACAAAACAATTGTTCAACTAGAATACATGAGAAGAGGATAAGAATAACTTACATTAATCAATTGAGTTACTATGGGATAATTAGGAGGATGGGGTTAGCATGGTAGAGAGCCTCAAAAATGTCGTTAGGGTGAGTACTTGAGTCAAGAGGAGATGGTGTGCGTGGTCATGCTCCACTTCAAGTTAAATATGTTAAGTGTGTGGTGATTGGGGATGTGGATTCTGGACCATAACGCTTTGTAAGAATCAGTCTGGACAGTGAAAAAGTATACTCGGGAGTGGACTTGTCAGACAAACAACACCATTTCGATGAAGGTTCCTACGAAAGGAGATGGTTAATAAGTATGCTTAGCTTTTTGGTTCACGCATTGTGCCAATCAGTTAGTGGGTGAAGTTAGAAGGATAATAAGGTGGCAACAACCCAAAAAGATGCATACCTAGGGGGAAAGTAGGGGCGGAGGGGGATCATAGAGATTTATGGTTAGAGGACGAAGAAAGGAGGTGGCTACCATGGAGTGTACGTTTCAAAGGGAATCATGGTCATAACAAACACAACACAAAGTTGATGGTAGTAACACCTTAGGCGAATCCCACATCGACAAAGCACGAGAGATATCCATGGTTCATAAGTAAGAAATCGACCTTAACTGACAAGACGCGTTTTGGGGTGAAATGGAGGAGTTCTTATGAGAACTCTGAAGTTAAACGTGCTCAGTGTGGAGTACAACAAGGATGGTGGACCTTATGGAAAATCACCTTGAATTGCACCCCAAGGCAAATCCGTGTGGGTGTAGAGGCCCAAAGCGAACAATATCTTGTCGGGAAAAGGTTCAGGATGTTACAATGGTGACGACAAGAATATATGGTTCAGTTGTTGCAGACACGAGAGCACATCAGTTTCTTTCCCCCCATTATTCAAGCCTATGATATGTATGTTGATCTATAGCCAATGGGCTTTTGTTCCCGTCCAAGCCTAAACTTTTAGCTTATATTGTAGCTTTCAACTTCAAAGCCTTGATATGTAATGTAACAGACTAAATGACAGTGTGTAACACCCCGGTATTTTAGATTTAGGTTCGACTTTAATACGTGATCAGTTGGATTGACGGTTACGTACTAAGAGTTACAACCGCGGATGAAGAATAATAATAATGATATATTATTATTATTATAACAACAAATATGTATATATGGGACGGGGCCGAGCGCCCCAGCTTCATAAAATCCCTCTTCCCCCCCCCCTCCCGCCAAAGTCCCCCGCCGCCCTCTCCATTTATTTGCCCAAAAGAACGCCGCCCCTGCTCCTCATCGCGGTCGAGAGGAAAAGAAGAAGGAGCCACCGATCCCGATCCCAATCCCGATTCCGATCCCAATCCGAATCTCATCCCTTTCGTGTTTTTAGGTAAGGATCACGAACCCCTTCGCGATTTCTAAACTCGAAGCTCGTATTTTATTAGCGGTGACGTTTGAGGGTTCGATCATCGATCAAAGAGGAGATCAACGTTCCGGGCCATCCAATCGAGTCCTAGGCATGTTCTAGAGGTAAGGGAACTCGATCCCTTTGAGTTAGGTCGATTAATTTTGGGATTTTTCATGAGGATGCAATTCTGGGTTTTTAGCAACAGGCGTTGCAGGCTTTTAGTGGCAGATTTTGGGTAGTCACTAAAGCTGCTGAAAATTTCCAGAAATGTATTTTTAGATGTTTTAAATGGTTTCGAGCCTCTCTGAAGGTTTTTTCTGGATCTAACAATTTTATAAATTGAGCGACGTCTAGGAGATGATTGTAATTTAATTTGGGAATTTTTGAAGATGTATTTCTATTTTTATAAATTGTTTGAATATTTTTTTAGTTAAATAAAATTCCTTCCGATGGGTTTTTAAGGGTTTGATAATTTTCCAGGGTATAGGGGCTCATGATTGACATGGGAAAACTATTATCCGAATTTTTAAGAAGGTTCTAGTTAGGTGGGAAATTCGTCCAAGACTAAAGTAATTAAGAAAAATGGTGATTTTTGAAGGGATTAATTCTAGAAAATTTTAGTGGGGTTAAAGGACCCTTGGAATGAGGTTCAAGAACTGGAGTTTGAGGAGAGGATGTTCTAGTGATTCAAAAGGGGTTTTAAATCAAGAAAGGTCGTCTAAGAAAATGGATTCTTATTAATAGGTTTCCCCAAGATAATCCGGCTAAGGAGGGGTTTCTTCGAGGAATGAATTGAGGAGTCATCTTTTCGAGGTGAGTGTAAAGGGGGTAAAATCTTTGTCGTAGGTCTTTTAGTTTCTGCTTTTCGTTCAAGTTATTATTTAGTTAATTTTCTAGTATGCGCGATATGTGTGTGAGGCATCCCACCGCCTATAAGGGTGGATGCACGCGTTGTGCTATGTATGTGATGATGTATGGATTGATGGTATGAGGAACCCCCGGATGGTTGGGTCACTACTGGACGGCAAGACGTGACGCAGTAGTTGAGGGGCATGGACTGGACGACGAGACGTAACATAGTGCCATTGCCGAGTTTGGGTATGCAACCGGACGGCAAGACGTAACGCGGTTGGCATACTAGGGTAGGACAGCGGACGGCGAGACGTAACGCGGTGGTCCTAGTGTTTTGTGTTTGAGTTAAGGATAGAAGGCGAGCACTCTTAGGAGTTAATGTTGAAATGAGTTGATAAGGATGATTTTTTTAAGAGCAGAAAGCGAGAACGGCTTTCATGCTAGGAAGCAAACTCTAATAACGTGTTTAGTAGGGAGTTCGCCTAGGCAAAGACCTTAGGGAGTAACGACGAGACTCACCCCTTCTCACTCACCAGGTGCATAGAGGGGAAGAGGACGCATCCATCAAGAGGAGATTACCCGAGGAGAGCAGCCGCGGTAACCTGAAGATGTCAACTGGATCTGGGTAACGAGATGGGACCTCTCATTATATTTGTCTTTAGTTCCATGTCTTAATGAGTATACTGGTGAACCTCAAGGGTTGTGTTTATGTTGTGTTGCTCTAGGTTGAGGTCGCCCAAGTGTTTAGGGCATTTCACTTGAAAATCTTAAACATTGTGGTTGTTGGTTTTTGGTTTTGACTTGTAAACCTGTTTTGGGTTGCTCCGGAGTAACCGGTTTGTGGTTTGAGTTGTGGTTTGGTTTTCAAAAAGAGCGGGTCGTGTCACAGTGAATGGGTCTTTGTTTCCTCCTTCGGTTATTTTTTATGGGGTTAAGCTACATTTCGATCTTAGAAGTATTCATTTTCTTTGAATAATCCATTGACTCGACTCTACTGTCACCCTAGGAATTGGCCAAGTGAAACCACTTCCTAAAGCGTAGTATAGCGGGTTAGGTTTATATGTCAACCCGGGTCCTAGATATGATGACTACTCAGTGAATTCGTGTTATCTAGCAATGAAACTGGAATGCAAGTCTAAACTACCAAACAAACAAAGCAAGTAAACTGTTGTATTCAGGTTAAGAGAGGTCACCCGGATATGGTTCCCCCTAGACTGCAGTTAAGCCGGATTGTAATTGCCAAGTTCAGTTTCTATGATAGTTATACTGCGGAAGGTTCTTAAACAGCCTGAAGTCTCGACTAAAGGTCTTCAGACCCTCTCAATCTGAATCTCTAGCGGGCGACTAACCTCCACCGGAGTAGACAGATTGAGGCCCTAAGAATAAAACCTCCACTACCGGAGTAAATCCGGTACAGAATAGTGAGTTGGTTCCTCGACTAAAGTCACCAACTCCCTACCTTCAATCAAGGATACTCTATTAACCTAGGCAGATATTCTCATTCTAGGTTAAAGCAGAAACAACAGGAATTTGATCAGGATTCAAGTCATTCAATCATTAAAACCTCAATCGAATATAATCAAATCACAGAATCAGTACTTGGGTTCATACAATCAAAGCCTAACATACAAATCTAGGGTTCTCCATACCCAGATGAATGGGAGAACTACTCCATGGAGAAGAAAGCAAAAGCAGAATCAGACACGGAATTCATACTGCAGAGGATGGATTCCTGCTTCTAGACGTTGATTGGCACTTCTCCAAGCTCAAACTGGCCTCCAATGGTGTTGAAGATCAATCTAGGGCACTTGGGAACTCTTGCTCGTCACTTTCTCTCTCTAGGAACTGATCTCTCTCTCTAAAACTCAAATCCCTTCAATGTTGGCCTTCTTCTTCCTTTTATCAGCTGCCTGGTCGCGATACCCGGTCGAAATACCCGGTCGGGTATTTTGGGTTTCGACCGGGTATTTGCAAAACTCACCGTTTCATTTAAGGGGAAAATCCCCGGTCTGTCCTCATAATCCCCGACCGGGGATTTAAGGCATTTGCCCGGGCCCCCTTCTGTTTCTCAGACGCCAAAAAGGGAAATCCCCGGCCTCTTCAGAAATATACCCGGCCGGGTATTTTCGGTCATGGCCGGGTATTTTCTTCCTCCAGCCCACTTCAATCCTCGTTTGCTCCTTTCGACCCGAATCTCGTTCCTTCGCCTCGATTCCAACGCCGGGTCCTGAAATATGACATAAACACACAACCTTGCGTGAAATCGGCTTAAAACCCGAGAATTAACCTTTAGAACGGCTAAAGAATAGGGGTGAAAATACGTGTAATTATCGGTCTATCATCCATGTACTATAAAATTTATAACTTTCGTGGTGATATTTTTTTATTATGCTTTGATGTTTCCTCTCTTAACAAAAAAAAAACTTTTGTCACTATATTTTGCTCTTTTTCAATACATGAGAAGACGTGAACTATATATACTCTACATGACTACGAAATATGATATGATATAATAACATCTCATGTTCACATGTTCATTTTCAAAAGACGTTTGGGCAAGATTCACATCATCTCTTCAGCTACATGGCCCTCTCCCATCAACGATACCATAATTTCTTCCGGCTTGGAGATGATTAGGGTATGACACAAAGCTTAGTGATTGTATGAAAGTTCTACCTCATGCGGTGTTTTGGTATATTTGGACAGAGAGAAACATCCGAATTTTTAGGAATACCGAATCATCCCCAGTTGAGGTTTGCCACAAGATTCGTTATGCGATTGGGAGATGGCTTCGAGCTTTCAACCTTATCTCAGATGAGCTCTTTCAGGAATGGGCGAGGATTGGAGCTGGCTAACAGTTTGTCCTTTTTCTTTTGCTTCTTCGGGGTTTTCTTTTCCTTTTTTTCTCGAGACTTGTTTGGGTTTGCTCGTTTTGTGGGTTTTGATTTTGGGTTTTGTTTTCATTTCTTTTTATTGTTCTCACGTTGGAACCCCTTCCTTTTTTTTTCCTTTGTCTTTGTCTGTCAGTTTCTTTGCCATTTTTTGGCAAGTCTCCATTCATTTTTGCAATAAAAGTTTCGTATCATCATTCATAAATTTTTTTTTGGTAGGATGGTACACTTAGCCCCTCATTTACTATGAATATTATCCTCGATAAGGTAGCATAATCTTTGATTTCTCACACTTCTCAATTAAGCTGTGATGTTGCGAATCGACAAAAATTACTTGTGATTGTACTCACAAGCCATCACTACAGAAGGTGGAGAAATAATGGTTTGTTATTAATTATTTCAAAACCTTTACACTTTGGGATGTGATTTTGAAACTTAGTGAAGAGCACATGTTTGTATATGAACAAACAAAATCTTGTTAGGTTGCACCTATACGCATAATTTTTGTACTTTTATCATTCAATAATGATAAGAACGAATTATACAATTATTTAAAGTCAACACATGATGAATGATTCCTAATTATTGATTCCATGATAGGTGGAAGTTGTCCTTAATTGCTTAATCCATGCTTTGTGATTTTTTAAAAACAGTTATGTCAGAACAGAAGCGTGGCAATCGATAATCCAAACCAACACGAACGAACACAATTTAACGTGGTTCACTAACACAATGTGTGCTGGCTAATCCACGGGCAGGGGAGAACAAATTTCACTGATTTGAGGAGAGTACAGGTTACAAACCAAATCCCAAATTGACAAACCAAACAAACTAACCTTACTGACCTTACTACATACTACGGTGATGAAGAGTATTTATAGAACTCTTCTCCTAATCCCAAACAGAAAACCAAACACTTTTTCCCATACATACAAGGAAAAGGTCAAACAAAGCCCAAACACAAACCCAAACAAAAATAGACCCAAAACACAAAACAAACCCAAATCAAATTCAAGTCATATTCTAACAATCTCCACCTTGACTTGAATCCTCTCTCAAATGCCAAATGTACCAGATGCGATCAAAGTTGCCAGATGTACCCAACTCCTCCAAATCAGCTGTACCAGAATCTCCCCTGCCTCCAAATGCCCCTAAGGGCGGTCAACAAACCGAACCATTTGGCAAGTCCAACCCATGCTGAGACTTGCCATTCAAAACTAGCTTGGTGCACTCATCACCAACAGAACATTTCAAAATAGAACCTTGTAGATTATACAAGGCACCACGCTTGACACCTTTCAAAATCACCTTAGAACCCTTGTAGACAGACAACACTCCACCTTCACCTTTGAAGTTGTAACCCTTGCTGTCGAGTAGACTCAAAGATATCAGATTCTTAGTCATTTCTGGAATATGTCTAACATTGTTCAAGGTGCGAACAGAACCATCATGTGTCCTCATCCTGACGGAGCCTCTTCCAACAATCTTACAGATAACACCATTGGCCATAGAAACATGTCCTCCATCTATCTGCTCATAATTTGAAAAACCTGCTTGGACACATATGATAATCAGCTGCAGTATCTAAATACCACACATCCTGATGATGTACCTGTTCATTCACTGCTAAGGCTAAACCATCTTCAGAATCAGAGTTAGTTTCTTCCGCCACAGCAGCAAATGATTCCTTCTTCTCCTGATATTTCTTCAGTTTAGGACAATCAAATTTCCAATGTCCTTTCTCCTTGCAGTAATGACAGATATCATCCTTCAAACCAGCAGAATTCGAATTTGTATTCGCCTTCCTATTACCAGATTGTTGTCTCCTACTACTCGTAGCAGCCAACCCAGATGCTTGATTTTCCGAACCTGAACCAGATGCCTTATGTCGAACCTCTCTAGTATGTAGAGCAGATCTGACATCTTCCAAAGACAAACTATCTTTCCCAGCAATAAAAGAATCCACAAAATTCTCATATGACTGTGGCAAAGATACTAACAGAATTAAGGCAGCATCCTCATCATCTATTTTAACATCAATATTCCACAGATCTAGCAAGATGGTATTAAGTTGATCTAGATGATTCCTGAGAGACATACCTTCCTCCATATGCAAACTGAACAAACGTTGCTTCATATGCAACTTGTTAGTTAAAGACTTTGTCATGTATAGACTTTCAAGCTTCAACCACAAGCCCGCGACAGTCTTCTCAGTAGCTACCTCAGTGATGATGTCATTAGCCAAACAAAGCAAGATTGTAGAGTGAGCTTTCTCCTCCAAAGTAATCCACTCTTCTTCATCTATGCTTTTCTTCTTCGATTTTTCAGACAACAGAGCCCACAAACCCTGTTGTTTCAACAGTGCTTGCATCTTGATCTGCCATAAACTGAAACTGTTTCTTCCTGTAAACTTCTCAATCTTCGTACTGATAGCAGCCATTCTTACTATCAAACAAACTCCAACCAAACTTCTCACCAAAAAAGTGAGACCAAAACACAACTACCCAAAGTCAACTTCAAAGCGATTCCTCCACTGAACCAAGCTGAAGAATTGAAAGCTACCTCCACAAAGCAAAACTTCAGTCCAGCGACAAATTCCCAAAACCGTAATCAAAGGCTCTGATACCACTTGTCAGAACAGAAGCGTGGCAATCGATAATCCAAACCAATACGAACGAACACAAATTTAACGTGGTTCACTAACACAATGTGTGTTAGCTAATCCACGGGCAGGGGAGAACAAATTTCACTGATTTGAGGAGAGTACATGTTACAAACCAAATTCCAAACGGACAAACCAAACAAACTAACCTGACTGACCTTACTACAGACTAGGGTGATGAAGAGTATTCATAGAACTCTTCTCATAATCCCAAACAGAAAACCAAACACTTTTTCCCATACATACAAAGAAAAGGTCAAACAAAGCCCAAACACAAACCCAAACAAAAATAGGCCCAAAACACAAAACAAATCCAAATCAAATTCAAGTCATATTCTAACAAGATAGTTAATCACTGCCTTACCATCCTCGCAATTAAAATCGCTTCTTATCAATTTGAATCCAATTAAAACGACAAGATACTAAGATTTTTCCGATTGAACAGAATCTATAATGTCATCCTTGCTACACCACTCGTGTACGCTATTAGCTACTCGACTGCATAGAGGATAACTTTGTTAATATATAGTCAATTTAGATTATACTGTTTGTATTACATCTACATGTGTTTATTACACAAATAAACAAAACATAGCCAATTTAAGTTAAACAGTTTGTATTACATGTGTAAATTCCACAAATAAACAGAACATAGATCATATCAAATGATAGATTGGTATATGTGTATATTGACGGTAAATAAATCATACTTAGCAAAAATTTCAAATACAATGAACACTCACACACAACACGTAATAAACCAAAAACAACATAACAGAAGGAATTAAGAAGATTCAACATGAGAAACGAGTAATTTTAGAATATAAAAAAACATGTCCTTCCATAATTCCATTTTTATTATTTTACCCCCACTTTTTTGTTAGGTAGGGTCTGGGCTTATAAATCACGCTGTAGCGGCAACAGCGTTAGGGAGACAATGGAGCACGACGGTCTCGACGGTGAGACCTGGTCCAAACCCGAAAAGAACTCCCCACTCCAGCCCTTCACCGGACGTTAGCTTCCCTTCCTCTGCCGACTTCTTCCTCATCTCGTCCAATATGAAAAGCACGCATGCACTGGACATGTTGCCGTACTCCTTCAATACCTCTCGAGTAGCCCTCATCTTCTCGGGCTTTAGCCCGAGCTTTTCCTCCACCTGGTCCAAAATAGCAGGCCCACCAGGATGCGCTATCCAGAACAACGAGTTCCAGTCACTAATCCCAATGGGCTTGAACGCCTCCACGAGCGATTTCTCGATGTTCTTAGAAATCAAACCAGGCACATCCTTGAGCAAGTGGAAAGTCAAACCTACTTCCCTCAGGTGGCCGTCGATGGCCCCTTCCGAGTCTGGAAGTATGGTTTGCGCAGCCGACACGAGCTCGAACATAGGCCTCTCAACCTTCTCGTCCGGATCAGCTCCAATAATCACCGCCCCCGCTCCATCGCCGAAGAGAGCTTGGCCGACGAGGGAGTCGAGGTGGGAGTCGGAGGGGCCACGGAAGGTGACGGCAGTGATCTCGGAGCAGACGACGAGGACGCGGGCGCCCTTGTTGTTCTCAGCGAGGTCCTTGGCGAGACGAAGGACAGTGCCGCCGGCGAAGCAACCTTGCTGGTACATCATAAATCGCTTGACGGAGGGGCGGAGGCCGAGGAGCTTGGTGAGTTGGTAATCGGCTCCGGGCATGTCGACTCCGGAAGTGGTGCAGAAGACGAGGTGAGTGATCTTGGACTTGGGCTGGCCCCACTCCTTGATGGCCTTGGAGGCAGCTTCTTTGCCCAGCTTGGGGACTTCTACCACCACAATGTCTTGCCGAGCATCGAGGGAAGGGGCCATGTAGGCGCACATGTTTGGATTCTCTTTTAGATACTCCTCCGTCACGTGCATGTAACGCTTCCTTATCATCGACTTCTCACCTGCAACAACATTAACCATTAACTAATAAGTATGTTTACTTCTTGTTAGCAACAATTCAGTGGCTCCAACCATACAAGATATTTTGAAGTTTGCTACTCCAATGGTATAAATGGTTGTTATAAAAAAAAAAAAAAACTTTGTAAATGATTTGGTGTATTTTTACTACTTGACCCGCACTAATTGAGGGAAAGTGTGCATCTACTGCGAGGATATGGCCGGTGCCATAATGCCGATATGTCTATAACGTATTTGAAACCTTTGTATGTGTTAAAATAAATGTTAGATTATTCTAATTTATATGATTCTAAATTTATTCCTACAAATTTGGCTAATGCATCAATGTGCAGACAAAAATTAATCGTAGTAAAAAAATTAGGGCTTTAAACTATTGTTCCACAAATTTCTAGCATGTACTAATGGATATAATACAGATCTGTAAGGTGTAAAAATCCATAATTATGAATGTAGGTTTCCGTTAATTGTCCGTTGAGATGCAGGTTTCTCGTGACTGTTGGCTCTCTCTTTATGGCATGCATGCATATGCCGGCGCGAGGCGCGTGGCGATGGGGCTTCTTGCAGTGTTTCACCTTCTTCCCCGCCAAAAAAAAAATATATACTCAGAATTTAATTAATTCAGCTACCAAATTAAAACAAATCGGTGACATGACAAGAAATGTTATCACAAATGACTAGCGAGGATTAGAATAACGGAGCAGTAATGGTGATGGCGCATTTGAACCGTTCAAATAAATAACACCCCAGCTATTCATTAAAAAAAAAACAATAAAGCATACCAGCTACTTTACAAATTATTAGATAATAATAATAATTGCATTGCTTGGGTGGAAATTATAAAAATAATTCCTTCTATGGTAGAGATATTACATACCACGTACGAAATTATTATTGAAATAATTGAAAAGAAAAGGAGAGGGGTGTCGGGGGGTAACGTACACATGCGCTTGAACTTGAGTTTGAGGTCGGTCATGTGTTCGCTGTTGGTGATGCGGAAGTAATAGTCAGGGTAGTCGGCCTGGTAGACGCAGTTGGCCGGAGTTGCAGTGCCGATGGCCAGCACGGTGGCCGGCCCACTCGCCCGCTGGGCCTTTCTGATCTCCTCCACCTTATTAACGCCTTCCCCAGCCATGCCGTGGTATATATATATGCACTCTCGTTGGTATTAACCTACACAGTAGCTAGGCAACTGAAAGCCGGGAAGTAATTTGGTGTTTGTGGAGAATTTGGTTAGGCGTGGGAGGATATATAAGAAGGTAGGGGGAATGGGCCGGGGGTAGTTTAGTTGTGTGAATGTAGCTAGCTAGAACTAGATGAAGGATCGTTGATGTTTAATAGTAGGTAGGGACGTAGGTGTATTAAAGTTGATCGGGAAGGAGCTGCTGCTGGCTGGAGTGAATAAGATCGACGTGGGGTGCTTATGGCTTCTGGTAGGTAGCATTGACGGATAGCTGAGCTTCCACGTGGTTACTCCACCCTCTTCTCATTTCAGTTTAACACGCACCATCCCCCCTACCTTCCCCCTTTCCCTATCTTCACTATTCACTCCCTTATCTTAATTTACTTTGTTTCCATTTCACAAGTTGACTGAGCCTTTAAACACCTTCCATCATCAATTCCTGTGCGTTGTTAACTTATTAATATTCTAATGTTTACATAATCTGCTCCCAACTGCAAACATATATAGTCATATATGTGAATTACGTTCATCATTTTATTTTTAAGCTAGTTATGCTGTTTATCAATTTAATCTATCATTTGACAGTTTTTCATAACTCACACTATTGCAAATTATTATAACACTTATTACGAGTGAAATTAGATAGGCTGCACGTACAACAAGTTTACAAATAAGTGAATCACCTTTAATTAGCTACTATATATGTCCTTTTAACTTTTATTCATCTTTCTTCCACCCACGCCTTTTAGTACCATACTCCCAGCTTCATTAATCTCCTAATACGGTTATGGTTTCTAGTACATTCAAAGTCGGTTGTGGTTACTTCACCTTATTCCTTCCTAACTAGCTTAGCATGTATGTAATGTGAATAATAAGATGTTGCACTCTATTATATACAACATGATTCACTAGAATTACTTTAATTATTTGTGACAAAAAAAATAATCTATTTGAAAAATACTACTCTTTGATATTTGAATTTAGTGATGAATACGGGTAAATACAGTTCTATATTATGTGGTACCGATTCAATATTGCAGTTGATTAATTAAAAATCTTTTACTCTGCATAAATTTTCAAACCACTAATAAAATAATAATGGTTTGGATGAAATTGATATCCAGCTGGCTGTTATATTGTATAGATGTAACGATTAGAATGTTGAAAAACAAGAAGACAACTTCTCGATACCTAACTCCATTCCCTTCCATTAATCCGGGAGTGGATCAGGTCAGTAACCATAAGTAATCTATCCACATCAGCATGACATCAGTAGCCTCTCTCTCTTGGAAAGTCTTTTATATTTTCCCTTTTAATCTTTAACAAATGATTTCTCTCTCGTTTTAAGTCGAAAATTAATTTTTTTTGCACAGATAAATCAGATTAAATATGCTCTTCAAAATGATATCCACTTTGATATATTTTTAATACAAAAAATTGAATAATTTTTTACCAGTCATTACCATATGGTATGCTCCAATTTAATACCATATGGTAAGAAATCGTACCATGATGGTATGAACATACCAATATGGTAAGAAGGTTGAATACATGATAGTAGGAGTATATTAACTGTTATTTACGACTTTCATCATTGTTTACTACAAGTTACCACAGGTTACCAATCACATACCATAGTGGTAAAGTATGATAATTTTTTATCCAGTATTTTTTCACCCAGAAATTTATAGATCCAATAGATCATGATGAACTCGTTCCTTCTGAGCAAATGTTTTGAAAAACGACTTAAAACGAAGAAGTTACCATATGGTATGTAGTTGGTAAAAAAAAAAGTTTCTCGAAATATATTGAAAATTGATCTCATTTAGTAGAGCACAACAAACTCGTTCCATCTGTGCAAAAAAAAAAAAATTGAAATCCGGGTTAGAACGAAGAAGATAAGAGCCAATTAAGAAAACTAGAGAAAATAAAATGCCTTTAATTGATAATCCTTAGATCTGAATTTTCTGGACCCACTTAAATCTAAAAGTTCAGAATTAATTACTCATAGGTTAGTAACCATTGGTTACTCACCCTATCCCAAGCCCATTAATCCTTCCCCTGCCTTTCCTACCTATATACCATTTACTTCCTTGTCTTTCTTTCTGATAATTTCTAGGGTTAATATTTTCGTATGGCCTGAACTTTGACAAAAATAAACATCTTGGCCAATCTTTTCGATCTATAACATCTTGTCTAGTAATAGCTAGTTTCCCCCCTATTCGGGTATGTTCAACTCTTATCCCACAAATTTGAGCTAACAATCCCTTATTACTAAATATATTTTCAGGAGGAATCAAAATAAGGCGTTATTTGAAACAAATATATATATATATATATATATATATATATATATATATATATATATATAGTACTCGAGCTCATGCCTCATTCTTTCCACAAGCAATATAAAGGAGTGAGTATCCATAAAAATTAGCATGCATTAAGGAAAGGAGACTGAGATGGAGAATGTAGGTTGAACATTATTCTAAATTGATGTTCAAAAATAAAGAATTGCACCCCAAGATTGAAGCAATGCAATGAGAAAGAAGACAATACTACTAATTCTTTCATGGTATACTCACACAAGAAAACCAATACCATAGTAAAAAATGAAGTCTGAAAGAGGCAAACCTCAAGACTTAAAGATAACCCCTTCCGTATAGAAGATTCAGCCTCTTGTATATTTCCTGCATCAAGCCTTGCTTCTACCTCGTCTGCTTTCAAGCCAAAGTTCAGGCCATACGAAAATATTAACCCTAATTTCTAATTACCATTTACAAATAAAAATAATAATTTTTATTGCACTAAAACTGATCGGGCCCAAAGAGAACTCCCTCCAAACGAGGCCGCAACGGGCTTTCACTTCACAGAAAAGACTTGTCATGGACCCAACAGGTAATATGCTAATTGGGCCAAAAGTCAAGCCATCTTCACCACCGCCTTAAACTTAACCGGCCCGCGAAGATCATCACACGCTCTTAATCCAGCGGCAAAGGGCTCTCCCCTCATTCGCGCTATATATTCAAGATCTTCAAGTTTAGGGTTTCCTCTCCTATTACCAGCAGCACAGCCACACGCAGCAGCCAGTGCTTCCAGGGTTTCTTCTTTCTTCCTTTCGGATCCTTCCTTCCTTTGCAAAGATGGTGAGATCTTCCTTCTGTCGTAATCATTCTTTTCTCATATTCCTATGGTATTTCATGGCATTCTTAATCTGATTCTGGTTTCGCATCCCAATCGTTCTTCGCCTTCGGTTGCCTTGTTATAATTCGCTTGTTTCGGATACTGTTCGATCCGATTTTTCACTCTTTCCCTGTGGCTCCGCAGCCTGTTATACGAGTCTTGGATATGTTAATAGTTCGTATATTATCTTTCGTTTCCGTTGGAATTAGCTATTTATAATCAATTAGTTGCGAAGTCCTCTTATGTTTGCTCTCCAGATCATGTTGGAGTGATAGTGTCCTTTCATGTGTGTACGATTGTATGCTTGAAATGGATAATTACCTACGAATTCGCGCTCAATAGATTTGGATTGTTTTAGCCTGTGTTTGATTTCGGTCTCTGTCTGTTTTCCTATAGGTTTTGCAGAACGACGTGGATTTGTTGAACCCACCTGCTGATATTGAGAAGAGGAAGCACAAGCTTAAGCGGCTTGTCCAGTCTCCCAATTCGTTCTTCATGGTATCTATTCCTTTGCCCAATGAGTTGTACGTTTCAGTTTGATGATTTCTGCTGCTTCTTTTATGATTCTGACGCCCTATATGCTGATGTTTATTGCAGGATGTGAAATGCCAAGGGTGTTTCAACATGTAAGTACCTCATCTGTTACCTTAGTCTCTCAGTGAACTGCCTTTAAAGTGATTTGAATAGTGAACAAAACCTTCTTTTCGGGCAGAGCTTATATCCTTTCCTTTGATTATGCAGAACAACTGTTTTTAGTCACTCTCAAACTGTGGTGGTCTGCGGCAACTGTCAGTCAGTCCTGTGCCAGCCTACTGGAGGCCGTGCCAGACTCACAGAGGGATGCTCTTTCAGGAAGAAGGGTGATTAGTTATGTTTCGAAAATCTATGAAGTAGTCTGGCGTTCTATGCTCGCATATGGAATATTATCAATGTTGGATTAGTTTCTGTACCCTGTTTTCATGATGTTTGATTGAGGACGCACTGTTGTTCCATTTCGGGGATGTTATTTTGCGGTTGCTCCGTGAGTTCTATTAATATCTATTATTGAGCATAGTGTCAGTGCGTTTCTTTCTCTGTTTCATGTTCTTGTAGCCGCTAGTTGAAGGTATGTCATCGTTGAAGGATTACTGATATGTAGTCATATCTGATGATGAGTTACTACCTGATGGGTGAGTAGAATCAGTAATTCTATTGCTTCTTATTTTGTGGTGAGAATGTGGAACAGCCCTAGTCTTTATGTGATTGCTAGCAACAGTTTGGCTGAAGATGTATTGACCATTTAGTTTTCGATAGTGAATGTGTTTCTCGCACATTCTGGTTTGAGGCTGATATATAGGCCTATAGTGTAGGTTTTAGTTTCTGGTAGCATATATCTGCTGGAAATCAAATTGGTATGGCGTGTAGTGATTCTCTTCGCTTAACCTTTCTTAGAACTTATCGGTGTGACTGCTGATTAGATGTTTGGATAGCAGTTTCTGCTGGCTACTAGTTAGAACTAAATGGTTAGTAGTTACATATGTTGCAGGGATGGCAACAAAACCCGAACCCACGGGTACCCACCCTACCCAACCCGGTCAACGTGGGTAAAACCCGTGTTGACGGGTTTTGGGCCGGGTTGGGTTTAAACCCGCTACACTATTCACCGGGTCGGGTTGGGTTTGGGTTTAGATAAACCCGCACCATGGATACCCGCTCACACACATATAATTACTTTCCCCGTATATTTAATATTCTAAATAATATTTTTTAAACAACTAATATTCTTTATGTTTGTGGAGACATGTATAATTTGTTCTTTCTAATTGTTTAGAATGAAGATGATGTTATGAAGTGGAGAGTGAAGAAACTTAGTTGGCGAGGAAGAAGCTTTCAATTAATATTATTGTTTATAGATGTTTATCTTTAATTTTGAACAATTTGTATTGATCATTTGCGGTTTGCTTGTATGCTCTATATTGGTGTTTTTTGTATGAATAATTTGTATGAGAAAATTGATGTTAAACTTTTATTTTGAAAGAAATTTGTTATTGTAAATTTTTTACCACAAAAACTCACGGGTACCCATGAACCTGCGGATACCCAACGGGTTGGGTTGGGTTTGAGTTTTTCAAACCCAGCGGGTTTTACCCTGGTTTTTTTAGCGGATAAACCCATGAGTTTGGGTTTGGGTTTGCGTTAAGGTGATCTTTGGTGGACGATGGAATAATTAGGTGTCGTTTGGACGAGTGATTTGGTAATGTTGTATTTGTAGACTCAAAATAACTCACATTTTGGCATTGTGGTATTTGTGTGTGATTTGTGCAATTTGAATGGATAAATGTGTTGTTGGGAAGGAAAAATAAATGAGTTATTAACTTATTATGTGTGTTAATTGATACACAAAATTGAGAAAATACAACTATGCCCCCAATTTTAGAAACAGAGGGTTGGAACTCTTGAATTTTTTTTTGGCAAAATACACCTCCATAGACATAACTTTCCACTTTGTGACAAATATAGCCAAATTTTGAAAATACATAGAAATAGCCATTCTGTCTATTAATTTAACGGAAATATAAAGTCAGCTGACTGAACAAATGATTGTCTGTGTCGTGGCCTGCCTTCATCTACGTGGCATGCTAGGTGGAATTTAATTCTATTAAAAAAGTTGAAAGCTACTAACTTTAAAAGCTATTTTACTAATTAGTTGGGACTTGGGCGTCCCTCTCTTCTCCAAACTTCCTACTCCATTCGATCAGATAAAATAACACCGATCAAACCATCTACCCCATTCGAGCATTAGAAACCCCAAAAAATCAAATCATACAATTTTGAAATGGTTCTCCCTTTCTATTGAGCTCCTGAATTCACACGCTAGGGGTGAAAGCTTGTCCCGGAAGACCCACTGACCCGTCCCGTCCCTAAGGGTCGGAACGAGTCAGTTTATCTACAGGGACAGATTAGGGACGAGTTATTTGTTGACCCTGAAAGGGTCGGGACGGGTCAGGACAACTTAGGGACGGGTCACGTTGACCCGGTGACCCTTAGCAACAACAAATATCTCATACTTCATTGGACTTTTTTTGTAAAGTTTTAAAAGTATAGGTACTAATTTGTAAAAATAAAAAAATGTGGGTACCAAGAAGGAGACAGGGACGTGACAAGACGGTTATACATCTTGACCCTTCAGAGACGGGTCAAACAGGGACATGGACAGACAAATTTTCAGCCCTATCACACGCACAAGAAAACAAGCAAGACACAGGGGGAGAATGACCCTGACCCTCTCCCTCCCGCCGTCGTCGAATCCCAACCAGGGGAGAATGAACCCTTTTTGTTGACGCTACCGCTGTGAATCCTCTATCCGCACCCACATCTCTATCGTCGACTAGAAGTGCGGATCTGGAGACAGGCTCCCCCTCACCTTCATTCCCCCCTTGTCTTCTCGCCGGCCATCGCCACCCCGTGTATAGTCGTTGTTTCCCCAAATCCCTACACCTAGGGCTGCAGACCAAGCTGAATACATCGACGAATTTGTAGACGGGCGACAAAAGCTGAGATATTTGGCGAATCTGGAGATGCACGCTGACGAGAGCTTAGATACACCGACCAATCTAGAGTTGGTTTCTGTGCAGCGTCTCCGCTGTGGATTGGTTGGAGAATACATTCGGTGTCTGCACTGTTCATCAAATCTCTCTTGTTATATACTATTGTACAAAGATATCTCGTAACTGAGTTAAGTCATTCGGCTCTGAAGGAGATAAGGAATATCATTTTACTATTATATTTGAATTTAAAACATAACAGATCACATAAACTACCACTTAAATATTATTTTTACCCACATGCAAACTATTATCGGAAATTGCTTAATCGTTTTTCCAAATTCTACTATACTATATTAAGGAGATCCAGGAGTACACATAAGCACAGCGTATTTCTATTTCATTTGGCATAAGAAAAGCAGACGATGACCTCTTCCTCACGCTAGTTTGCTTGGAATTAAGGAGTAATTATGGATTGTACATATATAAACCGAAAATAAAATTAAGTTGCCAAAAATCGATATACGTAATTGAGTGGCCTCATGCGCGCTGGGAGCAACTACACTACCATCGGACTGCCCAATTCATGAAGCTGGCTGGTCACAATGATGAAGATAACTAGTGGTATATATCTGTACCGATGGATCTGATGATCAGTGGCGGACCCAGGAATTTTATATAGGGGTGTCCTCTTTCAATAAATAAATAATAATAATAAAAATAATAATTAATAAATATTAAATAAGAAAATAGTCAACTCGTACAAGTTAAAAAAAGTTCATAAGTATTTCATATTCTGAAAAAATTGTATAATACACTTGGTGTCTACACTGCTCAACAAAGTTGTCTCGGTATATCCTACTAGACAATCATTCACGAACAAATGCATATTCGACTTCTAAATTTGTTCTTGGTGTAACTCAAAGTTGAAAAGACACTTTCAACACTTGTCGTACACCCATAAATTAAGGGTAACTTGTAATTAGATTAATTGTTAGGTTTTGAAAATAATTAAAGATAGAGACTAGGGTTTTTGAAGGAACTATGATTTTGCGGTAACTTGTGATTAATGTAGCCAGATAGATTAGAAAGAGATTTAGGAATTGAGAGAAATAATTAGGGATTTTGAGAAGAATAATTGGGAAATTGAGATAGGAAGAATAGAATTGGGAATTAGGGATTAGGAGAAGAAGAGGGATAAACTGAATAGGGTTTGATTACTGATTTCTGACCAAATCCAACGCAATGACTCAAATACATATTTATAGGGAAATAAGCCCAAAAACCTAATGATACCCTACTAATCTACTTGGCACTAATCGGCTGCCTAACCCCCTAACCACCCCAATATTTATATTTCCTACAATTTTGCTATTACACCATGTTTAGAATAGAACCACAAAAAAATTTGTAGCCTAAGGAAAATTATATTTATTAATAATAGTAGTGTCTCGGGTTTGAATTACCCAAACTACCACTTATATTCCCATGCGCAAACTACAAACGAGAGTAGTATAATGATTTTTTTCAAATTTTAGGGTGTCCCGGACTATTAATTATAATTTTTTTTCTATACGTAAATTACCACCGGAAGTTGGATAATCGTTTTTTTTCTACACCCCAAACCTCCCTGGGTCCGCCCCTGGATCTGATATCGTATTTATTCAAATCATTCCCTTCTTTTTTAGCAGCTGGGGACAGGGATTACCTTTCTTTAGTACTCATCATCACCACTTGATTTAAATTTAATCATATTAACATGATGGGGGTAGTGATTGAGTCTTCCTGGCCCTGGCCCTCCACCGGCCTGGCATGAGGTTTAATTAGGAATAATGAAAAGGAAGTAGCGCAATAAGAAGTGCGGTGAATGCTATTGCATGCTACATATATATATGATTTAATTTCTTTCTCTCACGATTTCATTATATATGAAAAATCCGAGTGCCCATTTGTATTTGGACCAAGACCAACTTAATTAATCAAATCATCAATAAGAGAAGCTCTTAATTACTATTAATGATTAGTTTTCATAACGTGTTCTCCTTTTGTATGATATAATAATGTGTCTTTTATTTCTCTTCTTCTACAATTTTAAAGGTGTATATACAATGTATGTCATCAAAATCAATCAGTCATGCCATCACATGTTTACCGTAAGCTGCTTTGGACGGCATGAGATTGGACCAATGGATATAAGGAACCTTCACAAATTACTATACATATTATGGATATAATATATTCGTGGACTGGATTCATGCCAGAGAGAGAAGAAGAAGAGGGGATGAAACTTCAATAGTATACATGATTGTGAGAATAATACTAATGATTAAAAGGTATCTAATAGAACATGCTCATGCTAATCATATGAAGTGATCTCCCCATCCTATATACATATAATTAATGTTTTTTGGAAAATTACTTATAATTTGTAATTGTGGAATCAAAAGGGGAGTCATATATGATCATATGCATGTGTAGTACCTTTTATCATCAAACAATATATAGGCATCATAACCACTTTCAACCAATGTTTTGTGTTGTATATATTTTCCATTAATTCGACCGTTATATATATTATATGTATTCAAGTTTTAATGTGAATGACTATCACCCCTTTGTGATCACCTAGTCTTTACTTAGATTTTTTTTTAAAGTTGGACCATAATATTTTTATTATTCTCATATATCTGGAATAATTGATTATTTGTCATGCGCTTGTTAATAAATTTAGTATCAATCATTCCTAAAATATTTTGTGACTGGGAGATGAACTTATTGAATAAAAATTTATTTGGTGTTGACCACATAACTCTAGAATGATGGTAACCCTGCAACATATATAAGCTTAGTTTGGCCCTGCGGTAGCTTTTGCAGAAGCAGTTTCTGGCTGGAGCTTTTAGATAAGTACTTTTCAAAAAAAGCAGTTGAGTGTTTGGTTATAAAACTATTAGAAGTGCTTTTTAATATGAAAGATTGTGTAAAATGACTATAAAAAGGACTTATAATATAAAATATGAATAAAAATTCTAAACAAGAAAAAGTAAACAAAATGGATCTTGTTAGATTTATTTTATATTAAATAATATGATTGTATAATTTATTGTATTTTTAAAATGATATAAATGAAGGAAAATTATATTTTCTGAAATAAAATTAAAATATGGTAAGGATAATCTTGTATTTTCAAAACAGCTTTTTCGTAGAAACTCCAAATCGGAGCTTGTATTTTTATGTTACACAAAAGCGCTTTTCGGCTTTTCATAAATCGAGCTTTTACAGGTGTTTGGCCCTGCTTCAGCTTTTGAAGCCTAAAAGCACTTCTAAAAGCCGGGCCAAACATAGGGATAGAATCATCAGTATAAAACATAATGTTTAGATTTTTTAGAATTATACATAATCATCCAATCCAAGTAATATAAAACACAGAAGTCGGTTGATATGGCTGTGGGATACATATGATAATTGACTAAAGTGGATTTATAAATATATTGGGAGAGAGAGATTGCCCTATTTTATTAAGACATGATAACAATTACATATGAAGGTCTAATTATTGAAGTGTATGGTGTGGTGGGAGGGGAAGTGAATCTTGGGAATAATCAAGGTTTAGTTTGGGCATACAAATATACTACTAGCAGCTAGTCAACAAAAATAATTAAGAAGGCATGAATTGATGACTAACAAATTTGCTTCTCGTTTAATTTATTTTATATTCTCCCTCCCCATCTATCATTCATTCCTGCATGTTCTCCTTCATTCATATTTACTGACCGAAAATTCAATTAATTTGCCTTTCCCTTTGTTTATCATCAACATTTTTTGTCCTTATAAATACATACCAAATGAACCACTGATTCACTCACCACCCACATGCACTTGTTATTAGTTCCTTCCTTCCTAACTAAAACAACAATTAATATTCAATATTCCATCTGAACTATCCCTCCACCTCCACTTCCTCATTCACTCTCTCTGATCTCTCTCTCTCTCTCTAGCCAGAATATGAACAAGATGAAGAATACTAACAATGCCAGCAGCAGCGGGACTAGCAGAAAGAACAAGAAGCAGCAGCAGCAGCAGGGTCAGCTGGAAACAGGTGAACCGGCTGCTGTGAGGTTTTTGGGAGTGAGGAGGCGACCGTGGGGCAGATATGCGGCGGAGATAAGAGACCCCACCACCAAAGAGAGGCACTGGCTGGGCACGTTCGATACCGCCGAGGAAGCCGCTTTGGCCTATGACAGAGCCGCACGTTCCATGCGCGGCCCACGCGCTCGCACCAACTTTGTCTACTCCGACACCCCCGCCGGCTGCTCCGTCACCTCCATCCTCTCCCCCGACTTCTCATCATCCACCTTCATTAACAACAACGACGACAACAGGATTGTATCCTCATGTATTGAACCTTGCGACCAGCAGCAACAGATGATGTTCAACATGCAGGGGAGCGAATGCTACTACCAAAATAGTAATATTACCAATATTAATTCTGCAGCTAGCATTGACGACGGCCATGGCGGGCTGCCTCCTTTGCCGAGATGTGAGGTGGAGAACTTGTCCATTAATGCAGCAAGTTTTGACGACGTGATGATGTATACTATGGTTGATTTTACGGCCATGAATGGCGAGGGCAACAACAACAATATTAACAACATTGGTGGTGGTGGTGGTGGTGGGTACAATAGTTTCGGCTACGAGGAGGATTGCGTAATGCACAGCCCGCTATTCAGCACGATGCCTCCGCTCCCCGATTCCAACAACATGAATATCACTTACGGTCACCACCTGCCTCTGCCTGCCGACGATGCCTACCATTTGGGGTCCTCCTCAGCTTACAACTATTATTTCTTCTCAAACTAACTAACTGACTATCAATAATTGAGGCCGACACCTGCTGCCTAGTGCCTGTGTTCCTAAACCCTATATGCAAGTTCCCTGTTTTTCTTTTTTCTATCTCCTTTACCGGCGTGGTTTGAGGCATGTGGCCGCCCCTCCTTGCATCCACAAGCACGCGATCTTCATCACTCAACTGATTTCTCTCTTTTTTTTTGTAAAGCCTTTCTCATCCTCTGATTTCATTCATGATCATCACTTGAATATTGGGGATACTTTCGAACCCTTTTCTTCATGTACCTGGATGTAAATTAAGAGAGATGAATGAAAATACTCTATTCTGCCTAGACCAAAACCGTCCAGTCCAATACAATCCATCCAAAGTATATATATGAATGATTCTATCCTACACGGGTAAAAGTTGGAGTATATAAATCTTCAATTTGGCGGAGTTTACGACATTGTAGATTAAAATTTAGTCCTTTTTTGTAAATTTCGTATATTTAATTGATTTATTCCTAGTGATATATCACAATCTAGACCATGAATTAAATCGATTTTGGGAAATCATATTATAGCCTAACCTCTAATGCATAAACCCCACGGTCTAGATTCGCTAAACCGAAATTGGAAGTTAAATTTAATATAAAATAATAATTGACTATTGAGATTGGCCGGAGCTCATCGAATTACATTTAACGGCTAGATAACCTGGTGTATACCAATCATTACCACATATATAGTATCTTCTACGTTACCCCAGGTGAAATCCGGGGTACCGCATACTTTGAGTATGAAAACGCAATCTAGACATCAAACTAGCAGGATTTTTGGAAATGATACTATATCCTAACCCTTAATGAGTGAACCCTAGGTCCTAATTATCTAAATCAAACTATAAACCCTAAGATGGTGCATTGATTTTTTTGGCCTATATTTGGATGAATCATAACCGTCGATTATTGTTTCTAATTAATTGATTTTGGGGTATAAGATTTAGAGAATTAATGCCTAGATTTTGATATTTAAGGTTTAGAGTATAATGTCATGTCCGAAAGATCAGTCATTCCAAGTTCTGGATAGCGTTTTCCTACTCAAGGTATGCGGTACCCCGAATTTCACTCTGAGTACCCTAGAACTCCATATATATATATATATATATATATGTATGTATATGTATATATGTATGTATGTATATGTATATATATAGTGGCGTCTTCAGTGCACTCACTTTTTTGGGTGCATTCAATGCACGCGCTTCATAACCGTCATTTTAAAAATGAGATTCATGTCAAAATGATATCAATCATCTCTTATAATGTGATGAACTATAAAGCACATGAATTTGGACAAAAACCATTCAAGATTTACTTTAATTTGAAGGATTTAGAGATTCAAGGTTAGGGTTAGGGTTTACAAATTTGGGGTTAAGGGATGAAATTCAAAATTGGAGGTCTACGTCTTAGGGTAATCCGCTAATTAGTTGTTATCATATGTTAAATAATCATATTACACTAATTATACAAATTAAAGTTCAAAATCTAACACCTTAAGACTAGTTTTTGAGTAGGGTGCATTGAACGCACTCATTTTTGCGAGTGCACCGAAGTAGTCACCGTGTATATATATATAGTGACGTTAGCGTACGCCTGCATTCACATTCATTAATTAATTTTAATGTAATTAATTATTATTGATAATTACAACTATAACCTGCATCAATTCTGTTGATGCCAAGTTTGGAGGAGTCTGCTTCAATGTGTTTGAGGTCCGATGAGCGCCGACTTTCTGGCCAACGTCCGCCACAAGCCTTCGAGATGGACACCTGCAAAAGACGTACTCGCCGGCGGTGGTTGGTGGGGACCCACTCCGAAGCTCGAGTCAGTATTGAGATGAGAGTAATCGAGAGCGACATATTGAGCATGGCTCTAGAGAGAGATTCAGAATTTTATCCGAAATGAAATATCCAAAAAACATAAATGAGTGTGTCTGACGTGGATGGCGTGCTCATAATAAAATAACAATAAGACACTTACCTCGCAACCAACCCCAGGTGCAGTGAACGATTGGCTACAACCAAACACATATAAAAGATAAAATTAGAAAGAAAGAAACCCACTTACCTCATATATTTCCCCTGTACCCGTATAAGTGGTGGGAGGTGAGTAAATATATCCACCCACGCAACTCACTATTGGTGTGGATATTTGGATTATGGAAAGGTTAATAGCTGGGTGAAAATTACCCCTTTATTCCCATGTGTATTGACATAGGGAAGTGAATATTGGTGGTTTGGTGAAATGAAAGGGAGCAACAATACCAACCAATTGAAAAGGGTTACCTTGTTTGGCTTCTCCCACGTGTAAGTGAATGGGAAAATGAGTATGGTTTTTGTTGATCCAAGTAGGAAGTGATTGGTGGGGGAAGCAAAACTAGATTTTCACTTACCATTAACACATAAACCCCTTCCACGTGTACAAAGAGTAGGCTAGGTTAGGTGTTTGTTTCATTTGCTTGAAAGAAGTGGAAAACAATGGCAAGCAATCAAATAAAAGCACAAGGTGTCATTTTCTTTCTATTCCACGTGGGTTAACCATGGGGAGAGGATTTGATGTGTATGCTTGATGTATATAGAGAAATCACAAAATGTAACACCAATAGGATTTGCTAATAGCTCTACTTATTGGACCGAGACGGATCACGTAATGAGCCCATGATCCAGAATGAGCTCAAGCCCAAGTCCGACTCTCATGCAGCCCAGGTTCCCGTTGGTTCGGCTGCGTTTTGCATGGAAGCTACGTCTCCATCTCTGTGTAGGAGTAGTAGTAACTATGCAACCCTAGTTCATGATACAGCATATATATGTAATCGTGTACTGCCGCAAGGCACAAGTTGAAAAGTGAATAAGATATCAAGCTGGAGAGGCTGACCTCTCCAGTGGACTAGTCCCGACTCAATCGGGGATACCACGTAAACACCGTGTCGATCTCGTTTATGCTTTCGTGTGTATTTGTTCAATTTCTCATGGTATCAGAGCACTTGATCTAGAGCATCTCTGCGTTCTCTGAAGTCTGTCCCGGAATCATGAGTGATTCTGATGAAGTTAAGAATTCGAGTGATGGGAAGAAGGTGTCTTTGTCTACTGATGGCGCGTCCGGCCAGTTCCTAGTCCCCGACCCGTCGTCAGCGTACTTCCTCCATCCATCGGATAGTGCAGGTCAGTTACAAGTTGGAGAAGTCCTAACTCCGTCAAATTATCGTGAATGGGTTGTCGACATGACCGACTCTCTCATTGTTAAGAACAAATTCGGCTTCGTTGACGGTTCAATACCCCGACCGCCAAGCGAGCCCGAGAATGGCCCTTGGAGCAGATGTGACGCCGTCGTAAAGGGGTGGCTACGTACATCTATGAACAAGGAAATAAGAGGCAGTGTTCGCTATGCCAAAACAGCGAGGGAGATTTGGCTGGACCTCAAGGATCGATTCGGCCAAAGCACTCTCACAAGGGGTTACGAGTTAATTCGCCTTATATCAAGTCTTTGGCAAGAAAAACTCACGGTTTCGTCGTTCTACACACAGCTCCGCACTTTCTGGGAGGAAGCTCAGTCCATCTATCCTCCGGAGAGATGCACGTGTGGTCAGTGTCAGTGTGGGTTGGAGCTTCGAACTAGAGCAAGGGAGGACTGTACGCGCTTGTTCGACTTCTTGATGGGGTTGGACGAAAGCTTTGGGATAGTCCGTAGTCAGATTCTTGCTATGAAGCCACAACTGTCTCTTGCTGAAGCATATAATATCGTATCCAACGATGAGCAGCAGCGTTTGTTGGCTCAGCGTCGTCGTCCGGGAGCTGAAGCCGCTGCCTTTGCTAGCCGTGGTGAGTCTCCTAGGGCCGAGGCGGATCAGCAGTCCTCCAACTCCAAGCCGCGCCTCAAATGTACACACTGCGGCAAGCAAGGTCATGCCAAAGAAACATGTTATGATATTATTGGTTGGCCTCCCCGCGGCAAGTCCAGTCAGTCCGATCGTGGGGAACGCAAACCGCGTCGTGAGGGTACACCTCGGGCAGCCCAAGTTGAGGGTGAGGTGAGTCCTGTACCTGGTTTTTCTCTTGCACAACTGGAGCAATTATGCAAGTTCTTTGAGCATCCTAAGCCGGCTGAAGATCCCTCGGCAAGCATGGCACGTACGACTCTTAGTAGTTCTGAATGGTTAATTGACTCCGGGTGTAACGAGCATATTGTCGCCGATGCTTCCTTACTTTCTGATGTGATAGCAAGTGAGGGTTGCCAACCGGTTCGTATACCCAACGGTGATCGGGTTCCAGTTCAGCAAATCGGGACAGTTCGACTTCCCTCTGGTCTTGTCTTGGAGCGAGTCCTCCATGTTCCTCTATTTCGATGCAATTTGTTGTCAGTCAGTCGGTTAGCGCAGGATAATGGTGTCGTCTTAACCTTTCTGCGTGACCTTTGTCTTCTCCAGGACTCACGCTCTAAGAAAGTGATTGGGAAGGGTGAGCTGCGAGACGGCCTTTATCATTTGAAGTTGTTTGCGGAGCAAGAGGTTTCTGTGTTTGCTGCTGGGCGTGCGCGCCAGGTCTCCCAAGAGAGGTGGCATGAGCGTCTGGGCCATCCCTCATTAGTCCTTATGTAAGAACTTAGTTCGGTTATTCCTTTTACTGTTAGCAAGACATCAGAACCTTGTCATCCCTGTTCTCGTGCTAAACAGAGTCGGTTACCTTTTTCAGTCAGTTCTATTAAGACCACGGATTGTTTTGAATTGGTTCACATGGATATCTGGGGTGCTTATCAACAGCCGTCTCTTACTGGAGCTCATTATTTCCTTACCATCGTTGATGATTTCAGTCGTGGTGTGTGGGTTTATCTTGTCAAATTCAAGTCAGATGTTGGTCGGATTATAATGATGTTTTGTGAAATGGTTCGCACACAATTCAATAAGCAGGTTCGTCGTATACAGGCCGACAACGGTCTGGAGTTCAATTCCTCTACCTTGCGTGACTTTTATGAGCGTTCCGGTATTGTTTTGCAGACCAGCTGTACCGACACTCCCCAGCAGAATGGTGTCGTTAAACGCAAGCATCGTCACATCTTAGACACTGCTCGCGCACTTCGGTTTCACGCCGGGTTGCCTTTACGTTTCTGGGGGGAGTGTGTTCTTACCGCGGTCTACCTCCTCAACAGACTTCCCACTTCGGCTACTGGTAAGACGCCGTTTGAGGTTTTGTTTGGACGCATGGCTGCATATGATCACCTACGTGTATTCGGGTGTCTCGCTTATGCAAAAGACACGCACGGTCATCTTCACAAATTCGCGGATCGGGGGCGCGCCTGTCTCTTTCTCGGTTACGCCACCAACCAAAAGGGCTACCGCTTGTTTGATCTAGATGCCCAGAAAGTTATAGTCTCTCGTGACGTCGTTTTCCACGAGACCCATTTTCCCTATCGAGCTCAAGGCCCTGCGGAGTTTCATTGGCTTCCCTCAAATGTGTTCCATGATGATGGGATTACCCAATGCACTCCCCCGTCGTTGCACACGCCACCTGATCCCTTGGCGAGTCCCTCGAGTTCACAGCAGCTCACGAGCTCCACTCCACAGTCGAGTGCAAGCTCCCCGTCGCCGCCGCAGTCCAGTCCTGAGCTCCGTGATGATCTTGGCGAAGAGTCACCTGCCCAGCCAGTATCCTCACCAGCCCCTGTCCCTGATACTTCGGCGCCCCAACCTCGTCGAAGTGATCGACATCGCGTCCGGCCAAAGCATCTCGACGACTACGAGACCAACACTGCAGTTGCTTCCACCATTCGGTACCCTCTGTCTCACCATGTTTCTTATGCTAACGTCTATCAACACTATCGTGCGTTTCTTGCAGCCATTACTCGTGGTGACGAACCGCGGATCTTCAACCAGGCTGTTCGGCTTGCTTGCTGGCGAGCGGCAATGGCGGCTGAAATTGCCGCGTTGGAGAAGAATCATACATGGACTCTCGTCATACCACCTGATGGACGGAAAATCATCGACTGCAAGTGGGTTTTCAAGATCAAGTATCGCCCCGATGGGACGATTGAGCGTTACAAAGCTCGTCTCGTTGCAAAAGGGTTCACACAGATCGAGGGTGTGGATTTCCACGACACTTTTGCACCCGTGGCCAAGTTGGTCACCGTTCGTTGTCTCATTGCTGTTGCCGTTCAGCGAGGTTGGTTTCTACACCAATTGGACGTCAATAATGCCTTCTTGCATGGTGATTTGCAGGAAGAAGTCTATATGCGTCTTCCCCCTGGTTTCGCTGCTCCCGGTGATCAGCGTGTTTGTCGGCTTCACAAGTCCCTGTATGGACTTCGTCAGGCGTCTAGAAACTGGTACCAGAAGTTCACCGCGGCTCTGTGTGAGATGGGTTTTCGAGCCTCCTCTGCCGATCACTCTCTTTTTGTCTATCGCCGCAGTGATATATTTGTTGCAGCTCTCATCTATGTTGATGATGTAATCCTTGCCGGCAGTGATCTCACCTTCATCAATCGAGTCAAAGCTTTTCT